AACCTTAAATGGTGCCCGGCTCCGAATTGCGAGTACGCGGTTGATTGCCCTGTGAAGCAGCGTGAGCTAAACCGCATCGTACCGACGGTACAATGTAGCTGCAAGCACTACTTCTGCTTCGGGTGCACATTGAACGACCACCAGCCATCGCCGTGTAGACTCGTTAAGATGTGGCTTCAGAAGTGCGAGGATGATTCCGAGACGGCCAACTGGATTTCGGCGAACACGAAAGAATGCCCCAGGTGCCACTCCACAATTGAAAAGAACGGTGGGTGCAACCACATGACATGCCGCAAATGCAAGCACGAGTTCTGCTGGATGTGCATGGGCCTGTGGTCGGAACATGGCACAAGCTGGTACAACTGCAATCGGTTCGAGGAGAAGTCGGGCTCCGAAGCGCGGACTGAGCAAGCGCGCTCACGGGCATCTCTAGAGCGATATCTCCACTACTACAACCGATACGCGAACCACGAACAATCGGCCAAACTGGATAGGGACTTATATCTGAAAACTGAGAAGAAGATGACGAGTCTCCAGTCCCAATCAGGACTCTCTTGGATCGAGGTACAGTTCCTAGACACGGCTTCTCAGGCTCTGCAGCAATGCAGACAGACGTTGAAGTGGACGTACGCCTTCGCGTACTACCTGGCGCGGAACAACCTGACTGAAATCTTCGAGGACAACCAAAAGGATTTGGAAATGGCAGTGGAGACGCTCAGTGAGATGTTCGAGAAGCCGGTGGCAGAACTGGCAAGCCTCAAGGTCGACATCTTGGACAAGACGTCGTACTGCAATAAACGGCGGGTCATTCTTCTAACCGACACAGCCGAGAACCTGAGGAATGGTATGTTTGAAATTCAACAACGTTTTTTGAAAGGATATTTCTAACTGACCGAATTGTATAGGGGAGTGGCGCTTCAATGTTGATTGGTAGATTTAGAGTTGTATAGACCAAGTGATCATGCCATTTTTTTCCATCGAAAGGGAAGAGAGGAGCATGCACCTAGGGGTTTCATCTGGCCAGCTTGGGCCATAAATGGGAAGGAAGGACGGTAAATGGGTCAGGTTGGTCAGGGCTGGGTTGGGATGGATTTATCATTTTTTTTACGACGTACATGACACGCACCACATTACAGCGAGATCTGGGTTGTATTTCATCGCAAGGCGTTAGCTATCCCTTAGCCATGGTCAGATTTATCTGGGTAGGGGAGACTGCATAACCTCTTATTGTTTGTATCATTATGCATTTTTAGCTTATTAGTTATTCATCTCGGCCCGAACACGTTTCGGGGAGAGAGTCGAAACTCCATGCCTACAAGTCAATGGTCACTTGCCCCGTGCTCTGGTTTAAATGGATGCGTTATTGCGTTATTATCCGTATTTCGATCAGATAAGCGGACGACGAGTGACGGCGGACTAGCAGCACTCCTTAGTTACTCGTAGTTTACGGGGAGCTGTGGGCGGTTCCCGTCCGCGGCAGCATGAAATTCGATACCTCCGCGGTTCGGCGGTTTGGCGAGCGGCAGGTGATAATACAATTCGGCTTGGTTCGGGAATGTTTCAATACTACTACATATATAAGTCGTTATCTCATATTATCAGTCTAATATTACTACCATTTCATGGAAAGCGAGCAATGGCCGGGTCCGATGTCGAACTCGAGGGTCTCGTGCAGAGTGACAGATCCCAAGACTGGCAGGGAAACCCGAAATGGCGCTCCGTCATCGGACAGTAACCTCGGTGAAAATCAGCATTTGCAGGTTCTTCAAGTCGTTAGTCACGGATAGTCTAGACTGGGGGGCTGATTCGGTTTCTTCGATATTCATCAGCAAAATGGTCTTTTCTTATCGTATCGGAGAACGTAGAAGAGCAAATAAGTGTGATTGTGTAGTGGTTTACACACAAGTTGGGGTAAGCAAGGCCATCTGATAATCTCGATGAAAGATCTGATAGCGAGCTGGCCAGTTCCTCAGTTTCGAGATCTCCTGGAAAAGAGCATTAATTTAAGTAGAATAGCCTGTTCCGGCAATCTAATCTTATGAAGCTAATCCTTCTGGAACAAATTATTAGTAGTTGAAGTAGGCGGCAATGAGCTGTTTGGCTGCGCTCCGACCACCAAGACCGACTGCCAGACGCAGGAAGGAAGAAAGGAACAACTCGCTCCAAGTTCCAACCCTTCAAAAAAAAAAATTATCCCCTACTGCTCCTCTCCTCCGCACGACTTCTCCTCTTCGCTTCTCCTCTTCCCCATTGCCATCCTTGTTTTCCGCCTGCCCGAATCTCTATCTCGATCTCGTTTCGACACTTTATTCCTCCCTAGTCGGGTTCGGCTCTGGCGGAGTCCCCGTTTTTCTTCGGCATAACCAAAACTTCAAGCTCACCACCACCACCCCCCAACCACAACACCTGGCGTCGCCTTCTCCTTTGCCCCAACCCTTTTCCTCTTCCCTCCTAATCTCCCCTCCCTTTTCTTTCTCTCGTATACTCTTGCGGCTACGGCTGCTGGAGCTCTGTTGGCTTGATGGCGGCATCCGAACACCAAGTGCCGGGCGAAGAATATGAGTATGTTATACGGAGCTTCTTTTCCCGCCTCTGTGTTTTTTCCCTCTTTTCATCTCCGAGTGACAATCACCGAGAATTCTGAAGTTTCTTCCTGAATCGCCATACGTTTGAACCTCGGATATCTCGTGTGCAGCTTGCGCTTGTTTTTTTTTTTTTTGCCTGCGGAAAGTTGGACGCCCTGGTCAGATCAAAGCTAACCGTATCGTAATGGTAGTTACGAAGCCCTCCCTTCAAACTATGGCCTCGGCCGGAATATGTTAGCCGGTGCTTTCGCCGGTATTGCAGTACGTCTCTCGTCAATGGAAATTACACTGGAGCTCTCAATGGGGTTGCTAACGGGCTACATAGGAACACGCGGTTATGTACCCGGTGGATTTGCTCAAGGTACGCTAATTGGCTTAATATGATTTGATATTATTTATGTACAGTGTGGATGGCTAACCATTGAGTTTCGCAATTATAGACTCGCATGCAAGTCTTGAATCCCACAACCGGAGGGCTCTACACAGGGTTGACACATGCGGTCTCCACGATCTACCGCATTGAAGGGTGGCGAACACTATGGAAGGGCGTATCGAGCGTGATTGTCGGTGCTGGTAAGCAAAAACAATCCCAGTGGTGAATAAATTGGCGCACCCTCGGACTGACATTTACGTTTCTCGTTTTCAGGCCCTGCACACGCTGTTTATTTCGGTACATACGAGGTTGTCAAGGAGATGGCTGGTGGAAATGTGGACGACGGACACCATCCATTGGCAGCTGGTGAGATTATAACTTACGTCACACTTTACTCAATTACTGACTTCTTCAAGCTACGAGTGGTGCGGCAGCCACTATTGCTAGTGATGCCCTGATGAATCCGTTTGATGGTGAGTTCCCAACAATTTTATGCCGTCGCGACCCGTGTACGAGCTTCATCTGACATGGACAGTGATCAAACAACGAATGCAAGTCCATGGCTCCGTTCACAAGACAATCCTCCAATGCGCGAAGTCCGTCTACAAGACGGAAGGCTTCCATGCCTTCTATGTCTCCTACCCTACGACGCTCTGTATGACCGTACCATTCACCGCCGCCCAATTCGTTGCCTACGAATCCATTTCTAAGGTCATGAACCCCACTTTGGATTATGATCCCTTTACACACTGTATTGCTGGTGGTTTGGCTGGTGCAATCGCCGCTGGTATCACAACACCACTTGATGTGGTGAAGACTCTTCTGCAGACCCGTGGTCTTGCACAGAATGAGGAGATCCGTTCAGTTAAGGGACTCTTCGGCGCGGCATCTGTCATTAAGCGCCAGTTCGGTTGGAAGGGATTCCTGCGCGGTGCTCGTCCCCGCATCATCTCAACGATGCCTAGCACTGCTATTTGCTGGACCTCGTATGAAATGGCCAAGGCCTATTTCAAGCGCCAGGCGGATTAGGCTGGAGCAAAACGCCCGCTTGATCGCATGAATTCGCTTCGCATCAGAAACGACTCCGTGGTGGTCTCCTCGACTAACCGAACATTCTCAACAACCGTAAATACGAAAACAAAATCAACTCCGAAAGTCAATAACGCACCTTGAATATAGTTCACGAGCTAGAAATAGCATGGGGACGCGGGTTTAGTGTGAGGAGTCACATACCAGGATACTTTCTACGGCCGATTTTCCATTCTCACTATGTATACACTCGACATTCTACTTCCGGGCAAGACATTGCGAACTACTAACACTGGGTTGGCTATGCTTATTGTGGTATCTTCATCGACTGCTTTATGGGCTTGACGACAGCATATTCTTTTTCGCTTCTGTTTCCTTTGCTCTTGGATCGGAGTCAACGCTGGCCCAATGTATCCTGAATCGGTTTTTCTTTTTGGCGTTGGGTCACAGGGAGGAAATACTTCGGGGAAATTCTTTTCTCATTTCATTCCATATATTTCTTTTATTTATTTGCGCATTTATTTGTTTTTGGATTGTGAACCATGTACTGATAGACATATGAGATGGTGACTGGGCACACCGGCTGGACAACGATAACCAGATAACATACAGGAGGAGACTTAGGAATAATCCTAGTAACCATTCCTTCCGAGACAGCTCTTCGCTTAAAAGTAACCCTCATCCCTTATTATTAGCCTGGTGTCTCACTTCATTCTCTGGTTATGCTTAATCAGCTGGGATAACGACGTCACGAGGGGAAAAAAGTGCCGATTCGCCGTCTTCGTCTGGTCTTGTCCAACCAACTGCGAGTTGGAACCCCATCCATGAGCCAGTTTCCAGTTCCCAACTCTCTCTTTTTCTTCCGTCAAATCGCCAACTTCACTTTCAGCGGCCCTCGTTTCTCGTCGGCCCAATTCGCTCCTTCTTATCCGTCCCTTTACGCATGGCGGTGTCGCTGGCTGGTCCTGCATTTATCCGCTCCCCGTGAACCTCATACACCGGTTTTATGAATGATGCGCCCTAAGCCTGCGTCGTCGCTGCAGAAGACATATGACGACTGTTATTTGATGTGCTCGACGGCTGTCTACTTTGAGGGCCAAGTTGTGATCCCAAAAGCATCCCCCAATGCTCTCCCACTGACGTAATGGTTCCTTGCAATTAGAACAATGAAGACGAAGCCTTAAGGTCTTGGCGATCGGCCCTGGAAACCATCTACTATCACAACGCGTATCGACTCCCCGCAAGCTACACCCCGAGCACCGAAACCGAGCGGGCGCTACAAGAATCCATTCGACAGCTTGAGCTTCAATGTCGCGAACGAGTCGACCTCCTCGACGCACTTCGCGAGAGCCGAAAAGACAAAGATACTTCCAGCTCAAAGAAGTTGAAGTCCCCGCCTCCAGTTCGAAATAACGTCAACGCTACCCCAGGCTGGATTGGGGATGGGACCGTTCCCGCAGTTGGATACACCGACCTCTCTAAACCACCCGCGATACCTCAACGGCCACTTCCTGGCACTACCGCTGCCACTATCCCTGACCATACTCCCCCAGTTCGCCCGCCAGCAGTGAGGACGGAATCGCAAAGCTCTATGAAATCCAAGTCTGGCTCTCGCACACCCAGTCCCGAGCGGAGGAAGATGCCTTCTATGCCGTCCACGTTACGCGACCCGACTCTCAAGAAAAAGAAGAAAGATAGCTCTTCACACCGCAAGGATCTACGTCCGGTTGCTGCGTCTCAGGCGGCGGGTCTTGCTTGGGGTTCTATTACGCGCGTGCCGTCCTCGGGAAACACGGCGAGTGATGCTGCGTTGGCGTCCTCACGCCAGAGCGTTACCAATGACTTGAATCTGAGGAAGGAGACCAATTCTCCTTCTGATAGATGGACCAATGATGCGGCATTGGGCTCCTCTCGTCCTAACCTTTTGAATTCTCGGAAGGACTCTGACCTAACTCGGGCTGCGCTTTCTCGCATATATTCTGCAGATGAGCAGACCACGAGAAGGTCGCCTGCGAAAGTGACCTCGTCAACTCCGGGGACCCCGCCATTGAAGCACAAGCAACTTAGCAGCAATGTGGAACGCCGGCCACACTCCGACGGCCGCTCTCGACAGTCCCCTTCAAAACTTGAATCAAGTGAACCACCCCGTTCAAGTAGCTCTCCGAAGCCCGCCGTTAAACCTAAGCCGATGGCACTGAAAGCGCCGCAACCCACATCAGCCCCTATGTATTCGGGTTCTGGTGGCGAACCCTCACAGCCACGGGCATCGGGTCAGGATCGTGATGTGGTACATGATATGGGTAATATGGGAATATCAAGAAGCCCCGTGCGACGGAAACAGAGACCCGAAGCCAAACGCCCTATGACACCACCTTCGAGCGATCCAGATTCGATAGGGCGGAAGTCATATGAAGACGTGGATGAGGAAGACATGGCAGAGGGAGATGAGGATTCAGAGGATGACTCGATTATGAATGTTATGAAGAAACTACCAAAAGGCGTTGATGTTAATGCAGCACGCCAGGTTCTGAACGATATTGTCGTTCGTGGAGATGAAGTTCATTGGGATGATATTGCGGGGCTAGAAGGTGCGAAGAAGGCCTTGAAAGAAGCTGTCGTATATCCATTCCTTAGACCAGACCTCTTCTCAGGCCTCCGCGAGCCAGCTCGAGGTATGTTACTTTTTGGGCCACCAGGAACCGGAAAGACTATGCTTGCACGAGCGGTTGCGACGGAATCCAAATCGACCTTCTTCTCTGTATCTGCGTCCACGCTCACCTCTAAATGGCATGGCGAGAGCGAGAAGCTCGTACGAGCTCTCTTCGGCTTAGCCAAGTCACTCGCACCCTCCATCATCTTCGTCGATGAGATTGACTCGCTTCTTTCGGCGCGTTCATCAGGGACGGAAAATGAAGCTTCACGCCGCTCAAAGACAGAATTCCTCATTCAATGGTCCGATCTACAGCGCGCTGCAGCTGGACGTGAGCAACCAAAGTCAGGCGACGCCAGCCGAGTTCTTGTATTAGCGGCCACGAATATGCCTTGGGATATTGATGAAGCTGCGCGACGCCGTTTCGTCCGTCGCCAATATATCCCTCTCCCTGAACACTATGTCCGAGGTCAACAATTGCGAACGTTATTGGGTCATCAAGTCCATGATCTCGATGATGAGGACATTGAAGTTCTTGTTCACGTTACAGAAGGTAAATCACCGTTTCACCTCCTAACTTAAATATGGCACGAACAACTAATTTATTTCGTTATCTATAGGTTTCTCAGGCTCCGATATAACCGCACTCGCCAAAGACGCTGCCATGGGACCCCTCCGCAACCTCGGCGAAGCTCTCCTCCACACACCCATGGAGCAAATCCGGCCGATCCGCTTCTCGGACTTCGAAGCAAGCCTAAACTCCATAAGACCCAGCGTGAGCAAGGAGGGTCTCCGCGCGTATGAAGACTGGGCGAGACAGTTCGGTGAGCGTGGCGGTTAAAAGAACACTTTTTATCCAAAACGTACCTTACCCTATAGCTCTCCGGAGTTAGGTTATCTTTTTTTTTATCGCCTTTCCTTTTTCACCCTTTCTTTCTCGGCTGTTTCTCTATGGGTTTCGAATTGGGCTTGCTGGGTTGGCGAACGGGGAGAGGATATCTGTGTTCTGCATTGTATTGTCTCGATGGCGTCTATATAGATGCCTCTTTAGGTATTCTACCTGTCTATCATATTATTTGTTTTCAGCACGGCGAAGCAGGTGGACTGGGATTGACTGGACTGGATGGGATTGGGTCGTTTATAGGATCGGAGTGACTTGCCCTTCTCTTTTCTTCAAGCAAGGTACCTCGCTACCCGGCTTACCGTAATCCCGCTTCAAGGTCATTCATTTGGTAGATACCTTACATAGCTATATAGTAGTGGTAAATATCAGTAAACCTTACAATTCCCGGTTCGAGCTACGCAGCGTCATGCATTAATTCCATTGACAGAGACGAGACAAAAAAAGCCCGAGCCCATGAATCTTACTGATACGATCTAATTATATCATAATAAACGTATAGCACCCACTTTACTTAATCGTACCATACTAGTCGATGCCTACCAGTAATTCGAAGCCCTAGGCATCGAATATGTCAAAACGCAAAACAGAGACGAGCAAATTGGAAGGCCTAGCTCCATATATATAACATCAACCTATGGAAGGGGAATTGTGGGCTAGCGCCCCATAGAAAGTAAATATAAACACATATCGACAATTTAGAAAAAAAGAAATCATACCGAGGTTTTGCTAGGCTCAGTAGGGCTGACTCTGGGGAGCGGGTTGATTGTCGGTATGATAAAAGATAAATTCTATGATACTCGAGAGAAAAAGAAGAGGGATATTTCAGACTAGGCAGATAAGGTTGTTATGCTATGGTATGGTTGGGTGGTAGGATACTGGTGGGTATAGAGAAAGTAATTAACGACGAGTCGGATTTAAGCAAGGTGAACATAGAATATAGATAGATATAGTATAGGTAGCGAGCGAGGCTTTAAGGAGGGATGAGTGAGATACTGGGCATAAAGTAGATAAGTGAATAAGGTAGGTAGGTAGAGAAAAAAAAAACAAGATGACCCTATTTGCTAAGCTTCTGAGAAATGCAGGAGTAAGATATGACATGCCCAACCAGTATCATGGTAAATGAAACAATGAAACGAGAAACAAGGGAAAAAAGGATGGTGAATGAGAGAGATTGATATGGAAGAGAAAAAGAAAAAGAAAAGAAAAGAAATGTGGTATCTGGACACCGTAAAGTCGAATGTACGGAGGACGAGAGAAGGAAGAGGACAGGAAAGAAAAGGAATAACTAGACAAGGGTCTCATGGCCAACCACCTTACAAATCTATCAAACTACCACCCTGTTGGGGCTGCTGCTGTCCTCCCCACGGGTTACTGGGCTGCTGGAGATAGCCAGTCTGCTGGGGAACAAACTGTTGCTGTTGCTGTTGCTGCTGGCCGAAGAACGGGTTATTTCCGGTTTGAGTGGCCCTTAACCGGTCCAAACCTTGACCTGCAGAATTGACGAATGTTCCGGGCGCAGTGTGTTGTGCGGGAATACGTAGGTCTCCGGTGTTACCGAAGGTATCCTGTCCATCTCCAGTGGCCAAGAGCGCGTTTAGGCGAGCAGCGTGAGGATCCATCTGGGCCTGGGGTTGAGGCTTAGGTGGTACCAAGTTCTGCTGCGGCTGCTGAGTTGGCTGAGGAGCCTGGTAGTTCGCGATCGGGTTCGGCGACGAGTATTGGTTTGAGAACTGATTAGAGAATTGGTTCGTCGCCCGATCCTCTGACAAAGTGTTCAAAGATGGGGCGCCAGACGTTGTGGGCCTAGGAGCCTGGGATTGTTGGGTACGGGCGAATGGGTTGTTGGAGCCGGTTGGCATGGGTTTCAGGTTATCCGGCTGGTTGCTGGACCAAGGGTTGTTGGAACCAGGAGATAACATGTTATCTTGTTGAGGTTGCTGCTGCTGCTGTGGCTGCTGAGAAAACACATCCGTTCCGTAAGGATTGTTTGTGCTGAAGCCGGTGGGCTGTGGCTGAAGGGTAGCCTGCGGCTGCAAGAAATTGTTCTGAGCATACGGGTTTTGGTTGTAACCTGTGGGCTGTGCCTGGAAGCCGTTGGTATATCCGTTCGGCATTCCAGTGTTCTGTCCCTGAAATCCGGTCGGGTTTGCGTATTGGTTGTTCAAGAAGCCCGTCGTCAAAGGCTGCTGGGGATTGATTGGGTTGCCGAACCAGTCGACCGCGCTCTGCTGCTGGTATCCCTGGTTGTAACCAGTAGGTTGAGGCTGCGCCGCAGGCGTACTGTCATCAAATAGAGACTGGGCGTTACTTTCCTCCAACTCACGTCTGCGAAGCTCTTCTTCCTCTTTACTCAGCTTGATCGCTTTGGCGAGGTCCTCGTCATTATCTTCCCCATTGGCCCTTGCTCGTCGTCGGCGCTCTTCTTCCGCTTCGTGTTTACTTGCTTCGATTGCCAGGCGGTATTCCGCATCGTCGTCCTCGTTGCCCGGGCGCCGGCGACGCTCTGGGCGACGTGGCGATACTCCGTTCCCTTGGCCGCCATGGAAATCATCGAGTCCACTCACACGGGATTTCCACAATTTGCGGTCGGATCGCTCACTGCGCAGTCGTTCTTCGTCCAGAATAAGGGCGGTAAGTTCTTTCGCAGCAACACGCACTACAGAGACAATCGTATATTAGATGAGAAACACATAAATTCACGAAAAGAAAACTCACCATCCTGGCCAACATCCCTGCTTTCTTCGTCGACATATTGGAACTCGCGCAGGGTCTTGATGATGTAAACGTTCTTCCGAGCCCATGTGACAACAAGTTCGGACCCTTCGTGGAGACAGTAGTCGAGAACCTTCAACGACTTAAGAACGTGGCGCCAATTCTTGCCCTTGTCATTAAGTCGCTTGTCTAACATATCCATGATCTCGTAGAAGTCCGTCGGACTAGTGACGTAGTGAAAGTTAGCAATGTGTCGGGTAAATCGCCGTCCTCAGGGATGAAAGAAGCCTACCTGCCAAACGTCATTGACGCAATCTCAGCCATATCGGTCCCCGTAGGGCCCCAATGGTCGTTACTCGTCGCTACAGAAGTCGCAAAGGTCAGCGATCAGTCGAAAGGTCCGACCGAATCGGGCCACCGGATGAGCAAGGAACATACCATTTCGGACTTTCACTTGGACTGCGGAATAGCCCTTTGTAACGTTTTTCACGCTGCGCACGACTTTCGACATTGTGACGGTGTGATATGAAAGAGGGGGAGGGAAGGGCGTTTAGAAGTAAGGTTCGCAGAAAACGGAGGGGGCGCAGAAAGCCGGTGACGCTGGTGACGCTGGTCGGGTGGACGTCGAGGGTAGGGTAACTGTAGAAAAGAACGTCCGGCGAGACAACGAATGGATTCGGTGAGGTAGTGCGATTGGAGCAGAGCCAGTCCGTCTCCCCTTGGCGCGAGTATGAAAGTGAGTTGGGAGTTGGGAGAAGAGAGATGATGGTGGTCTGGCCGTGAGTCTCAGTCTAGTTCTGTTAGTGGCGTATGTAAGCCGCGTTCGGAATAGCCTGGCCGTATCCCCTTGGGGAGGACGAAGACGAAGAGGGGTATCCTGAAGGGCGGAGTTGGATCTGGCTGGGATGCAGAAGCTGATCGCCCAAGAAGCGAGGGGGTCAAGAGAACAGATTCGAGAAGGACGTTGGACGATGAATTCTTCAATGAACGCTGGTTGTTGGTTGTGGCGCAAGGCTGACGACGCAACTTTATCCCACGATTTACCAGCACATACAAAGCGCACAACCAAGAGGGGGGAAACGCCACTACGGACTCAACAAAAAGAATTACAGGAAAGACCTGGCGGGAATTGATCCGATCAGTAACTACGGTCGGAGCAAGGATTCTTGCAAGCGATTATGGCAGAATAGGGGAGGGGTCCAGCTACTCCAGGGTTCAGAATGTTAATGCCTAACGGGCAACACTTCCTGCCGAGTAATCAACGGCCTATGGTTCTCTGCGACTCGTCATGCCGAGAGTATAGTATACCCGTACGGTGACGGTGACATCTGGTCGGTGTTCATGTCTGTGCTGTGGCGGTGCTCTGCACTGCTGTCCGATGACGTCTTTATCTAAGCTATACAGAGTCTCGTCCCTGACGAAGGAAATAACCAAAATAAACATAGCAAGTCATTTATTCTATAGATCCATCATTCGTATCCAGCCTATTGAACCCGAAATATTAACTATAATCAAAAAAGGGCAGTTTTTTAGTTGTTTCCTTCCATGCTCAAATACTTTTCCTCCGCTCCCTTGATGCAGGCAATGTTTGCACCCAACTTGTTCAGCGTCTCCACGTATTCGTCGTATGGATCCGAGTCAAAGACAATGCCACCACCTGCTTGCAGGTATGCCACACCGTCTTTTACAAGCATCGTCCGCAACGCAATACAGGTATCCATCGCTCCCGGAAGCTCGTCGGACCCATCGACCGTGGCGATGTTGTATCCAAAGTAACCAACTGCGCCGGCATAGACTCCACGCTTCTCACCCTCCAGCTCCGCAATAAGCTGCATAGCTCGCACTTTCGGTGCTCCCGAGACTGTGCCAGCAGGGAAAATTGAGCGGAACGCGTCAAATCGAGACTTCCCCGGCCGTAAAACGCCAGAGACTTGTGAAACAAGGTGCTGGACATGAGAAAACTTCTCGACAACCATAAGACGGTCGACTTGAGTAGTGAGTGGGTCACAAATTCGGTTCACATCGTTGCGCGCCAGATCCACCAACATAACGTGCTCTGCGCGGTCTTTCAGGCTTCCCCGTAGCTCTGCAGCAAGCGCTTCATCTTCCTCGGCGGTCTTTCCGCGTTTTACTGTCCCAGCAATGGGATGGGTGATCATACGACCCTTTTCTTCCTTAGCCAGGAGCTCGGGACTAGCACCGACTAGCTGGAAGTCCTCGCAGTCAATGTAGAAGAGATAGGGAGAGGGGTTGACGGTACGGAGATGACGGAAGAGGTTGAACGGGTGAAGCGAGGTCGGCCGAGAAAGGCGTTGGGACGGTACTGTCTGGAATATGTCGCCCTTGGCGATGTGCTCCTTTAGCCTCGTGACGTGTCGTTCATACCCCTCACGCCCGATGTTGGAAGTATACTCCTGGTCCTTAATTATCGGTCCCTGGGGAGGAAGAGGGATCTCGGGTCGTAAAAGAGTGTCGATAATGCGTTGGATCGCTGTTTGACCTTCTTTGTAGTTGGCGTTGAGTTCCGCGTCGTCGTTTGTAATCGGAATGTAGGTGACCACCTTGACAACTTGGAAGAAATGATCGAAGGCGACAATGGTATTGAACAACATAAAAAGTGACTCCGGTATGCGGAGGATATCCTTGAGCGGCCGCGCAGTCTTGGGCTCGAAGTATTTCACGCAATCATACCCCACGTAACCGATGGCACCACCGGTGAGTGGAGGGAGTGTCAATCCGGGCACCGTCGCAACTCGGAAATTCGCGAGCTTCTCCTCCAGAATCGGAAGGGGATCGCATTCGGGGCCATGTCCAGGGCCAGTCTTGAGGACTGAGTGGGGGTCTAATAGGATCAAGAAACAGCAAGGTTAGCCCAGTCGAGAATCTATCAGCGACGTCCGCATCATCACATACCGGCACCAACAAAACTATATCTTCCAATTGTTTCGGTTGTTGCAGCACTCTCGTATAAGAATGATAATTTTGAACTGTTGCGAGCGCACCCAGGTTAGCCCCTTCCCTCCAATGCAGCCACTATCCAGGGCAGTGGTGCGCGGCAACTCACTTTTCAGCGAGTTTCAAGTATGCAAGTGTGGGCGTCAATAGGTCTGCGGGTATTGACGCTGTAAGCGGGAGAAGGTTCGGAGGAAATTTCGAGTTCCTTGACTGGTTGGTCGCATCTCTGGCGGTCTCAATGGACGGCACGATGGTGATCTGAGTCACAAAGTAGTATCAGCACACGCCTCAGCAATTCGGACAGGGAGAACGGTAATGGACACGAAGGAACCCAAATATCATTCCAAGATTGAAAAGGAGATACTTACAGGTGGCGCCATCCTTGCTGTTTCCACTGCCAACGAGTGTAAACAAACGACTTGCTTTGTTCTTGTGCGGGGATTTGGAAGGGCGAAATTTGGCGGAGAAGCGGAGGGTTTGACAAGAAGCAATGGCTTGACCGCCGCCAGATCGCCAGCTAACAAATTCCGACTGTCAGCCCAAATTCAATGTCAGCTGTCTATATACAGGTGAATATATGAAGCAAATTCAAATTGCGATATAAACAAAATGAGAGTTGTTGGATTACACTTAACATTCCCCTCTACTATACCTAGTTATCTCCCCTCCATTGACCGCTTGACGAACTCCGCCGATCGCAAATAGCCTACAATGGACTAAAGACAGGGCTAGTAAAGATTCGGCGGATGAAGATCCAAGAGGCCAAGGAATTTCTCTGCATTCCGAGTCCGTCAAAGTTAAAGATAAAATCTACCAGGAATCTGAAAGGCAGGAGGAGCCTTCCAAGCCGCTGAAAGATCTCGTGACTGTCGCTTGAACAACGTCAAGGCTGAACTCATTCTTTGGCTCACTATTGATCGTCTGTCTACGATAAAACTTTTTTATGTTCCATATTCTTTCCTATGTACCAGTTCAAATAATCACCATCCTCTGGTCCAAGGGTGCCCCTCACTGACTATACAAAGAGCGCTACCAATAATAATGGATGCCATCCCTGCACCAGACGAGCCTTCGAACTCCATCACAGAACTGGGCCAAACACTACTAGTTGAGGAAAAGAACGCTCCAGATGCAAATGAGGTCATCGCAAACCGTCTCACCCGGCTCGCGCACCTATCAACCCTCCATGAGTACCAAAGGCATCCTTCAACCCTTGATTCCAGGACGGTAAACCAATGCCTCGACACACTGGAATCACTACTAGATCCGCGTTCAAATCTCACGAGAGAGATCGCGCTATGCCGCCCTCCGCAACCCCGTCCTGAACCTGCCATTAACTTTTCTAAGCCGCCAAGGAAACTTGAAGGCCCGAGAACACCGCCCATCTCTCCCTCAAGCCCTCATTCTCGTTCACGTTCCTTGGATGCGGTTTCGGCGAGTCGACCGGCGCGAATGCGCCATGACCTAGCAGCTATCAATGACCAAGTGAAGATGCTCGGCAAAGAATTCGTGAAGCGCCGCGAAGAGACGCTCTACATATATTCACTATATGATAGCGAGCGAATGGGGCTGCAACGGCTGATTGCTGAATTAGGAGCTGAGATTGAAGAACTGTATGTGGCTATGTTCGTTGCATGACTGATATTCGGACTAACTAACTGACGTATCATCGTCCATAGACGAGCGGACATGCAGGAAGACTTGGCGGAGCGGGAAGCGCTTCAAGGTACTGTACGTGGGTTGGAGGCTTGGGTCGATGGATGGCAGGAAGAATATCAGCTGGCACTTCAAAAGAAATCAACGGAAGCACCTGGGTCCGGCGGGAGAGGATGGTGGAAGAAGAAAGCTAAAAATTCCGGTGGCTTTGACGCTGATACACTTTTTGAAGGCATCACAGCTTGGATGCGAGGGTGGACTGACGTTGAGGAAGAATTCCGCAATCGAGATAAAGCTCGCAGGTCCAGGAGGGAGAGCAAGCATCGAAGCCAACATAGAGCACCCCCAGATATCGACTAATCATCAAAGCTTCAACTTTCATTGATTCTAAATGTGATCCAGATGGTAGGGACAAATGACAAGTGTCCGATGTAATATTAATCTTTTTATATCATTTGCTCGTATCACCAAGGTATAGAAAACTACAGCGACATAGAATAGAAACAAAACAAAGAGTCAACGTATCCACCCATGGCCATATGCTATCCGTAACCGCGCCTTTCGCCAAATTCCAAGTACTCTGCGCCGTTTTGTATAGTCTAACCGAAGCATATATCAACGTGTAATTGTAATCATAGTGATGATTAAGAGGATGTGACGAGATCCTCCAATCCAGAAGGTTTTTTGGCAATATTCCTTCGCTAACACAACCCTAACCTAGGATAGTGCGCTTCTACCGACGGTGGCGGGAGATATCGACGGCTTGTGCAGTGACACGGTCTTCCCGTCTTAAAGGTTGAGTGGGCACCTGGGACTCATGCCAAGGAATTGTTTGTATTGCCTAATTTGCTCAGCAATAAGTGTTTTATCTCGAATGGCTGTGGCGCCGTAGAATGGATGGTACTGAAGGATCGAGAGCTGGTCGTCCCCGGCTCGGCCTTCTTTAGTTACTGGCATTAATTCGTAGGTACCATCACTGACAGTGATGTAGCGTCACCGTTGCAGGTTGATGATTGCCAACTATAGGGACGCGATTAGTTTTGCAGTTTAAACTTAGCACGAAGTTAGCGATACACACCTGGTTACCAAACCCAAATGCCAACTTCTTCCCATCAGTATCCCATGTTAGCGAACGGTCCTGCACATCTTCTAACGTTCCGTTGTGTCCATTAACGGTCGGAGTCTCCTCTTCCTTCGAATCCTTGTGTTCTGCACTTGAAGACTTCCACGTAGCCATCGCAGGGCCTCCGCGCTGCGCATTCCAGATGGCAAAGCGATCTTTACTGGCAGCAGCAACAGCATATCCATCAGGCGAGAAGCAGCCAGCTAAAACGGGCAATGACTGACCGAGTGACAAGCGGTGTATGCATTCGAAGTTTCGGGATTCAAGGTCAATGTGCCACAGTTTTACTGTATCGTCTGTGGAGGACGACGCAAGTATTAATGGTTGGTCTGGCTGCTCGGATGGGTTGGGTTTAAGCTGGATGGCGGTGATATGACCATCGTGAGCGTCGTCTAGGCGAATATCGTGAGTCGGAACCCAGAGTGAAGCACTAGAAGAAGACGCTACCACGGCCACGGGTGATGGACCGGGGTTTGCGCAGCGAATGAAGGTCCATGGCTGCTCGGGGTCGCCGCCAGAGAAGGTCTTTGAGAGGTGAATGCTTGAATCGATGTCGCATTGGTAGACTGACATGCCACCGCAGGCAAAAGCCTGGGTGCGACCTAGCCAACTGACGTCAAAGACTGAGTCGTCGACTATTTGAGGAGGAGGAAATTCTTCCGGTCGTAATGAGTCGTCCCAGAGAACCAGCTCTGACATTTTGCTATCCGACGCAACAACAATCAACTGAGAGCCACTCTCCGCCCATTTTAGACCGGATATCATTCGTGGGACTTCCGGCAATAGGTCCACAGCGTTTCCGGCCACGTCGTACATGGTGATGGAGCCTCGCATGTCATTGTAAGTAGCAACAGCCAATTTCTGGCCTAGAGGATCCCAAGCTACCGCTGAAACCAACACATTATCGCCTTTATTTTCAACTAGTTTCTCCTGAACCAGTTCAGCGGTCGACGATAATTTGTATAGGCTGCAGAAGGTGTCACCAGCCGCAACAACAACTGTAGGGTCTTGTGGTCGCCAAAGGGTTGTGGTCACGTGGTCTTCACCAGCCACATCGATGATGGCGGTGTCGGGGCTGAGGTCGGCGGCCTTGGCGGGGGTGATCTGGACGCCAACACTTTGTCCAGTCGTCAGGGTAAAAGTCGGTGCGGCGGTTGGTTCCTGGTCTTGCAAAGCCGGTCGGATCCCCATGTTCACATCCCCGTCGCCATCCAACGTCGCTGTCTCTCCTCGCGATGGTGATTCCGTAATATCTGGTTTGGTCTCAGCCGGGATGCCATTCGTAGAATCTACATCCATAGGGGCCTCGTCTCCATTAGCCTCCGCGCGATCGTCTTTGCGCGATGTCTGGACATTCTGCGGCGCGGCAATTTCGACCGTCGAGTGACCATTAATCACGACCCCATCTTGCACAGCCTTGCCTGTCGGCGAGACTGGCAGTTGGTCTGCGCGAACGCTTGTCTCGCTTAGACCTTGCGATTGCTGCTCTGGGTCAAATGGCTTCGGCCCAAAAAAGAAATCTGAAGGCTCATAAGGGACAGTATTCCCCTCCTGTTGGAGTAAAATTAGATATGATCTTGCGGATTAAAAAAATTTTTTAAAGATGAAATAAATCGAGGAACATGCCTTGTCGAGTGACTGTTCAAGTTCGTGGTATTGGAGGCCCTTCTGGACGAGGGACACTAGCGCGTGAGTCCGAATATAGGGAGCAAAAGGTAAAGTCTGCGGATCACGATTCCAAGCGCGTTGAAGTGTCACAGCAGCTTCGCCATGACCTGGCAACAAAAGTTAGCCGTAGACAATTACATCAGATGAAAATGACAGGCGAGGTTTGATTTTTTTTTTTTTTTTTTTTTTTTTTCTCCTCGCAAAAATTGATGAGTGGTGGAGGATGGGGGGGAAAGAAGAGGTTTACGAACCTGATTCTTGAAGGTACCTAAGCACCAGTCAGTATTAATCGCAAATGAGTGGGAGAATGTGGGAGAGCCATTTCAAGGCAAAGGGAACGCACCTCCATATCAGGTAATTAACGTGGTGCGATGTAAGAGCTGGGTTTGCCATTGCTTGTTACATATGACAGCTAGAAAAGCAATGGTGGACGAGCATCCCAGAAGGGGGAATTTAGGTAGGCAGCTGAAGCGTAGGTGAAAGGCAGATAGATCTGCAGAGGGATTGAATCCAAAGGGGGAAAAGTTTGCTGGCGGAACCTGGTGGAGGCGAGTTGAGGCCGAAGATCGAGAACGGGCGGATCGGGAAAGGGGAAAAAGACTGGAGGGGAGATGGGAAAGAGCTGGGAGGGCAAGTTGAAGACACAGACGAAGAAATATGAATTGAAGGGAGAAGCGCGGCAAGGTCTGGGGATAGCCGATGATAGCTCAGGACTAAGCAAAGTGGGGATGTCGTTTGGGAAGCAGGCTTTAGACAGGTGATCAAAAGAAGGGCTTCGCAGCGTTAGGACATGTTATGCACCCTGAACGGCAACGAGAAGGCGTAGAAGCCTAGAAGGAACAGGCAAAGGGAGGCCGACGGGACGGGACAGCAACGTGTGTCGGGACTGGGAGCAGACCCGCAAGACAAGTGCAGAATACCGGAGACGGGGGACGCAGTGTTCTGGCAGTTCGCGATGGAGGAAAGAGACAGAGAAGAATGCCAGAAGGATGTGATGCGAGATGAGACACGATGGACTGGTCGGGGATGGAACCACGGGACGAATGAACGCCAGACTCGCGGGCTCGCAGACTCGGCTGGGAATTCTCGATTTCTCCAGGCGGCTCTGGGATGCGGATTGAAGGTTGGAACCTCAAAAAAGTGGACTGGCGCTTTTGGACTTGACTCCTTGTGGCGTCTGACCCACGGTTGGCCTGCAGCCGGACTGCCAGAGATCGCCCAGTGCAATGCCTGGACGCAGTTAGTGTTGTCGCTGCCGCCAGATTCACTTTGCAGCAATTCCAGCGGACCACTTAGGTATCGAGGTTATAAGTATAACCTGAAAGAATTTATGTGTTCTCGTGCTATTTATTCCAACATTCTCCAGTGCTGACAGCGGAGGGTATACTGAAGTGAAGGGTAAAGCCACCAACACCAACTTAAAATTTGCTCACGTGCCAAGGAGCCTATAACTGCCTGAGGCATACTAATTATTCCACAGGTATGTATGACTAATCGGTACTCATGAATGTCATTATTCGGTATCCCGAAGGTCCTGGACAACGCGATAATATTCCTAAAGAATTAAAATAATAGTATCAAAATTATATTTCTGCACAAGGCCGAGGAACTTTGTCTCTCCACACACCACTTCTTACCGAGCGCATTGACTCGGGATCTGCTGTGCCCTGTGGGAACCAACAGCCTTGAGCGCCCAGTCGGCCGCTTCCTGCCAGCCTCCGCCTCCGCCTCCTTGGCCGAACACTCGACAACTTTTGGGCTTCACAACAGCCTGCGGTCTGCGTTCTGGAGCAGCCGCAAAGCTTCTTCCGACCATGGCGCCTAGAATCAATATCCCTCCGGCGACTCGTGCCTGCCTCATCAGTCTTATCACCCTCTCCTTCCTATACAATATCGCCCGATGGCGCCAGCTTGACACAACCCCGGGCACGCCCGTCATCTCCCCTCCGATTCCCTACCTAACGCTCGTCCCGTCGCAGTTCATCTTTTATCCTTGGACCCTCCTCACGGCAACATTTGTGGAGCAGAACATCTTCACCGTCCTGCTGAACGTGGCCACTCTCTTCTACGGAGGAAAATACCTGGAGCGAGGGTGGGGTTCGCGAGAGTTCACCAAGTTCATTGTTACCATCGCCGTTGTACCCAATGTGGTGATCGTGCCACTCTACATTATATGGGCTGCGATCAGAAGCGGTTCGAGTAGCGGGTACGCCTTGTTCTCTGGCCAGGAATGTACCACTTCATGCACACCTCCTGCTGACTCGCCCTCATTCAGTGTCACACAAATCTGCGGCGGTATCTCGATCCAAGCCTCTTTCCTCGTCGCATTCAAACAACTCGTCCCCGAGCATACGGTGACTATCTTCAAGGGTCTCGTAAAGATGAGGGTGAAGCACTTCCCCGCCGTCTTCCTGCTACTGAACACGCTCGGTGGGGTGCTCCTGGGGACACATGTTGCGGCCACTCTTGCATGGTTCGGTCTGATTACGAGCTGGACTTATCTTCGATTCTTCAAGCGGCAGCCAGATCTCACCGGAACGTCGACCGACGGACTGGGGATCAAGGGCGATGCGAGCGAGACGTTTGCCTTCAAATGCTTCTTCCCCGACGTCATGCAGCCACCAATTGGCGTTGTATCTGATGTCGTCTACTCCACCCTCGTCTCGTTGAAAGTGTGCACTCCATTCTCTGAGGAGGAAATTGCGTCCGGAAACCAGCAAGCTCTTGCTCGGGGAGAGGCAGGCCTTCCCAGCCTCCTCAGCAACCGAGGTGGACGAAGTATGGCTAAGCGTGAGGAGGCGGAGCGGCGGCGAGCCGTGGCGCTGAAGGCGTTGGACCAGAGACTTCAAGCGGCTGTTGCTGCACGGGCACAGCCGAGCTTATCGGGCCCTAGTCAAACCCAAACAGCAACACCGTCGGTCCCGGGACAAACAATGCTGGGTGAGACCAATTATACGCCGGACCATGCTTAAACGCGCCGCATTTATTTCTGGAGTTTGGTTACAGGGTCATTGGGATAATGAGAGCGGATGGTTGGGAAGATCTTGACCGACAGCGATTAGTCTAGGCAAACTAGGGTCTTCTTCGTTGATTGTGATATATGTGGTTTATACTATTAGCATTGCATCTTCTTGTATGTAGCTATATATTTGTCTTCCTCGTTTCAGTTTCACACTTCCTTGTTTGCCGCAGGTCTACCAGCGAAATCTGCAAATTTACCTATTCGATACTACTGGGCCTTGCCACCCGAGCATCTTTTGAGCGGGCCACAGCTGTATAGGTCTCTCTGCGGGTGAGGGATTTGGTGGCCCCAATAATAGCAAGTTCAGCCCAACCCTCTCAAAAGCGACAAATACATGTCCCTGCAGGATATTTGCTTGTCGGGGTATAAGAAAAGAATAAAAATGCCATGCTTTCTATATTGAAGCTTAAAACAAAAACCTAAGACGTTCAAAGGCAAACAAATAAACTAGAATTAAACCACAAAAGAGAAGAAAAAAGATATCCCAAGTACCGCAATAACACAGCCCTTTTCTGAGCAAGCTTTGAACAATGCCCTCACAGACTAACACATTTTAATTGCTTTGCCCTTCTTAATAAAGCCCTTCTTGTACGTCTCTTTACGAAGGTCCTTTTTGTCCCATATTTGAGTACCACGGTCGAGCAATTCGCGGGGCACGTCGGTGTCGGAGACGCTGCAGCAGATGTGGCCCTCTCCTGAGAAAGCCTCCTTGTCATAATCCTCTGCATGGTCCCTAACATACACCGTAATTCTTGGGTGGCTGTTCTGCCATCTATGCCTTATGATACGCTCAAGCCACGCGTTAGTATTGGTTGCAGATAAATGAAAAAGATGTGTCATACCTAATCCATATCGCGCGGTACCCTTCTCGGCTGGCGGCTTCACGACATACATTTTCATGACCTGCAATGCCATCTTCATTATTTGGGGGCGGACAGGGCCGGTATATATATGGGACAGAGCCAGGGTGCGTTAGAGCAGTGGTATAGACGATTTACCGAAGCTCAACCTACCAACGGGTCATTCTGAGTTCCTGTTCCAGTTTGCCGATAGATGAACTTCTGCCTTTTCTTCTTCGGGTCCCAAGGAATCTGTATGGCTTCCTTAAGTAATCTGACAGTGCTGGCATATCCCCTGGTCGTATCGCAGTCTTTCTCTTCGTTCCTGTTGGCCATGATATTTGTGTGCAGTTTGTTCCGTTTGATGTAGTTAGTTGATTATCTTTCGGCGACAACGATTGGACAATTATATATCGCAGTTCGAAATCCAGGGACCAAATGGGACACATCAATGCCTTGTTTACCCAGCTGCAGGGCCCCAGCTACTTGAGATCAACAGAAATTTCAAAGGCGACCCGGTCAAGTTTCTGCGAAAGCTGGCATACCAGGCTATAGAAGCAATGGCTGCCCTTCACCGGCATGGCATTTGCCACAGGGGTAAGTGTACACATGTTTCCCTCGCCCACACCATGAACTAACATCTCTCAGACTTCGGCCCGCACAAACTTCTTCTTCGACAAGATTCTCTTAGAAGAGAGCGACAGCGACGACAGCGACGAGCATGACTGTGTCTTTTGTATGAAGGAGGACTTTCTCACATCTGGGAGTGGTGGGGATGACAATGACAAAGGCAAACCCGTCAATGATGGCAGCAGCAATGAACATAAGCTTGGCTCGCCAGTCAAAAACCTCAGCCCCCTTCAATGGACCCTTGACTTCAGTGAAGTTAGACATTTTCTTAGGCGGTCCGATGGGAAACTCTGTCATGGAAAGGTTTCTGGGGTGGAAGAGTACCTGCTTGTAGACTTGCTCTCAAAGATGCTCAGGTATGATCCCAGTGAGCGTCCAACAGCTGAGCAGGTCCTGAAGCACCCCTGGTTCTCATTTGGGATGAAGAAAAGGGAAAGATAAAGACTTCCTGATGTCCTTATATTGCATTCATGTGATGGCTGAGCTAGTTCCGTGATTTGTCCTACTTTGTGCCTAATGCGCATGGCTGCTTTTATATGTTTTCTTATACGAATATTATTATTACCATTGATGTGACTTGCTTTCTTATCCTATCTCAATTGTAGATACGTCCGATTGACGCTAGTAGGGAGGGTAGATGGGGGAGCTCGATGGTACTATAGATGGTTTGTCATCTAGCCCCTAGCCCGTACAACATGGCTCTGTGCTATGGAAAAGGGGAAATTCCTCCGAATAGCGGAAATTATAGCTGTAACGAGCGTGAATATTGCTGTCATTTATGAAGTGTCCACTGGACCATAGAGCTTCTCTTCAACCGCCCAGCCGCTGAGTTTACCGTTTGCGTGTCTTAAAAGACTTCCGGTGCACAGTCGTTTATATGAAATTTCACAAGTCGAAAAGAATTATAGGGCCCAATTTGAACTACAATTGGGTTTACTGATGGCAATGGTTCGGATGCTGTAGGTATCCATTGAAACGAGACGCATAATATCAGGTTTGATATGAGATACACGAATGAGAACAAGATCGAATATTTTAATAAACTACATATATATATGTAGAAAGTGTGGAGACATGTGCTTCAATTTTGACGCTGGCTGATAGTGTGAAAGAGGAAAATGAATAAGCAATCAAGGGCGCATGGTTTAGGGGTATAACGCTCCATTCGCATTGGAGAGGTCCCGGGTCCGATTCCCGGTGTGTCCACAGCTTTTTTGACATTTTTTTTTCCCCCAAACCATTTTGTCTGTATTAGCATCGTAGCTATGAAAATATGCAATCCGAACCACAGAATCTTGTGAGGCAAATTTTTTATGAGAGAGTATTTTTCATATTTGCGTTTTTATTGTTGAGAGAATATGTCTCTATTCCATTCATCAAACGGGGGACATCATGTACTCCGTAAAGTCCCGGCTAATCTATGCAAGTCGAGCCAGGCAAATTAGCAGTGCAAGTTTTGGTATACTATCCTCCCGGACTTATTGTAAAACAGAGGAGGTGATTAAGCAACTGAGGGCGCTTGGTTTAGTGGTATAACGCTCCATTTGCATTGGAGAGGTCCGGGGTTCGATTCCCCGAGTGTCCATTTTTCACATTTTTTGGTCCCTGTTTTTTTTTTTTTTTGCTGCCTTCCCCTTTGCCGCTATTATTGCGGAGCCGCTAGCGTTTCAGGTTCATTTAGTTAAATCAATACTGAACAGAAAGCCATAGCGTCTTAATAAGCAAACTGAGGGCGCTTGGTTTAGTGGTATAACGCTCCATTTGCATTGGAGAGGTCCGGGGTCCGATTCCCCGAGTGTCCAGTTTTTTTTTTAAAGTCCTGATTTTTTTAGCTGCCTTCTTAGTGAATCTTTCATGATGGCACAGTGACCAGAGTTGGTATTTTATTTGCCCTGTAATGAATACAGAGTATAGCAAGCTAGATGTCAATTGATTCAGACACACCGCTGCTGGCGCCATCTAAGCGTCCGTTCACAAACCCAAACCTGGTCATTACTGTAGGTATACTATACCTTCGATAGAAGGCTGGACCACGATATGTTGCCGTTTGAAATATGCTTGACGGAATCAGAAGGTATGATAATAGTTTAATATATCAAGTGGCTATCCATCCATAAAAGAGTAAAAGTACATGAAATACATCGAAAAAAAAAATGCTATGCTACAATGACAGACCTTGTTTCCCAGAGTCCAATGCCATCTCCCAGAGAACGTATCTATAATTGTTTCAATTTCTCAACTTCTCCCCTCGCTGCTTGTAACATTCGCTCGTGATCCAACTTGGCCTGTCGAATACCAGCCACTCGTGCGCGGTCCTGGACTGATTGTTGTGCGATCTGCCCGAGTTTCTGCATCTCGGCTTTCTCCTCCTCAGTGGCGGTAACCTCTTGCGCCCCGGTCATATTCTTAAGTTTGTTCCAGATATCAGTGTAGCTCAGGTTCCTGACATCCACAACGGCCGCCTGTTCCGTCCCAGACGGTTCGGGAGCATGCTGGTCCTTGGCCGCGCTTGCGCTTAGCGAAGCAGCATTGCTGAGTTTCTCTGCGAAATATACCGTCAAAGAGGCGGGTCCTTCCTGATCCGCAGTTTGTTTCACCGTGATCGGGATAGCCGGGTTATGATACTTGAGGCGAGTGAGACAATTCCGCCAGAAATGTCGTGCACCCTGGTGTCCACCATAGATCTTCGTGGCATATGTGAGGTGTAGGCGTGTAATGGCTGGGAATTCCGGGGTTGCGGTAGCTGCTGAGGGGAGGACTGCGGCGCCCGTTCCAACGCGAATATTGAGGATCTGTTATCAATTGCAGTTAGCGGATCGCGTTTCGCATGACAATGAGCCCAAGAGTCGATTCTTCGTTGATCTAGGAGAGACTGGGATAGATTGGATATTGAGATCGGGGCAGAATTACCCTCTGTAAATGAGAATGTTAGAATTGATTGAGGCATTTGTATAGGGTGGAGGACGTACAGTATTCAGCTTCCGCATCCGCTTGAATAAATTAACCATGGTGACGGAGAGGCACGCAGATATGCGGTAGTCTGCGTGAGAAAGAAAGAGTGATCAGGTTGGGCGGGATACAATCGTTGGCCTGACAGCTTCGTCGCCAAAAGATTGTCGGGGAAAAGAAACCATTCCGATACGCGCACGTGACGAGAAGCCGCTGTTCCAGGAACAGAAGGCGGTAAATGACACCGCGTCCCACATAATCTTTTCTTGCGGGCTTTTTGATCAGGCCCGAGCCCCGCGGTCTTGAAAGCCATTCCCTGACTCATTTCTACTTTATCCCACGCGCTTGGGCTCATTCTATACAGTTTGCAAAAGCGGACTTCACAGAGAGCCATGGCAGCCGCTGCTGCTTCCGCAGCTGCGCTCGATCCGGGCAACAGCTCCAAGAACACTCTCAAACTTGAAAATGTTCATACTCACTTGCCCCTCCATCGGTCAATGGGACCAAAATCTCAAAAAAAATTGAATGACTGGGCTAATATATGTTCATAAACACAGACCGAGAAACGTGATACCCTAGTCGCTATCGAGAAGAAATACCAGGCACAATGGAAGGAGAACAAAGTTTTCGAGGTCGACGCCCCTACCCTGTCCGAAGTCCCTGCCGGTAGCATGTCCCCCGAAGAGCTCCGCGAGAAATACCCCAAGTTCTTTGGTACCATGGCGTATCCCTACATGAACGGTACTCTTCACGCAGGACACAGTTTCACAGCGAGTAAAGTGGAGTTCATGGCCGCCACAGCCCGCATGGAGGGAAAGAGAGCCCTCTTCCCTCTCGGATTCCACTGCACTGGTATGCCCATAAAGGCTTGTGCAGACAAGCTCCGCGATGAGGTCCAGAAGTTTGGAAAGAACTTTGAAGGCTACAAGGATGAAGACGAGGTGGCTGAGGCTGTCGCTGCTCCTACCCAAGAGGTCAAGGGCGAGCAGCAAGAGAAATTCTCTGGAAAGAAGAGCAAGGCTGCTGCCAAAACCGTGAAGATGAAGTACCAATTCCAGATTATGCTGGCCATTGGAATTCCCATTGAGGAGATCCACAAGTTCGCGGATGCCTCGTACTGGCTCCAGCACTTCCCACCCCTCGCCATCCGTGATCTCGACAGTCTCGGCGCTGGTATCGATTGGCGCCGACAAATGGTCACCACCGACGCAAACCCCTACTACGATGCGTTTGTGCGCTGGCAGATGAACCGCCTGTACGAACTCGGCAAGATTCAGTACGGTAACCGATACACTGTTTATTCTCCGAAAGACGGCCAGCCATGCATGGACCACGACCGAACCGAGGGTGAGGGTATTGGTCCTCAGGAGTACACCGCTATGAAGCTGAAGGTGAAGGAGTGGGCACCCGAAATCGCGGAGCTCGTGAAGGGTAAAATTGAGGACGATGCCAGTGTTTACTTCACCCCCGCTACCTTACGTCCAGAGACCATGTATGGTCAAAACTGCTGCTTCCTTGGACCTAAGATCGAATATGGAATATTCAAGGTTAAAGAGAAGGAGTACTATATCTGCACCAAACGGGGTGCTTGGAACATGGCTTTCCAGGGAACCTTTTTCGATAGCGAACACTTTCCTAAGACCCAGGATGAGTTGCCCACCGTTCTTACGGCTCCGGGATCCGCATTTGTCGGCACTCTCGTGGATGCCCCTCTGTCGTTCCACAAGGAAGGTGTCCGTATTTTGCCTATGGATGGTGTTTCAGCTACTAAGGGTACTGGTGTTGTCACTTGCGTACCATCGGACAGCCCCGACGACTACGCAACTTTGGTCGACCTTGCAAAGAAGTCCGAGTACTATGGCATTCAGAAGGAGTGGGCTGAATTAGAAATTTTCCCTCTCATTGAGACACCCACTTACGGCAACCTCACCGCGCCTGCCTTGGTAAAGAAACTCAAGATCAACTCCCCCAAAGATGTCAACCAGCTCGCACAGGCTAAGGAGTTGGCCTATGGTGAAGCCTTCTACAAGGGAACTATGATTGTTGGAGAATATAAGGGTGAGCCCGTGAGCGCTGCCAAGGACAAGATCCGCAAGTCTCTTTACGATAGTGGTGATGCTTTCCCCTTCGCCGACCCCATGGGCAAGGTTGTCAGCCGAAGTGGAGACGACTGTGTCGTTGCCTACCTTGGGCAATGGTTCTTGAACTACGGTGAGAATGATGCGCAGTGGCAACAAGACACCCTTGGCCACGTTGTCAACACACTCAACACATATGCAAACGAGACGAAGAACGGCTTCGAGAAGAACCTTTCATGGCTCAACCGCTGGGCCTGCGCTAGAACATATGGCCTAGGCTCAAAACTTCCCTGGGATCAGCAATTCCTCGTTGAGAGTTTGAGTGACAGTACGGTCTACATGGCCTACTACACCATCGCACACCTTTTGCACGGTGACCGGTATGGTAAGACCACCGGTACTCTCAATATCAACCCCGAGCAGATGATCGACGAGGTCTGGGACTACGTCTTCTGCCGACGCGAGATCAGCGACGAGCTCATCAACAAGAGCGGATTGACCAAGGACGCTCTTCTATCTCTGCGAAGAGAATTCGAATACTGGTACCCTATGGATGTCCGTGTATCTGGAAAGGATCTGATTCAAAACCACTTGACTTTCTTCCTCTACATCCACGTTGCTCTCTTCCCTCCACAGTACTGGCCTCGTGGTGTCCGTGCTAACGGACACTTGCTCCTGAACGGTGACAAGATGAGCAAGAGCACCGGAAACTTCCTAACCCTTAAAGACTCGGTCGACAAGTTCGGTGCCGATGCTACTCGTATTGCATTCGCAGACGCGGGTGACGGTATTGAAGATGCCAACTTCGAGGAGAGCGTTGCCAACAGTAACATCCTGCGTCTCTTCACACTCAAGGAGTGGATTGAGGAAGTCGTCAAGGATGACAGCCTCCGAACTGGACCCGCCGACCACTTCTGGGACAGGGTTTTCGACAACGAACTCAACACCCTGGTTCGCGAAGCCAAGAAGAACTACCAAGAGTGAGTCTATATCTGTATATCAAAGAACATCGCTTGCTAACTTGAACCTAGCACCAACTTCAAGCTCGCCTTGAAGTCCAGTCTGTACGATTTGGTCGGTGCCCGTGACGCCTACCGTGAGGCCGCCACATCTGCCGGCATAGGCATGCACCGCGATGTCGTCCTGCGCTATATCGAGCTCCAGGCTCTCATGATGTCGCCAATCGCACCCCATTGGTCTGAGTACATCTGGCTCGAAATATTGAAGAAGGTATGCGCATCCTAAACCCTGTACCATCCAATTAAATTTCAATTTCTAACATCGCTTAGGGCGACACCATCCACCGCGCCGTCTTCCCCGAAGTCCCTGAACCCTCACCCGAGCTCTCCGCAGCAACCAACTACGTCCGCTCAACATCCTCCAACATCCTCTCTTCAGAGGCCAACTTCGTTCGCAAGCTCGCCAAGGGCAAGAGCGCAAACTTCGACCCACGAAAGCCCAAGAAGATCACGATCTTCGCAGCCAAGAAGTTCCCCTCCTGGCAAGAAAAGTACATTGACCTCGTCCGTGAAGCTTTTGACGCCGTAAGCATCTCGATCAACGACAAAGACCTTAACGCCAAGGTCGGCAAGTTTGGTGAAATGAAGAAGGCTATGCCATTCGTTCAGAACCTCAAGAAGCGTCTGGTCACGACCAAGGAGGCTCCTGAGACTGTCTTTGACCGAAAACTGCCGTTCGATGAGTTCCAGGTGCTGAAGGAGATGACCGTGAACTTGAAGAAGACGACGGGCGCGAAGGAGATTGAGGTTGTTGCTGTTGATGAGGGTGGCAAGACCGGTGAGGTTGTCGGCTCTGGTGAGAAGAGAGAGGGCCTGCAAGCTGAGAATGCCGTTCCTGGTCAGCCGACGTTTAGCTTCGTCAACGTGGAGTAAAGCTAGATGTATAAATCTAGACATACATACTGATTTCTTAAAGCAATACAAAATACGTTCATGATACGGTCCGGGTTGTCTGCCTACTATTTACTCTCTACCTACCTAGGTAAAACTACCTGCCCCCCCTGGTATGTAAGAAAGCACCACTGGTCCGCATGGTTGGCGGCCATACGTACACTTTGTAAGTGGTAACTTATCGATTCCCTCTAAAAATGAAGAAGATTAGCTACGGTAGCTTGGTGCCTGCGATAGTAGTTAGAAGTAGTACTCCGGTAGTATGTAGTCGGGTAGACGACTGCACCTGCCAAACTCAACCTATCAACCACGGAACCTATGCATAAGCCATGTGGAATGACCTCATTGCTATACTAAGCCTCGATATATATTGTACTCCATGAATCAGACGGTGGCTCATTCAGGATTGGAACCAGACGCCAGAAAATGGCGATCCAATGCTTGTGCTCTGGGATCATCATTGAGGGAATGACGTCAGAGGCAGGCACCACCGACGAAGTATAAGACTGGACACGCAGCAACATCGTCACTTCTCCATTTTCGTTCCACCCTTTGTCTACCTCTCTCCTTATATCCAATATTATCTAAAACCTCCCATTTACCAGCTAAACAAACAAATAAATAAACGGTCCATCCGTCTTCCACCACAAACCAACCGATTCCTCCTCAAATACCCCACAACAAATACACAACAAAATGCCCTCCGACTCCTCCGATAAGGGCGTCACCGGTGCCGCCAAATTCCTCACATCCACGCTCGGAAATACCGTCGGCGGCGTCTCGAAGACAGTCGGTGGCGTTGCCGGCACTGCAACCCGCGGCATTGGCGATACCGTTACTAGCGCCACTGGGAGCACGGGGAAGCCTGTGGGCGATGCGCTGGGGAGTGCGGGGACCGGACTAGAAGATGGGATGAAGAAGGTTGGAAAGGGTGTTGAGAATGCGGGGCAGTGGAAATGAAGTTATTGAACTCTGACTATGGGGTTCGATTTGATTTCGATATGTTACGATATGATGTTGGATTGGTATATATAATGATTATTTTGAATTGATGATACCTATTCTATGGCCTTGACGCCTTATGTCAATGATATGGTGATTGCCGCCCCAATAAAAACCCCCTTAGAGAGATTTCACGGTCTTGACAAGTCTATCCGAAACAATTAGTTCGAACTGTAGTGTTAAAAAATGGGATAAGGATACGTACCTCCTCAAACCCTCCCGCAGAAAATCCTCGTCATGGGAGTAGACAAGCCTAAACCAGCCCAGGTCCTTGCAATGCTCCTCACCTGGGTGCAAGAATAGCCCATTATCGAGGAGCCTCTGAGCGAGTGCGAATTCCCGTTCCTGGCCCGACAACGAATCATCTTTTGGTAAGTATGGCGAGAGATCTACGTAAACGAAGAACCCGGCATTTCTACAGAATTATCATTAGTTTTAGTTGCATCGACGCTGAATGGGGTGCTTCCGCTTACCCTCCTTTAACGTAATTGATGCCCTCTTCGTCGAGAACTGACGTGGTTATTCCATATGAGAAAGCTAGATCTCGAAGGGATTTCTCAGTGAACTTGGATACGAATTCTTCGTCTTGCAGAATTGTAGCTCCTATTGTCTCGGCCGCCGAGGATATGCTGTGGAATCTCCTTTATTTTCATGTTTAGTTAGCTCTTTGGAAGTTACAGCTGGACTTGAGAAGTTCAAAACGTACAGCATTGCTGAGCAGGATCGACGGAGCTCGACGTTACGAGAGACTATGAAGCCGATATGCAGACCCCCTGAGGCGAAGTCCTAAATTTATTTATTAATTTTTTATGCATGGGTTTTCATTGAGGGCATAGACTGACCTTGCTGAACCCATACAAGACATGCACAAGATTCGGGTCAATCAACTCCGGCGTAGCGAGAGAAAGAACAGACATAAACAGCGGCGCATATGGGTGTCCAGAGTCAAAAACACACAGCGCATAGATCTCGTCACTGATAAGATGAATTTGGTGCTTGTTGCAGAACTTCAGAATCTCTATGAGCGTTTCTGTCGGGTAGCAGCGGCCTATAGTAATCCCATCAATACGCAAAAACAACCCAGAGCCAGAAGGGCAGTTCGTTAAATCAACTCACCAACAGGATTATGCGGATTAACCAAAACCAAAGCCCTAATCTTCACACCTCTTGCTTGTGCATCTTGTAGGGCTTTCTCATACTTCTCAATGCAAGCCAGCGAGAACGCCTCGTAGGGATCTGTATCCGCGTACACAATCTCAACGCCACCCTGAACTCCATAGTCGAGCTCAAACCGCCCATACACAGGCCTGCTCACCAGGACACCATCGCCGGGCTCAGCAAGCGCATAGGCAAGCATGTTCCCGGCCGCCGAGCATCCGTTCACTTTGACAACCATCTCAGGCTCTACCGGCGTGAGAGGGTTAAAGTACCTGTTTAGATGGGCCGCGGCAGCAGCCGGGAGCGGGTGCTCGGTTGCCCATGAGCCATAACAGACCGAGTTGGTCGTGAATTTGACCTGGGGGATGTTAGCTTGGAATCTAGTTGGGAGGGGAGGGCACTCTTGACCTTATTGTTTATGTACTCCGCGATATCAGTCCGGACTGGGCCCTAGATTGATTGTTAGAAGTTAATATTTTATTTAAGTGATAGATACTGGGACTGGTGTACATGTTCTGCCATTCCGAAGCAGATGAGGCCATCGGGGTTAGTTTGTTTGTTATAGGTCGGCGAAACAGCAAAGCGCCAAGGGATGTTGAACGAGTCCGCATTCTTTTTTCCGCGTGAAGATAGCATATTTAGAAATGAAATCCAACAATATAGATAGTATAGAGAAAAAAGCAATAAATATCCAGGAACTAAAGATGGTTTAGGGGTGGGGGAGAAGAGAGGAAGACATCAGAAGTCAAGAACCCTGTGAGTACGAGGATCCACCCCCCCACTGCAGCTACGTAGTTTATCTACACCGTACCTGCTATCCTACACACACCGTATTCTCCGGTAACGGCCCATTGGCTGCAGAATGAGTGATGTTGAAGCGCCTGGCCTCCTTACTCGCTCCGATGTGGCCCGGGACTTGATTCTCCCGCACTTTTTCTTTTAATTCTAACTTCTGCCGCTCGCTCTGATAGTATACACTCTTATAAGGCCCAACTCTATATCCCAAACACCATTCGCTATGCTATATAGTACACCTAGGCAGTATTATACAAAAATGAGGGGGGGATGTATAGACAATCGAATATGATCAGGTAATATTTCGGAATGGGTCCAGACGCTTCCGCCTCAAATATCCAGTCCGCTTCACCCAACCAATACTCCGACGATGACGAAGGTTTTGTCTCTCAGTGTTCAGTTTCTGCTCGACAAACTTCCAGCACTCGAAGGGTCGCCGTGATGCAACGTGCTTCCCTTCAGGCGTGAACACTTCAACCTGTGGGAACGAATTTGCAAGTTCACCCCTGTTCTCTGATGGCTTTGCACGGATCTGCGCAGTCAATTCGATCCAACCGCATCCTTCGATTAGAATATCAGCAGACATCACCCTGTATGGTATGAAGGCAGGTGCAGATCCTTTATCTTTCATGACTTTTGCTATGGATTTTGGAAGATTGGATCGGGTCACGTCCCACTTTAGATCGAAGACCCCTGCAAGAGATATTGTTTCCCCTGTTCCCGGTTTGGCAATGTCTTCTGTGCGGGGTGTGAGTTCTCCGGCTTGAATCTTTACTGCCTTATCAGTCCTCGTCAGGTGAGAGTCAAGCGGAACAAAGCAAGCGGCGGTCACTATGGTTTGAGGGTCTGTAGGAGTGATGCGCACAAGAGTGCCTCCGAGAACCAAAGACTGCCCAGGTTTGATGCTGTGTCGTTCGGGCTTTTGCCGTTTGGTCATGATAAGGTCGCGCTTGTATTTGTCCTGCACATGATTATCTAGGCTACCACGGTCAAGCCCGGGGAGATCAATGACTTCGCCTCTGCCGCGGCCGAATGGGATCCGAATTGGTGAGACCGTTGTGCCCGGAAGAGATGAGACGACTGGAAGAACAGGATAGAGATCCTCTCTCGGCTTGGGTGGGAGAAGGCTGTCGGGATCTAGGTCAGGTTGCTTTGACGGATCACGCGGAGCTGACTCTTCAGCAGCTCGGCGTGCAACGAGTTCCGCCATCTTTTCGAGGTTCCGTGAGTCCCTTGGAATACAGGCTTCGACAAAGCTACTCTTTCCAGCGTTAATCTTTCCCACAATCCATATGCCGCCTCCATGCTCCTCCATCTCCTCTTTTACTTGCTTTGTCCACCAACCTCGGTGGGCGCTAATCATATGTACATTGCCCAGGCGGACATCCTCTGGAATCTTCAGCTTTTCACGGAGGATTGACCGAATGTACTGCATCTTGGAATCGGTTTGTTGGCTGGTAGGTGCTAGAAGATCCGAGCGCGTTATCACGAACGATATCGTTGGTAACTTCCTCCCATGCTTGTATTTCTCCGTCGCGGATCGTCGATTCCGCGAGCGTTGTCCCTGAATGGAAAGGTCTTCGTATATACCATCCACAAGTGACATGGGGAAGTCCGCCGCATCGATTATATGGTAGATCCGGTTATGCTTATATGGTGATTCGTCAAGGTATGCGCTAATGGAGTGTATCGTAGGCGAGATGGCGGATACCGCCTCGTTATGGTGTAGAAGATCGTGACATCTGTCGCAGACCTGAACCTGCGTTTTCGATTTCATCAGGTACTGACCGGCTGTGTCCGCTGCACTATCGATAAGCGCGCCATCTAAATAGACAGTACTGTTAGTGAGCAAGTAAAGAAGACATGATGGACAGATACCTACGGAGTGGTTTAGGAGCACTCTCAATTTCCTCAGTCGCTTCATCCAAGGCATTGGCTGCTTCTTCCCATGTAGGCTCTTTTGGCGTTTGGTTTTGCGCTTTACGGGGCTTCTTTTTCGTTTGTTTTCTGGTTTTGCCATAGTATCCTGGCTCGCTCGGCTCAACGGTTTGCGCGTACGCACCACAACCCGGACAGCATGTTGGCAGAACGGCTTTGAGACTTTCTGGCGATTTCGCAACTTCGGAGGCGTCGGTAGATGAGTTTCGTAATTGATTCTTCGACAATGGCGTGGTGAAATCTAGGCCGGACTGCCGCAAGAAGCGGGTTGGAGCAGGTTGAGCGCGGAAGAAACGCCCAGGCTGTTGATATGAGCGTGGGAGTTTCCACGCGGGAGTAAGAGCCCTCGGAGTTAGTCTCCTCAGAGACGACGACATGGTGATCATGAAATCGAAGAGCGAGAGAAAAGAAAGATTTGCGACGGGAAATTCAATCGTCTAGACCGAAGCATTACCGTATTGGTCCGCTCCGCCATCCGTAAAAAGTTAGAGTGGCGGCGCGGGCCTCGATGGCTCCAAAACATCTTACCATGCGTAAGGGAAGAGATATAGGACAATTAAATGGAATATACAAGACATTATTTCCCTTTCACTAAAATAGGCTGGAGAAAACTTAGGTATACAAATGTGGTAGCGGTATAAATAATGCGCTGAAATCATAAAAGCTCAAAAAAGTTGATAGAGTCAAAACAAAGCACATGGCATTGGTTATGCCTTAGCTTTTCCTTTTCCCTTTGCATCACTGGTATCAACCTCCTCTTCTTCTTCCGAATCACTCATAAATTCGTCATCCTCGTCAAACCCGATATACCTCCTCGGTGCAGCAGCAACCTTCGATGGACCAGACTGCGCGGGTGCGTCTTTCATCTCAGTTTCATCATCGCTCTCCTCCGAAGCAGAACCACTTTCTTGTCCACTTCCCTCACTGGCACTTGTACTCGAACCGCCCAAAAGAGAATCCTTCAGGTTATCCGTCCAGACACCTTCCTTCATAGCAGCAAGAACCGCCTCCCGAGCCTTCTCGTTCATTTCGTCTCTATCCTCCATCCATTGACCGTCAACCTTCTGCTTTCCACCACCGTTTTTGATCTCTTCCTGGCGCTTCTCCGCGGCATCCACAACAGCCTCCCACCTCCGTCGGCGTTCCTCCTTCTCCTTCTTGTCCATCTCAGGCTTCACAGCTAGATACTCCGCCAGCGCCTTGGCCTCGTTTACTGTGCGAATACGTCGACCATCGAGGTTACGGCTGGAGCCGTTGTCGTCGCCCTGGTTGCGCTTGCGTCTGCTTGACATGCGCCCACCAGCGGCACGGAGTTGGGAACCGAAACCACCTTTCCCTCCGCACATAGGAACACTAAGGCGGAGAGGGAGGAGGTTTGAGGTGGCTGTGAAGTCGCCATTTGGTGAGATGAGGTCGGAGACGGTGCGGGATGATGGGAGGAGTTGTTTGTTATTGGTTGTTGTCAGAATGAGAGACTGGAGTGGTACGGCCGGAGGGATATATGAGGAGACCTTTTCGCATAGATCTGAGAGAGTTGATGTCGATGGGAGCGAGAATGAGACTGTTGAGGGAAGCGAAAGTCCTGGGAAGGACGAGAGGAGGACGTTGACGTGAGACGTCATCTTGGCTTGATCGGCAGGAGTTTGGCAAGGTATGTGCTGGATAAGTTTCGATAAACTCACGATCTCTCGTTGCGGTGCAGGAATATCGACACCCTGCTAAAAGTGAATTGTTGAGGTGACCGATAAGCGTGGCTGGATGTGAAGATGAGGATGAATGAGGTTGACGATAAGACCCACTCAAATCCAAATCACATGATATATTAGTCACATGACATTATCTTATCAAAGAAGCAGCTGATTAGGGCCAGAGCCCTCCCGTCGCCGAATGAGGAGTCACCGCACTTTTAACTCGGCAGCCATCGCTCCACTCCCATCACATCCAATTTCAACCAACCTCTTCGCGCGTTGTCAGAGCGATTCCCCGAAGAGCACCAGGAACTCGCGACAATGTAAGAGATGCCCCTGAAATACCAATTGGATTGAACAGTTTTGCTAATACCATCCCAGGCTTATCCCCAAGGAAGACCGCAAGAAGATCCACGAGTACCTCTTCCGTGGTATGTGACCGACTTTCCCTCGACGGCGGACATCGAATGTCGAATGAATATTGCGGAAAGAATTTATGATTGCTGACTGAAGTGCGATTATTACAGAGGGTGTGCTCGTGGCTAAGAAGGACTTCAACCTTCCCAAGCACGGCGAAATTGACACCAAGAACCTCTACGTGATCAAGGCCTGCCAGTCCCTCAACTCCCGCGGCTACATCAAGACCCAGTTCTCGTGGCAGTACTACTACTACACCCTCACCCCCGAGGTACGTTGAATTCATATACGAGGCAAACTGGCAGCATAAGAAAAGGAGTTGGAAACTAACGATGCCTTTCTAGGGTCTTGACTACCTCCGTGAATGGCTCCACCTCCCCGCTGAGGTTGTCCCTGCCACCCACATCAAGCAGCAGCGTTCCCACGCTCCCCCCCGTGGCATGCTCGGCGGTGAGGAGCGCGAGCGTCGTCCCCGTCCTCCTCGTGAGGGTGGCTACAGACGCCGTGAGGAAGGCAAGGAGGGCGGTGCCCCCGGCGAGTTCGCTCCTAACTTCCGTGGTGGCTTCGGCCGTGGCCGTGGTGCCCCTCCTTCGTAAGGTGGTGTCATCGCCAGGTCTTCCGAGGGAATTAATGGGTGTTGCTAGTGTGGTTTGAGTAGGCTTAGGTCAGAAATTACTGCAGTTAGCACACCCAATTCAAAAAATTTACGATGTCATATACCTTTGCTATATCTGTTCATGGGAGTAGCTAGATAATTGACACGATCATGATGAAACTTAATTCTCAGTATCGTAGTATTTACAGCTTATTGATATTGATGCAGAGAGATGGGAGATATTTTGATACATCTTATGCCGAGAACCGCTTACGGTCATACCGCACAACTGCCTGCAAAATGACAGAGGTCCCTCTGGCACAATCATCAGCAGAGCAGAACTCTTCAGGATGATGGCTCAACCCATCCCTGCAAGGAACAAAGATCATGCTCGTCGGAACTCTCTTCGAAGTAAAAACACTATCATGCCCGGCGCCACTCATAATAGTCCGCACAAGCGACTTGGGATCCGCACCACCAGCATCAGTTGCAACAGCCTCGGCAGATTGTTGTACACACTCAATACAATCCGGGTGGAAGTTCACAGCCGGGGAGTCAAAATCCAACGTCCACTCTACACGGCACGGCTTCCCGATCCCCTTCCCTTCCTCCGCAGCAATTGCATCGAAATCCTTACGCAGCTGGGCTTCTACGACCTCGACGAGATCGGTCTTTGGCCCACGGATATCGAGGCTGAAGCTCACTGTGCCGGGAACGGTGTTTACACTGCCGGGCTTCGCTTCGATGATGCCCACGCTTGCTAGACAGCCCTGGGAGGCTGCGACTTCCCTGGCTCGTACCATCATGCGCGCAAATGCGTAGAGAGCATCGGCGCGGTGCTCGAAGGCCGTTGTTCCTGTGTGCGTGTCTCGACCGAAGATGTTGAGACGGAACCATCGGTATGCCTGGACAGCTGTCACGACGCCGATTTGCTGTCCTGCTGTGATGAGGTGAGGGCCCTGTTCGATGTGCAGTTCGAAGTGGGCTGCCATGGGGCTTTCCTTGTAAGAACATGGTACGCTTCCGAGATATTCGATCTTCTCGAGTGCCGATTTCATGGACTCGGGGGCGGATGCTGCCGTGGGGAGGGAGGCGACTGTTGGAACTTCCTTCAATGCATGTGCCTTCTCCAAGGGGATGCTTTCTGCCCATACTCCGGAGGAGACCATGCTAATAGGGAACCGAGCGCCTTCTTCACTGTGGATGCATTAGTTACCTCCCGGTGGCGTCTAGAGGTGCTTGGAATCTTACTTGGTCCAATTGACGACACCAACACCACCTTCTGTTTCGAGTCCCATATCGTTTAGCGTCTTGAGCGTCTCAATGCCAGAGAGGACGCCCAAGATCCCATCATATCGACCACCCGTCGGCTGCGTATCTAGGTGACTACCAATAAAAGTTGCTGGCACATCGGTTCTGCGCCCAGGACGGACAGCAAAAATGTTGCCCATCGCGTCCACTGTGACTTTGCATCCTAGGGCTTCTGTTGTTTCGATGAACCAGTCTCGCACTTGTTTATCCTCCTGCGACAGCGCTAAACGCTGCATCCCCGTGTCTGTGTGGCCACTAATTCATAATCAGTCCACATGAAGGCTATATATATATGCCATGGGGGATATTTGTTGTGAGGTACGTCGTCTATACTTACTCTCCCCAGCGGATTCCGTATCCCCATTGGCATGTATGGTGAAGGTCCTGTGCAAGGCGGTCCTTGTTGGCTCTAAGAGCCGATACTTGGGCGTCGGTTAACTCCGTCGACAACATGGCTTGCTTCAGAGAAATGGAGAATGCGCGTCGTGGGCTTAGAGATTGTGCTCGTGCGGGGAGAAAGGATGTATATCGAAAAGCTGGCTTGAGTGTTGCCGTTACAGGTCGTTTCAATTGCAGAACAGCAGCCATTTTGGAGGCGATTTACAGGAGGCTACAGCCTATTTTTATATGGCCAGATAGGAAGAGGTCCAAGCATGGATGAATGATAAGGTAGGTAGGCGACTCCAACTATAGAGCTTCATATCCGAGGCGGGGTTGTATTGGAGTCGGCACTGCCGTCAAATCATAGCCAGAATAAAACAAATCTAAGCCATGATAAGAAGGTATTCGGCGCCAGGGGCACTCTGAAAAAGGGGTGTTAGTCCACTAAGTAAAACCAGCTTTGACCTTCCCAGTTCAGTCGTCCCAGCAGTAAAAACGTAGGTGGACTGACTCACCGTTCCGAAGCCGCCGCCAACCCCGCATTCGCATTCGGCCAACCTGCGATGACTTCAGCTCAACTCCCAGACTGCGCTTCTACCTGACCCGCCCTAATCAACAAGCCCACAACCGCAATGGCTGCCTGTATTTTCTGCAGAATCATCAAGGGTACGGCCCCCCTTCCCCTGCCATTGACCCCGCGACCTCTGTTCAAATTTCTCCAACTCGCGACACGCCCAGCTAATGCCGCACGTAAACAGGAGAAATCCCCTCCTTCAAGCTCTTCGAAAGCGACAAGGTCTTCGCTTTCCTTGACATCCAGCCTCTCAGCCGCGGACATGCGGTATGTCTCTCGCGTCTTGATCTTCCGAATCCGCAATTATTACGTTGAGAAAGCGACTAACGAGCGCGACCTTTCCAACAGCTGGTGATTCCCAAGTACCACGGTGCAAAGCTCACCGATATCCCCGACGAGGATCTTACAGAAATCCTGGTACGTGATCAAACGATTCTAGAGGAGACGGAAGAGCGACCCAAAATGCAACCTCCGATCTTTTATATTGACACGCGGATACCCGAGTACCTTGGGGAAGACAACTCCGCTCAGTCATCCCTCCCTTCCCCGCTCATACATCGCCTATGTGAAGGAGCTATTACCTCTGGCGCATAGGTTTCCATCCATAAACGAGATAACTCAGGTACTAACAGATTGAACTTTAAAAACAGCCCGTCGCTAAGAAGATCGCCCTCGCAACCGGTGCAACCGATTTCAACATCCTCCAGAACAACGGCCGCATAGCCCACCAGGTTGTTGATCATGTATGTTGCCAATGTCTCCTTAATTCGATTTGCTTCTGGACTAATATCTTGTTTTCAACTAGGTTCACTTCCACATGGTATGTTCATCAGCAGATTGCGTGTATACGATATCGCGGCCCCGACTTGTAACTAACTCTTCATGTAGATCCCCAAGCCCAACGAACCCGAAGGTCTCGGAATTGGATGGCCTGCTCAGGCTGCGGACATGGATAAGCTCAAGGAATACTACGAGTCTCTGAAGTCTAAAATCTAAGGCGATGAGCCTTGGTATTATCCGGGCGTCCGCCATGTCCTCCCCAATCACTTAGCTAGGATCACAATCATTCATCTATAATGGATCTATACTGGATTTTTTAAAAAAAGAAGTCAGATTCCAGGTCCAATGCTAGCAAACACATGCGTATGTACAGGAACAAAAGGCAACATGATGGAGAAACAGCCAAGACAGCTCTCTATTAATGACATTCCAATGAAATAAAAATAAGGACAAGCAACGATGCTATTTCCTTGACGACCTATCTCACTCGGCCTTCGTAGCCTCGCCATTAGTTCCGTTTCCCTTAGGAGCCTCATTCTCCTTAGTAGACTCGGGGTAGAATTCGATCTTCCCGCCGCCCTGGAGGATGTTTAGTCGGTCATATAGACCGGTGCAACGGACGTAAGGATCCATTTGCCAGTACTGGGTGCGTAGACGCTCAATGAGGTCGTTTCTCTTCTCAGTGATCTCCTTGGTGTTGCTTTCCTCCTTCTTTCTGGCGGCGACGATCCAAGAGACTGTCAGCTCTTCGACCTCCTTGGCGAGCTTTTGGCGCTCGGCAAGTAGTTCATCGCGTTTGGCGGTATCCTTGATCTTTTCGTTCTCGCCCTCCTTGGGCTCAACGTATTTATATTCCCAGTTTTCGTCACCCTCGAGCTCCTTGATGATGCGTGACTTGGGGATGAATTGCTCGAGTTCATCGGCGTTCTTGGTGAATTGGATCTTTGCAGCGACGACGGGGTCAAGCCAGCCCTTGATAACGTTCCAGATACCTAAAAGTGGTGTTAGTATTCGTATTGGAAAGTAGGGAGGTGAATACTGACTGGAGAAGATCCAAGGAGCTTTGTGGATGAGTACTACTCCCAAGGACTCTGGATAGTTGGCCTCAAAGCACTTAATCATGAATTTAACGGGGTGGTAGTCCTGTAGCGAGGTTAGAAGGTTCCAAAATTATCTTGGGATGGAAGCAGTACCATGTTTGCAAGTGCAAAGTCCGTCATATCGAAAATGACACACTAATATTTCGTTAGAAAAGGTTCCACCACTCCATGAAGGCGGCGACTTACAGCAGTTTCAACTGGAGGAGCAAGCATCATCCGTGCAGTTTCAATGGTATACACAGTAAATCGGTCCAGAGCATCAGTGTTCTGATCGCCAGCACGGTGCAAGCGGACTCGAACATAGCAGATCGGGCGACCATTCTTATCGACACCGTGAAGGAAACTCTTGCCTAGGCGGAATTGCTTCATGAAATCTTCGCCCTTCTTTTTCTCGGCAGGATCCTTGCTCTTGAGCTGTTCCAAAGCAAGATGTTCGCCATTGACCATGATGTCTTCGTCCACCTTTGCATCTTGCAATCTCCAGCGGATAGTTGAAATCAACATCATCAGCCCTTTCTTTACGTCCCACTTCCGTGCCCGTAAGAAACGCAGTAACAAGCTATCCGGGTTATCCTGCTTGACCATGTTCCAGAACGCAGTCCGCAGGTCCTCGGGTTTGATCTCGGCAAGAGCCTGCTGGAACTCCTTCGACGTGCCGAACTTGTCATCTCCATCAGTGATACTGAGTGAAGCGAGTCCGGTTGTAGCGCTACTCGTTGATGCGGGCTCCGGTTCCTGAGAGCCACCCCACAACGTCCATCTTTTCTTGGGTGGTGGCTTCTTTTCTTGTACGGGACTAGGAGGACGCTCTTCGGTTTCTTCAATGCCGTCCGTCTGGACACCACACACCTTGAACAAGAGGACGTAGAACTCCTGAAGCTTGACCTCTTGTTCCGGGGTGAGGTTGCCCACGGTTCCGGGGGCGGCTTCGGTAGACATGGTCTTGAGGGTGTCGATTACGCCGAGAAAGATGTCTTGTTCTTCAAGCAACTTGGGTTCGGGGGCGGTCAATTGAGGTGATTCGGATCTGAAGGCACGATATTTATCCTGTAGCCAGACTCCTCCACAGACAAGAAGAACTGTGAACGTGATCGCCCAGCCAGTCGAGGCCTTCCGAGGTTCCTGGAATGGGGAAGTGGAGAATGGACGTCGATGTGGGATGGAGCGCGGCGAAGACGAGCTGAAACAAAGACGAGATGACGGGGTGAAGATCTGAGCACTTCGCGAGGGAAAGACGAGCAGATAAGAAGCAGATTTGATCGACGTGGCCGAGGAATGGTAGGCGCGGCGATACAGCAAAGAAGTATGCATGTGCTCCCTGCAGAGCGGCTGGTAGGGAAAGGTGTAGGTATGGACGGGAAAGAAACAAGTGATGGAAAATGTGTTCGCGTGCTTAGGAACCTAATATCAAAGCCACACGCCCCTGGAAAAGGTTAACTGGGGGGAAATCGATGCGGGGAGCGAAGCGATCAGGCCCCGGGAGGCAGCGGAGGAACGACGGAAGACTTAGCAGCGCGCGGTTGGCCTAACCGAGTTTAGTGGCTCTCCATTGACCCTGGCGACTGGAACCTGCGCCATTGCACCAGAGCTGTTAAATTGGCCTGGCTCCAGGTATTCGATCATCGACGTCGTTATTGGACAGGCAGACGAAGACGTCTGTTTTCTGCCGGAAGAGTTCGCGGACTCGTACGAGGCTCATGGTTCACAAGCACGCGGCACTGTGCGTCGACTTTTAGTCCCTAGTGCCCGAGACGCGGGGATTTGTCCGTTGTCAACAATCAACAAGTCTGGCCATCCACCGTCTAACAAGCCTGAAATCAGGTTTCATCCCTCGGATTCTACTCTTTTGAGACTAACCTCCAAAAAAGGTGGTTTTCAGTCTTGTTGCGTCTGTGGCTGCGACGAGTGTTTTGCTGTTCCCCACCTTCTAAATCGCGTATACGTTCCGAACGTCGCAGCCTCAAGTCTCGCATCCTCTTCTGTTTTGAAAACAACCTCGGGATCCCATTCGAAATCTCCACGAGCCACAACTACCAGACATCATGGATAGTGCTTCCCCACGCTCAGCGTCACGCCCACGTTCGTTATCGAGGCCCACTACACCTCTACGGCCGAGCTCTCGATCCTCTATTCGTGAAGCGCATGGATATGGCGCCAGCATCGGGAGTGCGGGCTACAACCAGCCCGCCATCAATGCCCTCGAGCCGCAGTTCGCTGAACTTGCTGACTCCATGGCTGATTTGGAGGCAAACTTCATGCATCTGCAGTTAATGCATGAGAGCTTGACGCGCTTCAGCGAGAGTTTTGCCAGTTTCCTTTATGGATTGAACATGAACGCTTTCTGTGTGGACTTTCCCGAGGTATATTTGCTGTGAATTGAGACCTGGAAATTTATTTCGGCATTCTGACAAGTGAGGATAGGCACCGATTTCAGAATCATTCCGAAGAGCGAAGCAAGCTGAGGCACAGAAAGGTATTGTTTACCTGAGCATACGGCAAGGACAATTTAATCTAATAGCTCTGCAGAAGCGGAAGAAGATATGGCGAAAACCAACGAAGCCGAAATGACGTTTATGTGAGTTACGGAACCTGACTGTTTTTGAATATGAACTATCGTATCCTAATACGCAAATGACGCAGGACTACGGACACTACCTTTGTTGAAAACCCCCCGAGCACCGTCTCCTCGAAACCTACGCCCAAGACTGGAATTACTCGTGGAACTGGAAGAGGAAGGGCGACCAGCACTCGCGGATCGACAACTGGCCGTCATGCAACCAGAGGCCGAGCTCGTCCCAGTGCCTTACCCCGAGGCAGGTTCATGCGGTGATTTTGTACGATGAGGAGCATACATACTGGATGAGCAATATTCCGATATATACGACCTGGTCGCAACACTGCCTACTCTCAGGCAGTGGAATTGGTCCCAATAAGGTGACACTGTATCAGGACGTTTCATGAACGTCGGTCAAAGCTTCCCACAAGCGTCGCTCGGGGATCCCTGCAAATACAAATACCCGGTCGCTTCGCAAATAAGCTTGCACCGGGTGACGCCCGAGTGAAGCGCAATGCAGATTAATTTGCATGTCAGGGATAGCGAACTCCACAATACCTGTACTGCATAATCCATGCAAACAGCATAGATTGTTGCCTACTAGCCAATTTAGCTTGAGATGCAGACCAAATACTACAACACAATCAAGACCATTCTTTGTTTCGAGAGATAATCGTAGAACAATGAGGGGAATGCGTATAACACCGTTATTTAAGTATAGTTCTTTATTCGCCATCGGATCAAATGCAGGCCCGATCTCTTATCGGAGCCGCATTCCTGGCTTCAAAAAGTTCTTTGACACTCACCTCTCCAGGTCCCTGGTTATCTACTTTGAACTCTCAAGGGAATAACAAAATACGGCTTGTATCTGGTAAGTGCGCAGTGCTTTGTCTGCAAAAAAGCTGAAATCTAACGCTCCGGTGTGGTAGTGTTCGGCCTCGATCCGACGGCGGAGACTCGACTCGACCGCGGACAACACCGTTATTCAACCCCAGACGTCACCTCCTCTTTCCAAGCGCCCACCACCATTGAATCGCATTACGTATTCGGAGCTGGACTCTATACTATGGAATGAAGATTTAATGCATTCAGTGTACTGAAACACGGCCTTTATCCATGGCTCCTTTGTGCCTGCTGGACTCGTGATAAAACCACCGACCCCGACCTGCAGCCTCGACAGCGATCTCCGAAAGACCTTCTCCCCGACCCGCCCTCGAGTCGCATCGCATACTGAGAGACTTCAACTCTTAAATATACTGTTTACCGGCGGAATTAATGAATTCCGCACCTGCAATGGCGACCGTTGCGTCCGTTTCTCTCCTTTCGGAGGCCGAGTTCGGCTGTGGTATGGCCCGCCATAGGAACCTCTTTCTTCTAATGTTCCTCTGAAGCTAACGTAAACCAAAGAACACCTAGCATCGCAACTCAAGAACGAGGGCCCCACCAGCAACCAGTTCAGAACCTCCTTCATCAAGGCCCATAATTCTTTGGGGCGTCGCGATGCGCCCAAGTCGTCTTCGCCGAGCCTTTTAAAACCAATGTATACATGTTTGACTTGCTCGGAGCCGTGTATGAATGGCGATCGGAAAGTTCACACCGAGAAGACTGGCCATCAGTTTTGTGAGTGGAATGGTCCTCTTATTGGCAACCCAGCGTAACTCATTTCTGTCCAGACATGGAGTCTAGGAGCCGGGCATTATTCTGTCAAGGCTGCGAGGATCTGATATATGATCATGGCTTAGAACGGTGTAGATCAGCTACACCGGAAAATAAACTACAAGGTGGGCGTTGGAGTTCGGATTTAATACATACACTAGCTAACTAGCTGAAGGCGCAAAGAAACGGCGTTTTAGCGAGAGTTCGGCGGACGAACAATATGTGAAGAGCAACGCAAATAGACGTCCATGTGCAAAGCAAGGTGTTCGGGGTCTGTTCAATCTTGGCCAGACCTGCTATCTGAACGTCATCTTACAAACTCTATTACATGATCCCATTCTCAGCACCTACTTTCTTGGGAATGGCCACCAACCGCACGATTGTACCGTTGCAGATTGCATTGGGTGCGCTGTTGCTGAAGCTTTTGCGGATTTCAACAGCATTGACAAGCCGGAGGGCTTCGCGGCACTCAATCTACTTCTAGCGTCCTGGCGCGCAAGCCCGGTAGGTTTGATATAGCGCAACATATAGACAGATGGTTGCTAACTTTGTTTCCTCAGACACTAGCTGGGTATCAGCAGCAAGATGCGCATGAGTACTACCAGTTCCTCGTTGACAAGTTACATACCAGCGCGGAAGGCAACCGGGAGAACCATGAAAAGGGTTGCGGTTGCTTCTTCCACCGAACATTCTACGGCAAACTGCGAAGCAGCGTGACCTGCGATAAATGCGGTAATGTCACGAAAACCGAAGACCCGATCGTCGACCTCAGTCTCGATGTTCAAGTCCAAGCAAAGAAGCGAGCCATGGGCGGCGGCACAGGTCCTAATGCCACGCCGACCCTTAATGGGTGCTTAGAAAGTTTCACCTCCCCGGAGAAGCTCATGGCAGGTGTATACAACTGCAGCGGGTGCGGAAACACACCCCAGAAGGCGACGAAGCAGCTACGGATCAAGAAACTCCCAGCGATCCTGTGTATGCAGCTTAAGGTACCAACAACTTGTCTTTGATAAAAGTTCAAAAAACTAACCTTAACCCGCAGCGCTTCGAACATACATTTGCCGTCTCAGAAAAAGTCGAAGGCCGAATCGACTTCCCCCTGTCAATCAATATGCTTCCATACACCACAAACCCCAACACCATCAGCGACGAATCCCAGTATACATACGACCTATCTTCGGCTGTCGTCCACAAAGGCAAACTCGACGCGGGCCATTACTATGTCTACTGCCGCCAAGGTGACGAGGTTAGAAACCCTTTATTTACTCTTCTACCTTTTTGATTCACAGTCTAACGCACGCACGCACGCAGTGGATGCTCTTTAATGACGACCAGGTCACACCAGTAACCGAAGCAGAGGTCCTCGGCGTCGACGCATACCTCTTATTCTATAACCTCCGGTGCTTGGCAAATGGCGGGCCGACGGCGTCGTAGCTGTGTCCAGGCAAAATAGAATGTCGACCAATTACTAGGATAAGAAAGGATATCTTGTTCTCTATACCATCTTCAGGGTGTAGGTGGGATTTGTTTCGTTTTCAGCGATTCGGAGTTGTTTGTTTGGTTTGCTCGTTTGCTTGCTTTGTCTGTCTGTCTGATTCATTTTATTCGGAGTTGGATTTTGTGGATTTTGACTTGAGGATGAGGTACAGTCTGAAAGTAGTAGTCCAGCATTTAGGTAGTCAGATGGATGGGGGGGGGGGGCCACTTAGGATTTCCCGTTGTTGAGAAATTAGACTACAATTTGTGACGATAATGTCCCTCTCTCTATTAGTATAGTACCTTTCCTTCTATTACTTACCTACCCGGCCACCTCAGTGGTAATTGGAAAGGGTCTAGCAGACGTACAAGTTGCCTTGTAGAGTTGATATACGATCCAACCAACATGGCCCAGCCTGACCTGATCCAGAATAGATCTGGAATGCTTTAAAACACCCATGAATCTCGAATCGTTCAACACCGACAACGCGAAACTTGTCGTACCGTACGAATAAAGTCCTCCGCCGCACCTATGGCAAAGATGATAGATAATAAGAGGAAGAAAAAAGAGGACCCTTGGTTCGTTGCTAGGAATTATTCTTTCAAAACAATTTTTTCCATTTCCATTTCCACGCCTTGGCCTCCCCCCATTTCCCAATCTCGTATCTAGATATCTTCGTGCCGGACCAAACCCAACCCCATAAACACATGCACCATCGATTGCATTGTTATTTTCGGACCCTTCGGAATTGCGCAGTAGCATGCTGTATTCAAGCAAATCGGGACTCGGAATCGGAATGGAATAAAATAGAATCATCCATGATATGGCTAGCGTGTACAATAATAACTGCTGGCGCTGGGATGGGCTGGTACTAGTAGTACCGAGCACGGATACGGAATCGTCATGACGGGAGTAGGTTGGTGATTGATTTATCGGTACTGGATTGCAAGGTTAGTTAGCGATTGTCTTGTCAAACCCTGTCTTGATATGCACGTCATGTCCATAAGATCTTCGTTCCCATTCCCTTCTCTTCCAGGTCAAGATCGCAAGCAAGAATAGAAATATTCATGCGCGATCATTCACCCCATCATATCCCGGCGCCAGACAAAGCAATAGACAAGCGAAGAAAGGCGGGAAAAACCAACCTTGAAGAAACCAATGTCGGCGGCCTTCTCACGGAAGCACTGACGGCAGATGTCCATCTAAACCAAAAAAAACCCGGTCAGTTCTGCATATCCCCAAAAAAAAAGTACAGTTCCAAAAGGGTGGGGGGAATTCCATACCCCGTACTTGCGGATCAGACCAGCGCGGTGGGAGCAGACACGGCTATCGAAGAAAACATCGTTAATAACCATTCCATTCGATCGATCCAATTTGCAGATTCCCGGTTCAATCGAGTTCAGCCCAGTTCAATCCATTTTCGAGTTCAATATCCATTCTCCCTCCTCTTCGCTTCTCTCTTTCTTTCTTGCTTTATTCGATTTGTCCACCCATCGATCCATCCATTTCATCGAACTCGAAAAAAACCCAGGGAAAAGGCAAAGAAACCAGGGGAAAAAGGCAAAACACACCATTGACGGGAACCCTTGCCGTAACTATCCAAAAGACACTCGTTAGCTCATAATCCTTTCTCAATCAATCACTTCCAGGGAATCAAGTATAATCGGGGCCACATACGAGCGAGGACGGCTGTACCACACAGACTCGTGAGTCATCTTGAAGAATCGGCGAAAGAAAACGTCGGGGGAAACGGTGTTGACACGAGGGGGGGTTGCTGTGATGGTCGTCGGCGTCGGTCGGCTGGCGTTGAATGGGACGGAAGTCGAAACGAAAAGCGTGCAGTTTAGGGTAGGGCTTTGGCGGGAATTTGGTGTTGTGGGTTTTTGCTGAGTCAGTGGGCTGGCGGGCGCTTGGACCAAGTCGGTTCTCGCTAAGGACCGGATGGGGATTGGAGGTCATGTGACATGACATGGAGGACTATAGGTACTATAGGCCTTTCTACAGTTGATTCTGTAGTCTTTTGGAAATGAGATTGATGATGGGGAATTTGATGGAAGCAAATTTTGATAGTTTGATATGAAAGGTAAGCAGCTGCCCGTATTTCCTTCCTCGCCGGTAAGTACCGTTTAGAAAGGCACGAACCGACCTCGACCAGACACCAAAGTACTGTCTGCTTACTGGGAAGATAAACCATTGAGTGGAGACAAGGTAGTTAATCTAACAAAGTTTTATATACTAGGTACCGTATGGTATAGTATCCAGAACATAGGCAATGTTAAATCAAACCACATCATTATTCACATCCATCCATCAAACATCATATCAACAAGCAAGTAACATAATCAGGAAACAACAGCAGCAGCAGCAGCAGTAATAGAAGGGACCTGGTTTACAAGCCATCCATCTGATCCATATATTCAGCAAGTACTTACCAAGTAGTAATACTACTTGCAAGGATCTAGATACACTGTGCACATGGTACACCACGCCCGAAATCAACGGTATAAAGGGGTATAATACTCTTTTCCAAAACACCACGCGACATGATAGTTTCAGTCGCGGTTGAAGGGTTTGCTCAAACAGAATGGGGAGGGATAAAACACTCATATCCCGGAACGTAAATAACGCTCCAGATGATACTTGGCGAGTGCGACACCCCAGCGACGAGCCAAGCCAAACAAGCAAGTCAGCTGGAAGTGCCGTATGGATATTATCATTATTCGGAGGCAGCGTAATTAAGCCGTAAGCGATTAAGCCGGGAAGCGGAAGGGAGCAAGCTGAGGACGAGCCTTGCGCTTAACTGCCCAAGCCTTGATGGAAATAAGGACGATTTCGCAGGCCATGATGAAAGCCGTGAAGCCCATGCCGACGGTGAAGGTGAACATTGCGTCGAGTTCGTAGAACTCGATTGATTCGACGACGTTGCGGGTCTAGATAGGATTAGATTAGCCTATGTTTAATTAAGTTCCTGTTAGTTGTTGCTGGTTGACTTACGCTTAGCATGAAGATGAGACCGCCGGCAATCAGGCAGAACGATGCGACGATCTCGGTTGGCGGGCGAGAAGGCAAGTACGAAGTTGGAGGCTTCAGGTACATCAGGACATAGGTCATGGCGCGGGCCAGGGCGAAGCCAATAAGCATGTTCCCCCATTGCTTGTGGATCATGGTCGAGGTCATGCTGTTCTGGTGGTGAGATCCCATCATCATTCCTAGCAAGAGGATGACCAGGGCCGGCATGGGGTTGAGCGAGACGTCCTGGGTGTCCGGGGTGCGCCAGGAGGTGTGTCCAGACTCACGCGCTTCGAGGGGAGACGGGGCGCGAATGATGGTACTGTTCAGCCAGTTCTTGACGTGCCTCGACTCGAAGAGCATCCCGCATAGACCTCCGCCGAAGAACATGATGGCGATTGAGACGTGCTCGAAGTCGGTGGGGGACCAGGAGCCGCCGCTGTTGAGGTTCTCGAGGAAGACATTGCTCACGCCGTAGGAGAAGATGACGGCTGATTCTGTGAATTCGCCGCTGCGGATCTTTGCCTTCCATCCGACAATCTCGCGTGGGGGCTTGACGTTCCAGGCCCAGCCTAGGTCTGCCCAGCAGCCCATGAAGCGGCCGAGGGTCAAGATTCCGTACCAGAAGAAAATACCTCCTTTAATGAAGTGCGCAAGACCGTTGAAGACCTCTCGGCCTCTCTGTGATTTGTCAGTACAAGCTCACAAAACCATTAGAACCTAAGCAGGTAAACATACCATGATACCGCCATACGTCACACCACCAGTAGCGATAGCAACAAAGCCAAACGGCAAAATCACCCGATCAATAACATGATACAAAAAGTCGAGGACGCGAAGCGCACGGCCAGGGACCAAAGCTGGGACACGACGGGCAAGAAAGCGATCAAGGACACGGTTAGCCATGAAGCCACGAGACTGCGTTCCCTGCTCAGGGAGCTCCTCCTCGGGCTTCACAAAGCCATCATCATAGTCATCCGCGGGCGACGTGCAAGACGAGCTCGCCCGGCTATGCAGCGAAGCCGTGTTCCGCTCCGTGCCCTGCCCGCTGTCCCTGGACCAGCGATACTCATGGCGGATACCAGCAGGCAAAGCCGTCGGGCTCTCGGCCATCTCGTCGTCGGTGGACACGGGGAGGAACTGGGCGCGCTCGTAGGCGTCCTGCTCTCCGTCCGTCTTCTCGCCTCGACCAGCGTAGGCGAAGATCAGCGCCATAACGACCTGAATGGCGATGACCAGGGTAGCGATCCAGCCGATCTTGTGGTGGGCGTTGTTCACGTAGAGATCGGGGGTCTGGCTGTTGTAGACGATTCCGACAAACAGACCGACCGCGTTCACGACGAGGAAGGCGAATTGCAGTAGAAGCGCCAGGCGTGATCGCGCGATGCTCAGCATGACAGCTGGAATGGGTCAGTCGCGCGCACGGTTTGAGAGAGAGAGAGAGGGGGGGGGGGGAGAGAGGGTCGGTTCTTACCTGCTGGTAACACAAAGCACCATGCGACGACCATGAGCGCAATGTGCGCCACGATCCAGCCTGTGTATTTCCCGTAGGCGAAGTAGCTCATGGGCCCGTGCTCAGCTGGTTGCATTTGTTCCGGGGAGGACGTGTTCATGGCATGCCCGTGGCCCATGTCCATGTCCATGTCCATGTCCATGCCATGACTGTGCGCGTCATCGCCGTGGGCGAGCGCAGTCGCGACAGAAGCTAGGAGGAAAGCCGCCAGAGCGGCGCGAGAAATGCGCGGTAGCATGGGCTGGGGAGATTATCTATTAAATGGGCGCAGAGGCCAGAGAATTAAAGCTCCCCAAGTCAATGGAGAGCTGTCGCTAATCTTTTCCGAGCTCGGCGCAGCAGCCCGATGTGAATGTACGGTGTGCGGAGCTCTCGGAGGTTGGAGGAGCCTCCGTCGTCACTATCGGTCTATAGGGCTGAGAGCGCAAGTATACGGCTCCTCTGGAGGGGAGGGGGGTTAGCGAGGGGACGAGGGTGAGAGCGTAGAGGGAGGGGAAATCAGCAGCTCCAGGAGAGGGCGCTGGGCGTCTTTTATTCAGTTCCAGCTCGACCTTGCTGTCGAACCGGAACCAGGCGGGGATAGCACAGGAGGAAGCACTGGAGCATGAGGCCTGCAGGCGAGGCCGTGGCAGTAAGAGCGCGGCGATCCTCGGCCTGTGCGCACTCGCAGTGGCTGGATGTTGGAGCCATGTTTTCGGAGTTATTGTTCCTCTGCACGTTCTCCAGGGCTATTCTCATATTTCTCCATTCTATTATCAAGCATTACATATTGCCTCATCGTATGAGATGTCTCTACTGTCGGTGTCCGAGTGGCCAACGTCAAGCGGTCATACGACTGCGTTGCGGTCTGGCCCTTAAAATAAAATTAAAATTAAAAAATATTTCCAAAAGGAAACCAACAATCGGACCCAAATCGGATCGGACACTCGGACACTCGGCAGAGGCAGTGACTTCAAGGACAGGTCATTTGAGTCTTGGACTCTTGGTAGTCTGGACGATGACCTCACCCAAGCATAAGATCCCTGTTATGTGCCTGGACAGCTCAACCTGCTAATTAGGGCCATTTCCATCACGGGCTCGACACTGCGCTGTCCGGCTGTCAGCTCGCGGTGGTAGCATTAAGCACCGATCGCTGCCTAGCTTCTTGTCGCAATCACCGACTAAAAGCCGAACTACACTGACATCAAAAGACAGATACATGGGTATGATGTCTTTTCAGCGTTTGCACCCTGCGTTTGCAACTTTGCATATATACCCGATAGGGCTGTTGTGGATACAGCCCGCGGACTATGAAGACGACCTCGCGGAGAGTCAGATCTGACCTGCCTTGTGCGACAACAGCAGGCATCAACAATTCAAAGTTCAATCCAACGTGTCTGACGGCCCCTGCCACTGGTCAGCTTACGGTATACTTTGATGGCTTTGCATGGGGGCCCAAGGCTCACACCGTATTCTGAGGTTCACACACGGTCGCAGCAATCACCGAGACACTAAAACGACATTGGCAATTCATCAGCTCGGACTCGGGGGTCTGGAATCCCGTCTCCAAAAATTAGAAATTAGCATGAAATATTATTTCCTCAGAATCTGCCTTACAAATGGCACAGGCATAGCGCCGATCCTTCTTTTTAGCGCCAGTGGCAGCATCCGCGCTCTTCCGCAGCAGAGAACCATTGTCCACTCTTACGCCCACGCACCAGCCCCCATCCCGTGGATGACCAGCATTGGGTTGGATAATGCATTCTTATTTGCTCTGACTGGGTTTCTTCCCGTGCGGTGGCATGACTCATCGGTCTGGATAGCCGATAGTTAAATATCTTCCATAGTCGAGACGGCTGGAATGCAGTGCTGTATCAGCTGTACACCGTGTACTTCCCCGCATGCATCTCCTCCTCCTCTTCCTGCACACCGTACTCCATATCTGCTGATCAGTTGGCAATATGTCGCACAGTATACCCGCTGACCAAGCCAGAAATATCACCAAGTATACACATTCCAGACTTCCTTTTGTTACGAGGGAGATGAGGATACAGAATCTAGTAAAGCCGTAAAGCCGTAAAGATGAACGGGTCACTTGGACAGCCGGTGGGCCCGGTGGCCGACACAGCCGGCCAATCCGAATCTTGCCTGATCGAGCAAAAGACGTTGTGCCGTGAGCCGTGCAGGCGCTTTCTTCGGATTTCGGAACCTTTTTTTGCTCTTGGCATCCATGCATTCATTGGCATAATTAATATTGTCTGTGCTTATGCCCTGGCCTAGGATCCCCACATCAAGGCACGACCGAGGCATGCTAGACTGCTAGTATATGGTAGTCTACCAGTAGGTTGGGATCAATCAAAGACGTCTGTCGAAATCCAGTCCGCCCAATCTCGAACTATACATTAGTCAACTAGAGATATAGTCTCATTTTGGTGTAAAAAAAAAAACTGGGCCTAGCTCGGACCCTGCGTCTGTCACTCGGCGTACTTTATAGGAGAGTCTAAGACTTAATCTTGACGAAATAAAATCCCCAGCAATGGCGCTCGCTTGGTAACGGATGGCTGGATTGCCGAACAGCTCCAGTAAACGGTAAAATCTCAGGGACATCAATAGTACTCCCGTCTACTGTGGGTACGACGTACTACTACATGTTATACTCAAACACCAGTCGACCACCGATTTCAGGCGTTTGAAAAGCGATATGTCCCCTCTATTATGTCACTGGGGATATGGGAAAAAGGTAAGGGGGAAAAAACTATCTCGCCAGCGCCAGGACTCGAACCTGGAGCTCCTCTTAAAGGCGTACCCAAGAGGTGTGTTGCCGATTACACCAAGCCGGCTTTTGTTATGGGAATCGGGGTTGACGATAGTGAGGAGCTAATAAAGAGAGTGAAATCTCCTTTTACCTCAGGCAACCTTGGCCAGAGAGACGATATCGAGAGGGGGGACGATATGAGAGTATGGCATAGTAAGCGAGAAGTATAAACTATATTGACCCTTTCTCAGTATACTGTATCCCATCCAATAAGGATGCGCAAGTGGGGTGAGTCATGGGTGCTGAGAGCAGCATCATTTCAAGAATTAATCAGGAATAATTTTTCGAATCACGGGGGCGGCCACCTTAAATACATATATCATAAAGGGCGGTAAGCCATCGACGAAACGAGACGAGGGGCACAAAAAAGCCATAAAATACGGCTCGTTGCTCTAGCAGACCCACATCTCTTCCATTCTCAGAGTGGGCCAGCGGACCCCGAGTAACAACTGTGGTATCGAACCAACTGAGAATAATATTAGAAATGCCAACATCCTTGCGAAAAATAATCTCCGAGCCTGGAGGAAATGAGTCCCGGTCGACTCCTTGCCCGCTTATTCTGACAGGGATCGTGGTCCTGTTCGTCATCTAAGCGAGCTGGGGCTGGTTATTGTAAGCAACCTCCTGGCATTATTAATCCAATTAGTTGTATGATTACCAATGTATAGCTTCTATAATCTCTACCACATAGAGTTCTCTTGGAGTACTAACTGATCATAGGGAGTTAGTAATATCTCTAAATAATTAACCAAAATTAACAGAAAGGTCTTATAACATCCATTATGCTCCTTCGCTTGTCGCTAGCTCCAGGATATAGAAATATAAACAGGCCTTCCGTAGTGGTGTTTAATGATAATTTATATAACTTCCCAGGTTGACTTTGTAAAGTTTCCATAGTATCTACACTATATATTTTGGTGTACTTGTACTAATGTCTATATCTTACTCCCCCCAAGCCCAACAGGCCCCTCAACAACCCTATCCCGAATAAAATCCACAAACCCCTTCCCAAACCCATCCAGCCTCGACGAACTACTCACCCCCCTACCCAAAATCCCATAGACCACAAAATGCACCGCCCGGATGCGCGGGAACTCCACCCTCTCAATGTAATAGCTTTCATCCCAATCTTCCCCAATTAGCTCCCTCATGCGCGATATCGTCATGTACCTCCGCAGCCAAGACCAGTGCGCGGCGCTATTTGTTGTCGGGAAAAGACCGACATTCAGGTTCCCGCCTTTATCGCCTGAACGGCCGAGGGCGAGGGTGCCGAGGCGGGTTGGTTTTGCTTTGCTGCTGCTATTGTGTTCTGGTTCTGGCTCTGGTTCTGGGTCGTAGGATTCGCGGACGTTAACGATATCAGCGGGAGAGTACTGCGGTGGATGTCCAGTGTCGAAGCTGCTGATTTTTTGAGGGCCGTCGATGAAGTTTATCGTCTCGTTGATGGATGACTGGGCGATTACGGCTGGGTAATAGGCGAGGAATGGTCGGGGGATGGCGGTGCGCATGTCTAGGGCTGTGTGGAAGCCTGGTACGGTATTAACGTTCTGGCTTGACGGCCAGGATTTGGGTTCGCAAGGGACATACCGGAGAAATGCTTCAATGAGATGTCTCCCAAGGCCTTGGAGACTGCAAGCACCGAGGCTACGTTGCGAGATGCAGCGAATACACGTAGGTATGTCGTGCTCTCTAGCTGGGAGCGTGGGTTTGCGGCCGGGACTCCAACCCTAGTAGATATAGTTAGTAGGTTTCATTGGAGGTGGATGATAGATAACAAGTACCTTTGAAATTCCAAAGTCTCAAGATCCTTTGCAGCATCCGCCGAGATGAAATGGCGGAGCTGCTTCTCGAAGAGATCCCATTTCGCTGTCGCGGAGCCCGTTGCGTTGAGGAGGAGCTGGGCTTCGTAGCCGCCATGGTAGAAAATGGCGCATTTGGTCGTTGGTGGTGGTGGGGAGCCTCTTATGCCTGATACGCGTACCCTATAAAGTAGTGCTTGTCAGTTAGAGTGATACGGTTTGAAAGAGCAGCCACTGCCACTGCAGCGTTAAGTACATACCTATCCACCCCCGCATCTTCAATCAAAATGTCCTTAAGATGCGCACTAACATCACTATTCAGATACGTCGTCCCCTGCAGCTCATACAAAAACTGACACCGGACCGTATCAACATTCACCATCCCGCCAGTCCCGGGGTGTTTCGTAACAACACAAGTCCCATCCTGATTAATATCCGCAATCGGAAACCCAGGAACGACCAGGTTGTCCAGGTTATACTTCGCCTCATCGTCAAAGCCCGCGAAATTCCCACCAGTCACGTACGCCGAGCACTCAATCAGATGGCCTGCAATCAATGACCCGGCAAGCTGGTCATAGTCCGTGGCAGACCAGTCGTGCCAGAACCACGCTGCGGCGATTACGGGGCTTGCGTCCGCGACGCGTCCGCAGATTATGATGTCTGCTCCGCGCCGGAGACCGTCGACGATGCCTCGGGCACCGAGGTATGCATGGGCTGAGACCATGGGGGCTGGCTTGCCGCTGTTATTATTAAGAAAGGCATATGTGAGCCCGGACGGAGCAGCAGAGGGGTTTCCGGAGTCGAGATGGCGCAGAGCGTCTTTTGTGCTGGGCATGTTGGGGCCTAGGGCTGGGTACATGTCGTCGCCTGAGAGGTAGGCGACGCGGAGGCTGAGGTTTTTCTCAGAGACCTACCATAATTAGCATAGCACTGGAGAGATAATGTATTTATAGGATGGAGTTGCTTACCAGTTGCTCTACTTTCAGCGCGAGGGCTTTAGGGTCTAGAGCACCACCGTTAATGACAACCCGGATTCCCTTTTGCGCGATTACGTCGATTGTCTGCTGTAGTCCATGCCATGCTGTTGGTTCATAGCCTGGGTGTTTCCCTTCTCTCCATGCTTGTGCATTGTTGGCTAGATTGACCTCTGGATATAGAGTTAGCTCCCTTCTAAAATCTACTAGAGGTAAAGGTACCTGCAAGATAATCGCCGGTGATGAAGTCGACATCGCCTAGTGTCGCCTGGCGGTACATTTCATATGCTGGATCCCCTGTACTGGAGATTAATACCAAGATACTGAGTTAAGGATTCATGCGTACCATGATAGCCGGAGCAATTGGCTACCCGTACGGGTCTGGCTTCGACAGGGCGCGGCATTTGTAAAGAAGTATTTAATCTGGTTGAATATTGCAGCTTTCGATGAGAAACACTACTGTTTCAGCCGACATCATTGGGATTCTCTCCCATTAATACCAATTGAAGATGAAGGGGATGACGATGTCGGTGAAGATCCCGTGGGCCGTGGACGACTGGCCCGTGGGCCACGGAGAACTCATCATCCACTCCACAAAGGTATGGAGTCTGATTTGCGGGTGCCCTCTTAGGGCATCCCATTTGTTGCACTGCCTGCGCGAGCTGCAGTCGATCAGTGCTTAGCTTTAAACTATGATGTCGATTCAGCGAGGGGTTGTCTGATTGACGACCCCACGGGCCGTGGATTTTCAGACCGAGGTCGAATAAGAGCTGAAAACACTCCTCGACTCAAGGTAAGGCTGGCTTGCCTAAAGTAAGCGAGGGGTGTTCACCCATTTAAAGCCCGTGCCATTCCCTCAGTCATCCTTCTCATATCCCAATCCTACCCAACACCATCAGATTACAATGCCCACCCACGAAACAACACCCGGCGACGCCATCTACGGACCCGGGACATTCATCGACAAGACTGTCCTCCCCGTCCAAGATGATGCAAGACGAGTCTTCGAGCTGCTCGCTTCCCAAACACCAGGATTCACAAAGGACAAAGCTGCCTGGGAGACAGTGAGCTTCTCAGGCAAGCCCACGCACATGATCCCGGGCCCAATTAAGAGTCCTGTTGTAGCCTCTGCTCTACACGGAATGGCAGGACTTCTTGCAAACGAACTGCTCGAGCTCCGTGACGGGAAAAAGAACCGTACAGTGAACATCGACACCGACCACGCAGGCCTCTGGCTCGGTTCTGTCTTCACGACATACATCGACGGTGTAGATACATCCGGTCTCGCGCGCACAGGCAAGCTACGCGCCTTGTTCCCGCCAGAGCAGGACTTCGACCAGGGGTTTGGGAGTGGGATTGCCGGCCGCACGACGGCGATATACCAGACTAAAGACCCGAAGGTGTGGTACCAGCTCCACGGGTCTCTGGATGCAAAGAAGACACTGGAGTCTATGGGAATCGACCCGAGTGTGGAGTTTGATAAGCCGCAAAAGTACTACGACTATATCCAGGAGTATGTGAAGCAGTGGAGCCCTGATGAGCTGGAGATGCATAACGTCCGGCACGGTCTCTGTGGGAGTATTTGTTACACGCCGCAGGGGTGGAGGGAGACTCAGATGGGGAAGATACTGGCAAGACATCCGCTTGTTAATGTTACAGAGGAGACGTATGCGAAGGATACGCCGGCGGTCCCGATTGCTGCGCCCAAGGGGCAAGATAAGCGGCCTTTAGCTGGGATCAAGGTGCTGGAGATGGTGCGGATTATTGCTGGGCCGCAGATTGGAGTTACCCTTGCTTCGTATGGAGCGGATGTGATTAGGGTCAATTGCAGCAGACTGGCCGATCTTAGTGTGAGTTGCCATGTAACCAGTGGAAGACGCTGTATTTTATAGCCAGTGACTGACAGAATAGGTCCTGCAACTCGTCCTCAACGCCGGAAAACGGACAATCGACTTGGACATCACCAAGCCCGAAGACATGGCCCAACTAAACTCGCTACTTGCAGACGTCGACATCTTCATTCAAGGATTCCGCACAGGCTCACTAGACAGAAGGGGCCTGGGTCTGCACAACCTGCTTGAACTCGCAGGCAAACGCAACAAGGGAATCATCTATGTCTCCGAAAACTGCTACGGCCCAGACGGGCCCTTCGTCGAGCGCCCCGGGTGGCAGCAGATCGGCGACGCCGCATCAGGCAGCTCCTATGTCATGGGCCGTGCGCAGGGCCTAGAAGAAGGGAAGAGCGTGCTTCCGCCTCTCCCCGTGTCTGATATGATCACTGGGCTTGTTGGCGCGGTGGGAGCCATGCTAGCCGTGCGAGAGCGCGCAGTCAAGGGCGGCTCGTATCACGTCAAGAGCTCACTGGTTGCTGCTGATACAATCTCATTGGAGGAGGAGGTCGGCCTATATCCGCCGGAGGTTGTAGAGGAGACGACACAGCGGTTTGGGTTCCCGCCGATTACGCCGGACCAGTTTGTATCTGAGGTGCTGATCGGTGTTATTGATGGGTGGAAAAAGGGTCTTCCTGGATATTTGGACGAGGACTCTGAGCTTATGACCACGTTTGAGCAGGGGACTTGGGGCCGCCAGACGCTGTTGAAGCCTGTTGCGCAGCTTAGCGAGGATGAAGCGACGCCGAGATGGATCACGCCGCCGGTACCGCACTGTCATCATCCGCGGGAGACAACCTGGCTGTATCATGAAAATAGATGTTATTTGTAGCTGGAAATATCGACTGAGTCATGGTAGAGTTTCCGAGGCGAAGCGAGAAAAACAGAGCTTTCAGCCCACGTATAATAGGATCGTCTGATATAAGGTTATTAGTAAATGTCAGGTTGAGAGGAGGTAACTGGTAAAAGGTTTGCTCACCTACCGTCAAGTTCAAGGTTCTTGATTCCAGGCTCCTACAGGAACATAAAACCAATAGAAGCCCACGGGCGTAATTATGGCTTCTGGGATCCATGATCCAGGTACAACGAGCCGGAGAGAAGTTCCCTCTGGATCAATCCAAGTTTTCTTCTTAGGGCTTACGGCCAGGTACACCGGCGGGTGCACCCTTTAAGTTACTTTGTTACGCGCAATCAGTTTCAAAAAGTTAGTTAGCTGCCCCAACCAAATACCTTGATTGTTCCTGGCCTGATCCATGGTTGCATTTACATGCGGACAACCAGGGGCACATAACAAGGGCGACACCACTTGCTAGATGAAGAGGATAGGAACAGTTGTTATTCTATTCTTACTGCACTGTACCTTTGACAATCTCAGTGGAGAATAAGGAACACCGGCTAGTCTTGACAATGGACAATAGTCCCTGATATCCATGTTTGGTCCCGAGTGAACAGATGGAAGTTCTGACCGGAGCAGCTCCAATCCCAGCTCTGCACTCGTAAGGTTGATTAATAGAGCTTTCAGCTACCAATGGAATGTTAGCCAGCTGCTATTGTCCGGCCATGGAGCCATGAATCGTCGCCGATTGAAGGTTCATGACAAACAATAGAGAAAAGTATCAATAGAGAAAGGCATTCAAACTCTGAGCCTATCTTGACTCATTTTCTTCACTGTGTCGGCTTGAAGCTCAGGTATATAGCTCTCCAGCTTTTTCCTTTCCCTCCATCTTTCTCCAAGCAATCTCTACATCTTTCTCTTGCCTACAGGTCAAGAAGTCAACAAGACATCACACTTGTGCAAATTCGCCTGAGCAAGAAAGCATTATCATCTTTCCCATAACCACCATAACCACCATGGCCACCCTTATGCCCAATCCCCTAATTTGTCCTTTTTCGCCGACCGAGCTCGTGCACGCTTCGGCATCTTTCCAGCCACGACCAAGGACTCTCTTTGACCCGAACCCTCCACCTACTCGGGCACGGAGGTCGGAGGGCTCATCCACAGACACAGCCCCAAAACCCGACGCAGACGGCTTCATAGAGAGCGACCTCAGGGCTGGTGGACCAAAGCTGTGCGAGCCACCCTGTGAGACGATCCGAAAGCTCCCAACAGGCCTCAAGAACTATGATCTTTTCCGAGGACCCGGATCGTTCCAATTGATGACCAAGCTCAGCGACATATGTCGAGACGACAATGTCAGACCCGACCACATGGAGTTCTGCGGTAGGCGCTCCATGTACGAGCCAGACCGCAACCCGATTGTTACTCTGCTCGTCGTTGCGAAACGCAATAATCCATCCCAAGGAAGCTGGACTATTGTTAGCCGCAAGCTCTTCCACTACCTTCGGGGAAGTGGCATCACCGACGTGTCAGTGGAGATAATGGACGAGAAATTTGAAGAGGATCCAAGAATCCATGCCTGTGTCCAGAGCGACGCCATCTTTCCTATCTGGAAACAGGTAGCCCTGCAGATATTCCACAACATTGATCGCAGGGGCATCTTCACAATCGGCTGTTTCCGGATTGGCGACGACAATGACCGTCTTAAATGTCCGCCAACCATCCTCTTGGGCGTGGACCGCGCAGTTAAGCGGGATTGGAAGCCGGTTAGGGATACAATAGTTGCCATTCTTGACAACAGAGGCCTGCTTAACGTCGCCGTTACGATCCAAAAAGATAACAGAGTGACGAGGCGCGGAGGCATAATAGACGACCAAGGTGTCGCGGTTGAGGACTGTCGCAAGGATCCAAATCTCGGCACGAGCCTGAGTCCATGGGACAGGAAGGATGAACACGGAACGCTGGGCGGATGGGTAGACGTCAGAAACCCGAAGAATGGCGTATGGTCTACGTTCGCCATCACATGCGCGCACTGTTGCTTCCCCAGAGAGAGTGCTGTCTCCGAGGGAGACCGTCAAGGTACGTTAGGCTCTGCAATCGTTCAACGAGGGCGAAAATCTAACATGAACTCAGTGGTTCAGAACTGGAAGCAGCAGGGCGTTCGCATCCACGATGAGCACAAGACTCGCCTCCTGCCAGTTGATTCCCCGAGCTATCGGGACATCAAGACTAAGCTTGACCTGCTTGCTAGCGAAATCGAAATGTCTAAGTCAAGGAAAGAATACCAAGAAGTGGAGACGCTCAACTCCAAGGAAGATTTTGTCATGCCCTTCTTGGAGAGCACATGGAGAGACATCTCGGCAGCTATTAATAGGCGCCAGAAGGAGCGTCACACTATCAAAAAGTTCCTCCATGACAATGAAAACGGCTCCAGACTAGGGACAGTGTTCGCGGCTTCTGGTCTGCGAGAGGTGACATCCACAGACAATCCCAATTCGCTCTCTATTCGGGACTGGGCTCTTGTCCGAGTGGATGGTGGACGGGCAACGGGAACGAACACTTTCAAGGTAATCCAAACCAAGTTCTCCATTGAGATCGGTTGCTTGTTGCTAATCGGATGGCTTCACTTAGAGCCCACCAAAATCCCCGGTGGCAGACCTGAGTCAGCTGAAGAAATTCAGCTCCAGGCTCCCTGCGTTAGATGATAAACTATTCAAAATCGGACGCGCAACGGGCTACACAGACGGAAAGTACGGAAACTTGGTCATCTGCCATATCGCTACCAAGATGGTTAATGGAAAGAAGGAAGATGTCCCAACCTGGGAGCATGTTTTGCTGAGCGATGGGAGCGGAAAGGGGTTTAACCCTGTCGTTGACCCTGGCGACTCTGGCTCACTTGTGTTCGATGAAATCGGCGTTGTCCTAGGAATGATATTCGGAGGAAACGGTAAAAGTAATATTGGATACTTCACTGCAGCCCGCGATCTCATCGCCGACATCAAGCGCATCACAGGAGTGCAGGAGATCCGCCTACACGGTAGCGTCGACTAACCTCAAATGTCTCAACAACATTGCGTGGTCGCGCATGATTCCTTGTCTATACCGCGGCAGGTACTATGCAGTTCTTGAGCATAGTCTGAAAGAGCCATACCTTGTTGATAAGGGATGTGAATCTGGGCCGGCTTGATTTGGTTTCTGAATTGTATTTTAAGTTGCATCCATAGATTCCTTTTCGTCAGTTGCGTGCAGCCTAATCGAATAGAATCTTCAAGTATCTGGAGTTGATTTTTTCTGATGCCGGAGACGCTTTTGCTTTGGATAGTAATACTTTGACGTCTGTCGTGACGACGACGGGTCAGGGCGGTATTATTCACGTGATGCCGCTTCGGCCAGTCGGATGAACTTGAATCTTGAGCAGATTCCATTCCATCGTCTCAACATATTCTCTCAATATTTATCCAGTGTGTCTCTCTTATATTCTTGAAGACATGGATGAGACACAGTCTTCCCGGGTCGCAAAACGGCGCCCAGCCAAGGTGAGGACAGTTGAATGATCATCGTCTTGGACATGTTTGATACCTGTAGGCGTGCAACACCTGTCGACGAAAGAAAGTCAAGTGTGACGGGAAACGACCGATTTGCTCTTCATGCATGATTTTCAAACTTCCCTGTGGTTTTGAAGATGCCGGGAGTCAGCCCACTAGTCGCTTCACTCGGTGTGTTGAATTCGTTTGATATGTTTCAAGGCAAGGAGAATTAATTCGTTATTCTCCAGTGCATATGTTGAAGAGCTAGAAGAGCGCATCAAACAAATGGACGAGCAACTACAGCAGCTGCGGCGGGGTGGACGCCCGGAATCACCAACCTCTGTGGATACTACTAGGCCATCTGGGCTTGATCGTTCTGAATCAGAGGAAGCCATATTTTCTGCTCCTCGAGCTCCTGATGAGAGTTCCTCTGACAGTCCACAGAACTATGACCGGCCGTCGTATTTCCTTCGAGCTCACGATGGCAAGATGCGCTTCTTTGGTAAGTTCTTCACCATGACATCTGAATTATCTGATTGACATGGCTCAGGGGTGTCCTCTGGATTTGGTATCCATTGCTCTCGGGAAGCTAGTCAGTCAAAATCTGGACGGCCCAAGCTAGCCTGGGGAAATGTAGCCAGACGTAATGCCACCCAGTGGCCATTAACAAACTGGGTTCCCCGAATACTCCAAGACAGCTTTGAGAAACGTATCACTCAGCCTCTGCCGTCAAAAGAGACTACACTGGCCCTAGTGGCTGAGTATTGTGCAACCTTTAACCAGGCCATCCCACTGGTTGATGATACGTCACTCACGCAGTTGGTAGAGAGGCAATTCTCATGGAACCCGGACGAGAGCCCTTCATCGTGGGTCTTGATCAACACTGTCCTTGCCTTCTCTTACAGGGGGAGGGCACAGTCATCGACACACGAAAGTAGCGACTACTGGAGGATGTCGCTAGGCCATATTAAAAACGCTTTGAATGTTCTGGTCGACCTTTTTCTTCGCAATGCAGATCTTGCCGCCGTTCAAGGACTATTAGGATTAGCTTTGTACTTTCAGGGCACACCAAATGCCCAGGCCCTGTTTATGCTTGCGGCATCAGCAATGCGCCTGGCTCATTCGATCGGGCTGCATAAAAACACCACTGCTGACTTCAGTCAATCTGAGATTGAAGAGCGACGCCGGACCTTCTGGATCGCATTTACTCTGGACGCTGATATCTCCATGCGTGTGGGCCGCCCACCGGTCCAGGATATGGAAGACTACAGTACACCCCTGCCATCTGAAACACCACACGACGGTAAAGGCATCATCTCGATCGATGGAACCTCTATTAACTTTTTCCGCCTCCTTACACAATTTGCCATTATCCAACGACGTGTCTACCGGCATCTCCAGACGGTGGTCGTCGCCCGGCAACCCAAAGAGACTGCTCTTGAGTCTGCAGAGGCGTGCGAAAAGGCCCTTTTGCAGTGGAGATACTCGTTCCCTGATTTATTACAGCCTCAGAACCCATTTCTGTCCAAGCCTGACGCCCATCTACATGTATTGCGCTTATATCTTGCGTATCATTGCTGCTACGCCAGCCTCCGCCAGCTCCCTCTGGTCTCTTCCGCTCCCACATCCCAGGAAAATCTCACAATTGTTGACAAGGATATAAGCGCGCTTTGCCTCCGCTCGCTTGCCTCTGCACGGTCTGCGCTGCGCTTCCTCCCACATTTACGCTTGCTCGAGTCTAGCCACAAATGGAATGTACTCTACTTCTTCGCCACAGCATCCGTGGCCCTATCATCCGAGATCTGGATTCACCCTACGCACGAGCTCGCCAACGATGATTTAGCCATGGCCCATGAAGTCGTCAAGTTCTTTACGGCCGTTTCACATGAGGAGCCCGGTACATATGTCGATTTTATCTTGAGCGTGTGTTCGGATTTAGAGGTTTCTGCCAGACGGGCTTTTCACGAGGCACGTATCGCGCCAACTGGAACAGATGACAATGTTGCCGATATACCTGGCAATGTTGACATTACGGGGCAGCAACAGCAACAGCAGCAATTTGCCAACTACGCTGATAATAATGGCGGTCTTTTCAATAATGATCCTGCTGGGCTTCTTACTGACCCTAACGGTGACTTTCTCAACTCGCAGTGGTTTGTTCCTCCGTTTTGGAATTGGCAGGATATGGTCATCGGCGTGCCTGACTCGCCTGAAATGAATAGACGGACGGATGACTTGTGAGGGTTACGATAAATCATGGAACCTGTCTCTGTCTCTGTCTCCGTCTCTTGTCACTTGGGTTTATTTTGTAATAGTACTGAGATGTATAACACAGAGTATAAGTTCATAACTGAGGCGTTAAGAGATAAAATCATCAACCATAATGGCTAATGTTTACTAGCCTGGCCTACTACCTTCAGAATATCCATTGATTTAAGAGCGACGACTATATCTGACACACTGGGATCTACAACTTCGGCACATCAAGCCTACACCACTGTTAGCATCCCACAGCAATCAAATAAAGGAAAGAACATACTTTATATGGATACTCTTCGGCTCGGTATACTCCAATAAGCCATATTTACCCAGCTCCCTTCCCTGCCCACTCGCCTTGATCCCTCCAAAAGGCGTTTCAACCTGTGGCAGGAAAGGCGAGTTCACAGCAACACCACCGCACTCAAGCTGGCTCGATACCCTCAACGCCCGGTCAAGATTGGACGTATAGACCGAAGCTGGACGCCGTTAGTTTCCGGCAGCCATATTTCTAGAAAATAAAACAAGAAGAGAGAAACAAACCAGCAAGCCCATAAACCGAATCATTTGCCAATCCTAACGCCTCCTCCTCGCTCCCAACCGTCTGCACAACCATAACCGGCCCAAAAATCTCCTCTTTCACAACAGGGCTGTCCGGATCCGGATTTACAAAGATAGTCGGCTTAATGAAGTATCCCTTCTCGCCCTTCTGGCCGCCACCCGTCAGCAGCGTGGCGGTCTTCTTGCCAATCTTGATGTAGGACATGATCTTGTCGAACTGCGCCTTGTCGACGATGGGGCCGTACATTGTTGTAGGGTCGAGGGGGTTCGAGCCTAGAGTTGCTTCGGCGTTGGCGAAGGCGGCTTTTATCCCGGCGAGGAATTTATCTGCGATGGTGTTTTGGACTAGCACGCGGCTTGTTGCTGGGTTGTATCAACATCATCCATCTAGGAATTCTAGGGCTTTCTGAGGGACTTACCAACACAGACCTGGCCCGAGTTAAACAAGAACCCGCATACCCTAAATATAAACATCAGCTAGGGCATAGGAACAGGGTTTCCAGAAAGAGGCATACCCCCCTAAAGCCTTCTCAATTTCCACATCATCAAACACAATAGCAGGGCTCTTCCCACCAAGCTCCAGCGTCACCTTCTTCAGATTACTTTTCGTCGCAAGATCCTGCACCGCCTTGCCACCACCCACAGAACCAGTAAAGCTGATCTTCGCAATTTGGGGATGCGACGCAAGCAGTGCCCCTGTATTCGCCGCCCCATTAAGAATCTGCACCAGACCAGCCGGGAATCCGGCCTCAGCGAAGAGAGCACCGAGTGCCAGCGCTCCGAAGGGAGATTTCTCGGAGGGTTTGAATATGAACTGCACAACCTTTAGTATTACTCCTGATGCTAGAAGTGTAGTTTAAGGGGGCATACGGCATTCCCCGCAGCAATGGCAGGGGCAATTTTCCATCCGATGTACATGAATGTAGCGTTCCAGGAGGCGATCCCGGCGCAGACGCCGAGCGGTTCATGACGCACGATCTTGTAGACCCCGTTATGTTCAGGGAATGTGTCGCCGTTGATTTTGCCAGCCCAGCCGGCGTAGTCTAGACATATCAGTATCAACTGTCGAATGAATTGCATTCAGGGGTCCTGGAATTACATCTGTAAACCTCGACCATATGGGCAAGATCAAACTGCATAGTCGGGGAGACGGGCTTTCCGGTTGGCAGGGACTCGAGGGTGGCTAGACGCTCTGCATCGCGTTCAACAAGGTCCGCGAATTTAAGCATGCATGCTTGCTTTTGGGCAGGGGAGAACTGGGCCCAGGAGGTCTTATAGGCGGTTGTTGCTGCTGCGACAGCGGCGTCGATATCTTCTTTGCTTGCGGCGTGGGCAGCGTGGGGGATTGGGGAGCCATCGTAGGGGTTTGTGACAGAGAGCCGGTCGGATGTGTTGCTGTCGACGTACTGTATTTATTAATATTAGTATAAGTCATAGAAGAAGTTGAAGGGCATGTACCTGGTTGTTGATAAAGAGCTGGGTCGGGACGGAAGTTAGGGCTGAAGACATGTTGGGTCAACCGGCAGCGTTTAAATTAGAGAAAAGACGCAAAAGCAAGCAGAGTTGTTCCAGAGGAAGATGAGATGTTTATAAGCGGAATACTTAATATTGTACTGCAGGTGTTGCCAGTGTAGTTTATCAATGGGGTGGAATAATTCCGAGCTTCCGCGGCCGTTCCGCACTGCCATGGACTCATTCCGAGTCTTTATATCCCCAGTTGGAGTTAACAGTCGACCGCATTATCTCCAGCAGAGCGGACTCCACGGACTCCGGGGCTCATCCCGTTGGCTGCGAAATAACAAGCCTGTCATATTCCTGGATTGGAGTTAATGAGTCGACCGCATTATCTCCGGGCCAAGAAGGCTCAAGCTCATCCCATTACTGGGCTAGAGTCCAGACCATGTACGCTGCTTAAGCAGCATGACTTCAGATTCCACCTAATAAGAGGCAGGCCAGTGTTTCACAGACCAGGCAAAGGCTTGGTCCGTTCGTCATGTCAGTCGATTCGGCGGGGATGTGTCCGTGCACGAACACCACCCAACGATACGGGCGCTGGGCCGTCGATTGGCGATCAGATTGCCCAGATCAGGAGAACCAGATGCGCCTGTGAACTTCCTGGGATAGGAGAACAGTCAGACATCCACCTTGTCTACTGGAGCTGCATGGCGGTCGGTGATGAATAGAATGAATACCTGGATGACTCCAGATGGAAACAGAACTGCCTTCGATGGAGATTCAGAGAAATCACGGGAATAGCCCAGCTTGTCAGAAGTTCATCACAACAGACGAATTTGGAATCAACAACGCTCCACCCAAGCGGGGAAAAAGGAGTCCACTCCTGTGATTGTCGCCCCGCAAATAGCCTCTGGACCCCATTCTAGCTCTCAGTGGGAGTTACTCTCGTTCCCATCCCCATTCCTCTTTATTTATCTCTTTTTCACATGTTGGCCTCTTGACTCCCATGGCCGTGACCAAAGCTATCGTCGCCCGCGAGCCGCGCTTCACCGCGCTCAACTGGGCCCTGGAAGATGTCGCCGTATGCGAAGAGCCCGGCGACGACGAGGTGCTGGTGGAGATGGTCGCCTCGGGCGTCTGCCACACCGATATGGTGCTCTCTGCTGTTCCCAGCGGGCAGTTTGGCATCCAGTATCCCAAGGTAATGGGGCATGAGGGTATACACTCTTCCATCAGATTCAGATCATAATGCAATGCTGATGATGGACTGAATAAAAACAGGCTCTGGATACGCACGCAAGGTCGGCAAAAACGTAACAACCGTGCAAAGCGGCGACCCTGTTCTTCTCTCTTTCTACTCTTGCGGTGCGTGCGACCAATGCGCCGACAAGCACCCGTCATATTGCGACTTGTTTGGGATAGAGAACTACATCGGGCGGAAGGGCCATGTGAATTCTGCGCCGGCCACGGGGAAGGACAAGAAGGAGGAGGAGGAGGAAATATACTCACGCTTTTTCGGACAGTCCAGTTTCACGCGGTATAGTATCGTCGACAAGGCGAGTGTCATTAATGCCAAAGCCCTGGTACGGAATGAAGAGGAGATGAAGCTCTTTGCGCCATTAGGCTGTGGATTCCAGACGGGGATGGGTGCGATCGATAACACTGCCCAGGTAGGCGAGAACACCGTGCTTGTTATTTCGGGGCTGGGGAGTGTGGGCTTGGCTGCTCTGATGGTATTTACTATTTACAAGTCTGGACCTCATACCTTATAGCCAGTGACTGATTGGTGCAGACTGCAAAAATCCGCAAATGCAAAACGATCATCGGCATCGACCGCATCCCCAGCCGGATACAGCTCGCAAAAGAGCTCGGCGCTACACATACCATTGATACCTCGCCGGTGGGGTTCAACGTGCGCAAGGCGATCTGCGACGTATATCCCACCGGTGTCGACTGCGTCATCGACACAACGGGCGCGCCGGCCATTATTGAGGACGGACTCAGGGCTCTCCGGAAGAGGGGGAAACTCGTCCTGATTGGCGTCCCGCCGATGCAGTATGAGTTGAGCATAAGCGCGATACAGCAAATAAACGTATGTCTATCTCTACGAGACTGGACTTGAGCTAATTGAACAGACTGGTCGATCTGTGGTTGGGTGTCTTGAGGGGGACTGTATTCCTAAAGAGGTGCGTCTACTCTTAGTATAATATCGGACACAGGCTGACAATATCTAGGCAATTGCAACTTTAATCCAGTGGTACCGGGAAGGTCGCTTTCCCATTGATAAACTAGTCACATACTTTGAGGTGTGTTAGCCCTACAGGTACTTTTATCAAACTAACACGGACAGGCACATGAATTCAAACAAGCATTAGCCGGATTAGACGACGGATCTGTAGTCAAGGCTGTGCTGAATTGGAAGAACGTATAACACTATATTCATCACATACATATCATATTGTTTTCATTAGATAAACCTGACGCTACCCGCTATAATACAATAAAACAAAATAAAATAAATAAAATAAAATAAACTAATCAATCGGCATCGCAACCTCATTCCCCACATTCGTCACAACATCCAACGAACCCCCCAGACACCAACAAGTCCCCGGCGTCTGATCCCCCGTGCCGTCCACATTATACGTACATCCCACATCCTCGCGCTCCTGGAAGTAATTCATCGTATTGCACAGCCCCAGACACTCATCAAACGAGCCGAGCACGATCGACGCAAGGTCCTTCTTCCCCGTAGCCGCAAAATCCGAGTCGCAGAATATCCGGTATCGCTTTGGGCCGGGGAGGTGGACGACGACTGTGCCGTTGGCGTTGGGGCAGATGGAGGTTGGGCTGGGTTGGGGTGTTTGTTGGACGCCGGAGAGGGTTATTGTGCTGTCTAGGGAGTCGTTGTCGAAAGGGGAGGTGTATGTTGATGTTGGGGTTGTTGTTGGTGATGATGAGGGTGATGATGATGAGGAGGAGGATGAAGATGGTGTTGCGGGCGATGTTTCGTCATTTGAGCTGTCGTTGTTTGTTTCTGTAGGGGAGGGCTGGGATGATACAGCCTCTGATTCTGTTCCTGATCCTGTCCAATCAATCATCAGCAACCTTGAACTGTATCTCAATCTCAATATAAGAAATGAAAGCATACCACCATTCTTCGCCAACCCAACCCCCAATCCAACCGCAAGCCCTATCACCGCCGCAACAAGCACCCCCAGCGCAACCCACAGCCAAAACAGCTTCTTCTTCCCAATCCCCTGCTGCACAGGCGGTCCTGAATATCCATGCCCATGCCCATATCCGTATCCATTTTGCGCTGGGTATCCAAACCCAGGACCCTGCTGGAATACAGCCTCCAGACCAGGCTGGGTACGTCGATCCGGCACGGCCTCTTTGAAGGAATCCCCCGTTGTCGTCGTCGTTTGAACTATCGTCCCACTCATGGTGTCTGGGTTTGTATTTTAAAGGTGAAAGAGGGGGGGGAAAAAAAAGGACGAAAAAGGGAGGGGGAAACAGAGCGCGCCAGGATGGGGGTGCACTACTATGTACTACCATGGATGTATGTATATGTCTAAGCGCTCTGTCCCTGTGATCCAGCCGTCTAGCTGCGTTGTGCTTAAGATTATAGGTCCACTGCGGACCTGAAACAGCGTCTATCTGGTCCCCTGCAGCTGGGCACATTTTAGTCTGTCCAGGGTTATTCGTGCGAAACGCCGACTCTTAACAATTGGCGCTGTGGGAGCAAGAACCTGGTCAATAAACCTAATTACGGAGTCAGGTTTTTGATTACAGATTTGCAGGAACTGTATCTTCTCACTCTACATTTGTGGAATACAACGATAACCATCTGCTGCTTCTTAACGGACGACGCTCTAAGCGCCGACCAAACCCACTCCATCGCGCCGTTGGTTAAGCGCATGCACGCTATTTCAGGAACAAAAAGAACCTCCATGCTTGGCAGCGCGTAGACCCTGGATTTAATTTGATGTTAACTGAGATTGGTTCTTTCCCTGGGGGTTGGGAAGGCATTGATCCACCTCTGTGCATGGGCCTCCGTCCAACCCTAACTGATCAACACCATTGGAACATGAATCAAGATACCATCCCAGCATTCTGGAAGCGAATCAAATACAAGGCAGAGCCGAGCCGGTAAAGTATTTCCGCCAGTGAAAGGCTCCCGAGTGCCAGTCCACGGCCACGTCCTCAGACGCCCTCGTCACGATACCCTACTTTATGGAGTTACGAGCTTGGCAGAGTATTTAGTTACAGTTATTATGTATGTATTTACCATGCAGACTGTACACGGCCTATGAACCAGATGGAGCGTTGTATCTATATTATACAGTGTCCGGCTCTATATCGCTCCCGCCGTCGAATCCCTCGTCCATGGCGTCGGGGTTCAGGTTCGCCACGTCCGCGTCTACACCGTCCTTGTCTTTCTTGTCGTGCGAGATTGACTTCCATCCCAGCTCGTGGGTGTCGTCCTTGATGTATTCGGACATGGGGAACTATTCGCCAGTTAGTTCGCTGCTCAGTCTTCCACTAACAAATACAAGGGTATGAGGAACATACGTAATGGTCGTTCTTCTTCATGGTAACTACCCAAGGTACGTTGTCGAATGTCACCGCCCGGATCCGGAAGTATGTGTTATCCGGGATCTTCTTCACTTCCTCGACGAAGCGATCGAGATCTGGTGTCGGCACTCCGTTCACTGCTGTGACGAAGTTGGTGGGTGAAAGGCCATATTGGTAGGCTGGAGATCCACGACTCTGCGATCATAATTAGCATATACAGACAGTACCAAAAAAAAAAAAAAGAAAAGAAAAGAAAAGAAAAGAAAAGAAAAGAAAAGAAAAAGGGCAGACGCACCCGTGCGCTGACATAGATCTCGCTATGCAGCTTGGAAATTTGTTGGCGTACGGCGTGGTGTGGCTTCTGCAGCACCGCACCACAAAAGACAACCGCTCGATCGGTCTCCAGATCCTGCGTTGACACGGTAGGCACCTGGATCCGCATTTCTTCCCCGTTACGCACAATAAGCGCTTCGAGCACTTCCTTCTCGTACATAATGTCTAGCTCAGACACGCGTGTAATCAGCTGTCCATCAAGAGTGAGGATGATATCGCCCTCCTGGAAGCTGTCCGCCGACGAGTTGAAATCCGGCGGCGGGCAGTCGACCTTCCGCACCATGAACAGTTGGTGTCGCGACGGATTCGCCTTGGCAACCCGTTCAATCCATTCCTCGGAGACTCCCATGATGCGCGCCTGGCTCATCTGCACCACATAGCTTTCCATGTTTAGGATCCGCAGTTGCGGCAAGAGACCTTGTTGGATCTTGTTTATAACGGGCAGTAATGCGGGCGTGGCGAATCCTAGGTGGTATTCCACGTCCTTGTGGGAGTTAGGTGTACGTTCACCGAGGTAATTCAACCACAAGGCCTGGACCACACCATCTTCGCCGACCAAGACACCGTTCGAACATTGCCCACTCAGGCCTGTATCGACAGTCACCGCATCCAGGTTGATAGCACGGTACCGCGGTGCAGAAGCATTGGCAGGGATCGAAACGGTCGTGATATCAGTGACGGCAGTCTTGGCAACCACGATACGGAAATTTTGGTTGAAGCCGACAAAAATCGTATCTTGACCCTGTTTGATGTATTCCGTGCTGAGCTTGGCGCTTTGGACTGGAGCTTGCACCAACGAAGGGTCATATTGAATGACACAGTAGTTTTGCAGTGGGTGGAGGAAGACAATCTTGGCCGCAACAATGATCGAATCTGCCACTGTCACGTTGATGTCACACAGATTGTAAGGCACAATGGCACGCGACACCACAACCAACCCCTTATCAGCATCCACAACAAGACCAAACCCAGTCTTCTTTGCCTGAGGGAACCCATCCAGCTTCAAGGGCATTGTGCAAGAGACGCGTACAAAACTGCGCACGATCTCGGCAGCAGCAGGTTGGCTCACGCCGTCCAGCTGGATGAAATCAGCCTTCCTTGGAACCGGTGTCACGGCTTTGACGGGTTCCGCAAGGTCGGAGAAATCCCAAAGACCACTGTCATCATTTCGGACGGCCAGCCGCATCTTTGGATGCCAGTGTCGGTCAATATAGACAATGCTCGTCCCCCGTGTGTGCAAGTCGCGGATGTGGCGATACGAAATGACAACTCGAGAGCGATCCGGAATTGATTTCATTACTTCCACAAATTCATCCAGATTCCTAGTTTTTCGTTTGTCCACGGAATCAATCAACCATCCTGAAAGAGTATTCTCGAGTTTGAAGGAGCCCGCTGCTTCACACACGTAAACACCCTTTGTGGCAATGGCATAGAGTCGAGCCTGCTGGTAGGATAGGTCATGGAAAGTTCCGCCAGCAACCGTTACAAACCGATCGGGCGTAATGGCATGCAAGTCGCCAACGTCGCATTGAACCTCCATGTTTTGACCGCCTCTCTGCACCAGCAATCGGACCGGCCCCCCAACGCTGGAATCCAGGATGTCATCCAGTCGGACAAATCGGGTGAGGAGTTCTCCATTCACCTGCAGGAGTACATCGCCCTCTAAGATCTTTCCATCTGCAGGACCTTCAGGTAGAATGATCTCGGCAACCAGCATACTCGTTTCGTTAGGAGCTGCCTTGCGCACCTTAGTTTCCCACTCAGGAGTCAATCCCAGGCGACGACACTCATCGAAAGGTTTGAGAATCCATTGCGTCTGGATGGTTCCTCTAGTAACTGGCTCTCCTCGACGAATGCATTCCAGAGCACGCTGCGGTCTGTCCAGCGGCAAGAAATAGTCGGTTGCAGCGCCATCTGCACGACCTCCAGCCTGCAGCGCGATGGCATTTCCTGCAAGATTGACCACAGGACTTCCGGAGCTACCTCCGCTAGCCGCAGCGGCTGCCTGAATGTAATTGGTGTTGAAGTCACTATAGCCTTCGCCGTACTCAGGGGCATTCCGGTCAAGTCGACTGATGACACCAGATAGAATGCTCAGTTTTTCTCCTGCGTCGTTACCTACCACCCGGATCTCTGAACCCACACGAGCTCCATCCGGCTGGAGCTTGAGTTCTCTGAGTTTCATGTGTCGGATCGCTTTGGGATCGAATTTCAGTAATCCGAAATCGTGGACAGGGTCTCGATATACCGGAGAGACATCGCACTATTTATACCGTCAGAATTCTTTTTCTCCCTTTTTTGAACTTTAGTAGCAGGACAAGCAACTTACCTCTTCGTGATTATCAAAGATAACATAACCCCAGAACGGACCTGGACAGACCACATGTCGGTTGGTAAGGATATATCCGCGCTCAGCATCGACCACAAACCCCGTGGCTTGACTACTCATTGACAACTCCGTATCAAACGAGCAAGTCTGGCAGAAATGGATGGAGACGACACTCTTTACTACCTCCTCAATCGTAGCCTGCCACTCCGGCGAATCTGCCTGCGTAGGCCCAACGGCCATCAAAGGCCCCAGATCCTCCTCATCTTGGACATCGTAGACGGTTCCGTTGGCCGGCGTAGAATCCCCCGGAGTGAGCGACGAGTTTTCGGGCTTCAAGTGTTTCACTGGCCGCTCCGCCGCTGCGGAGATGGAATTGCGCTTGCGCTTCACGACGCCGTCTCCATTCATGTTCGTGGTTGTAGCGTAAGCGGTCGCACTGGATTTAAGATCGGATTTTGATGTGAGTCGTGAGAGGGTCGACGCGTTTGAAGTCTGACTGGTAGCACGAGAATCGGGGGTTACAGCGGCGGCTGATGTCCGGCGGAGCAACGACGGAGCTGATCGCCAAAGCGCGAAGAGACCGCGGCTGAACACTAACGTTGAAAACGATGAATATTTGCCGGGGAGATTCCAGGATATATTTACACCGGGTCGAAAGCGAGGAAGGAAAGAGGGCGAGGCGGGCAACGATGTTGCCGATACAGAAGGCGAAGCAGCTGCGATAGCAGTAGAGTTGAGAGCAACACTTGGGCACCTTCTGTTGGCCAGAAGCCAACAAGACATTCACAAGGCTCCAGAGAGAGGACAAAGAGCGAGGAGCGACGGGGAAAGGCTAAAGGAGGGTAATGGGGTGGTTGAGAACGAGGCTGACAGAAAAAAGTCAGGCGAACTGCGATACTTTGAGGTGACAGGCGTGAATCCGGGCGGAGAGCCGGCCAGGCGCCGCACAAGCCTCACTGATTGGGCCATCCCCCTCCCTCCGCCTGCAATGCCCGTCAGTCGGATGACCGAATATCAGGGATAGGGACAAGCATGGTCTCAGAATTCTCTATATTTATATTTCTAGGCTGCTCTGTGGTTAGAGATTCAGTGTAACATTCAAGCCTGCTGTTTCGGCGCACAGCCCCCGAGCATCAACAGCTGATGAGTGCTGTACTAACCACACTATACCAAGCTATATGTACAAATCTAGACTACTCTAGTAAGAATAAAAACAGTACCCAGTATTCAAGGGCCCTCCTGTGTCCCATCAGGTGCCAATTTAGCCATACAGTCAGATATTTCGTCTTTACTCCCGACAGTCAATGACACGACGCTTCGGCGCACGGTATCCAAGCTAGACCAGAGTATAACGTGAAATCCGTAGGAGGGGAGGAAAGTCATTCGTAAAATAAGCTTCGGCATTGCGTTTCGACTCTCCCACCAAGATGCGAGGTTCTAGCAGGGTATGGCCGAAGGGACTTCAGAGTGGAATGACCACCGATTTTCCAAGGTGGTTTAGGAACTCGAATCTTCGACTGCTCCTTTTTAGATTCTTCCGGTTATTATCCACAAACGTGTAGCAACACTGCCCTCTCAGCGTGCTCACACGGTGTTTTCAGTGGTGGGCGACAAGCCCGCAGGTCCTCCATTTCCTTGGGCTCCCTGATTAGCACTCGCCGTCCCTTGCGCGCCCCGTGGAAACAAATCGTTGAGTTTGGTATAGAGATCATTGATGGCTGGTAAGTTGGGAGGTGGTGTCATAATAGCAGGCGCAGGAGGAACAACTCCCCCGGATTTTTTGCCCTTATCTGCTACCGTAGCTAGGTATGCGAGGTTGACCTGCAATCGCCGCATGCAATTAACATATTCGGGACCCCGTTGAACATTCTTGTCAGGTGTCGATTCTGACGTCGGCGATGGGTTCGAATCCTGTGAGGCTTGTTGGGCGGGTGGGCCGCCGGCCTTGCCTGATGTTTGAAGGTTTACCGCCTCCTGCAGCAGCATAGAATTGATCTCCAGGAGAACAGAAACGCGTTCTTTGTCACGCGCGGCCAATGCCGGTGATTGAACTGCCGGAGCAGTGCTTTGAGACGGGCCTTGTTGAGCAGAGGTAGGCTGTTGAGCAGGGATCGGTGGTTGAGCAGGAGCCATACTCTTCGCCATACCTGAGGACATATTTTGAGCGAAGGACTGTGCTTGCGTCGCGGGGATGTTCGCAGCCGAGGACGCTGGCTGGGAGAAAGCGGCGGTTACGGGAGGCTGGGTGAATGGGGCGGAGAAATTCGCCTGGGGTCCTAGAAAGCCGGAAGATCAACAAGTCAGTAAGTTGCCTATATCGTCAAATTCGAATATGACGTTAGCACAAAAGCAGGAGCTTCAGCTGGAGCTTATTCGATAAATAAGACAGCAGGCGCTTTCAACCAGCCGATCAGCGCCCGGACAGGGGAGGCGACGCGCACGAGGCACGAGAAAAGAAGAAAGTAAGTAATAACAAAGCAAGCGTACCTGGAGATTGCTGGGGGAAATTTGGCGGCATCATAGCTCCACTAGGTTGCAGTGGTACAGCACCGAACGAGGGTTGAGATGGAGCATTTGACTGAGGAAAGGAGGGAACCTGGTTCGGATAGTATGGAAACTGCTGCGGATTGCCCTGCGGAGGGACAGGGTAACCCGGATTGTGCTGCATTGGAAAGCCGGAAGCGTTGGGGTCCATTGCCGTTTCGCGTTCAGGAGGCTTGGAGACGCAAATACAATGATAACAATCCCACTTTTAATGGTAAATGACGGGGCGGTTAATTTAGGAATTCCCAGTTTCTCTTGCGATGGCCCAAATCCAACTCGACGTCCACGCGCGGGCGGCCAAGCAATCGCAAAGACCACGAAACCGTTTCGCTGAAAAAGGTTTCAAGTAAAGATTGCAGGAAAAAACAAAGTCGAGCACCCGACGAAGCAAAGAATGGTGATTGGCCGCCAGAAGGAGCGGTGGTGTCGAAAAGAATGAATCGGGTTGATACAAGGAGATCGGGGCAAAAGAGATTTGCTGGTCGATCAGTTTTCGGCCGGTTGGGCGGAGAGGCTAATGCAATGGAGTTTCTTCAGCCGTAAAGAAAGAGAGAATGGATGATCTAGATGAGATTCAGAGCATGCTATTGACAATAATGTACAAGTTGAGCAATGAGGATGAAGTCAAGAAGAGGAAGAAGAGATGCCGACGGGGAGCCAGATCAGGTGCTCGCCTTGTAATTCTGGGAATCATTACCAACCCAATACCTGAACTTTGTACGTAAGTCTTCAGGATAATGGTAATATTACACAGTCAGGACGTTTAGTTTACGTATCATACGCTCATCAACGGACAGCAGCTTCCAAGTTCCTCGACCTCAGCTTGAAGTTCCTCTCTTCTTGCAACTTCTGTATGTCCTCTCCAGCCTCTTCGCTCCCTGCAGCCATATACAATCATAGGGAGATCTCCAATTCCGCATTAATCGGGTAGTCTCCACTCACGGCTTTCAGACGACGCTCAACACAATCATATCGGTAGACATCACTGCACTTGGTTCAGCCCGCCACGCTCCAGTACGAGGCACACCCATCCTGAACGATTTACTCCAAGCGGAGTACTGTTCAAGAGAGATGGTCCCACGGAGGCGGGCGAGTACTTCTGTCCAACCGGCATTGATCCGGCTGGACCACTTAGTATGACAGGTACACACAAGTCGAGAAACCGCATCCATGGCTGTGGCGCTGGGGAGCAAAATATACCTCCGATCAATCGCGTGCCAATCATTTACCGGGACGTTTCCTAACTGGAGAATTTATTCGTGGCTTGTTGGTAATTGGGTACAATTTACACAGCCCTGTTCGCTTTAAGCCGAGATGCAGTCCTTGCCCGTCTAATGGGTAGCTTTCACCTCAATGTTCGAGAACATGAGGTTTTTGATTCGACTGAGAATGCAGATATTCCGCTGAACCCTTGGGTTTCCTTTCATTTTTGTTTTGTTTTGTTATTTCGCGGGGAAACGGTGTCGTTCTGCTGAATCGCTGATTCCGCCACGCACTGATTAACGTGACCAGTCAGATGTCCCCCAGTGGGCCTATATAAATTCTCATACATCCAATATCGACAGATCAGGCCCTACCGCGAAACACTGAAACAATGAATGTGCTGCTGAGTTGTCCCGTTGCGGTATACGAATACACTCCTTCCAGCTGCTGAGAGGCGCAACAAACCCACACAATATCAATGGGGCCTTCGATTCTCAAATGGGCTTCCTTTCAGCTTCAATCACCTGTTGGTCAATGGGTATCAGGTAGCTTACAATAAGCGAGCCAACAAAAGTCGCTGCTGATAGGCCCTTTCATCATTGCTGTAAGGATTAAGCTTTGGCACCGTTTACCGGTGATGGACGCTTCGAGCATACCGAGCTTTGTCCAGCGTTCACTGAGAGCTACCGGATTTTGCCCTCAATCCCGACCATGTGGATGGCCAGCCTCGCGGATATGTCCCTTCTTCTTCCGAACCACTAGTCGGATGCCGGAGGCCCAAAGGGGGACAGTCTCGAGCGTGACCCAGAGTTCGCGAATATTTCCCTGGAAAGGTCCACCGAAGGTTCCATTGCCATTGTCGATTCCTCCCATGCTCATTAACTATTTTAGCACCCTCAGATGGGGGCAGAACAAGCATGGATCAATGGCCGGACCCACATACGAAGCACAAGTCGACGCCTCGAGCCCGACACATCAGGTGTGGGAAACTCTATTCTACAAAAAATTTGCTCAGAGGACCATCGAGAGAAAATCACCCACTAAAAGGATTCAATCCGGCGTTAATCGCGGTTTATTTGTCACAAATGGTCTCTTGAGACTAGACTCGTATGCTCTTCGACGCCGACGAAGCCCCAGGAACGAGTCCGCCTTGCTCGAGGTCTCGCCTTGAGCGTGCAATCACAAGGTTTCCATCGGTATATGCGGACGCCCTATCGGAAACATGCCATCCCATATTCCAAACCGGAGCCGGGATAACATGCTTTGAAACCCACTGTGGGGGTTAGGAAGTTGATTCGATTATAACAGACCGAAATAAAGCCAGCTCTCCACAGATGTCAAGTCCGGTAGATCATCACTGCAGATATGAAAATAAGGATATAGGAGTGCGTTAGACTGGAACATAGGGTGCATCGAAGTTCCATGATCCCGGTCAATGCCACCTGCCCCCTTGACCACGCTATTGAAAAAAAGTTTCCTTCACCGAGCTTTTTCGTGTCGGCGTGAAAGTACTTTCGAGTTTTAGTTCTCATCACCGATAATCATTCACCTGCATGGGCTGCATACAGCTGTCTATCAGTGCTGGGATGCATGTCTGGATATCCGATTAACGTGCGGATACAAAGCACCAATAGTGGACCAGAGGATTCAACATTTGTTTTTGCTTTTTATATTATACCCTGAAGTTTGGGTTCTGCTGTCTCTTAAGACGGAGGCTCCCATATCCTCTCTCCCAGTCCCCCATTCTTAACCACTCCAAAAGCTCGCAAGCATATTTTTCGACTTGCATAGCACCATTTTTACCAACAAATGCTTACCTGAGGAAATTTACTCCACGCACTGTGTCTTTATCTCTTTATCCAGGACCGTCTAGGTACCCCCCTATGGTATGCCCCCACAATTACACTGCAAAATATCGACAAAATCTGATTAAATGTTTAGTCCAGCACAGCAGCCTCAATGGATGGGCCCTTGGATAACTTAGGGTCTCACCATTTCGCATTGCTCTACATTGATGAAAGTGGGAAATTGCGCTTCGAGGCCTCTTCATCAGTTGCGAACGATTGCCACGGCATACTGTCACCTGAGGTAACTCACTCATTCTTGAAGGCAGTTGCTGTGTCTGAAGACGGAATGAAGCTTGCCAGTAAGTATTCCGATATCAATTCCCCTTGGATGGTGGTTGATTGTGATAGATTCTTCCGAAGCCAATTATGAAACCCAGAGTGGGAAAAGCGCATCGTCCCCGGATTCGCCGGGGTCCCCTAACTTTAGTCGTAGATCCTCTATGTAAGTTCTCGGCTCTGTCAGGCCTGTCCAAGGAGACATCTAACGAAACTTAGTTCCCAGCTTATTGACAACAATCAGAAACGAAAACGGGCGTCGCACGAGTATGTGCTACCAATGAGCATAACATGCTACCCGCAAACACTTCTTCCGATCAGGAACCAAAGTCTTCTCCGGAAGTATTATGAAAAGGCGTTTGATAGTCTACAGCAGACCAACTGTCGCATTTTAGCGAAAGCCTATATCAAGCTTGTGGAGCCACGAAAACAAGTTAACTACCCGTACAACGGCCGCAAGAACATCGCCGGTGTCCCCAACCAATTTGACCCTGAGGAAACAAAGCCAGGCTGGTGGCCTGCTGGCGTTATCCATCGCGAGCCAGATCACCTCCGCAAGCCAGGTGTGTTATTCCAGTGATGTCCCGTCCAAAAATAGTACTGATTTTGCCAGAGAGGATTCGCCTCCTTGTGCACATTTTGTGTGAACTCCGCGAGAGTCACTCAATCTGTGTCGACAATCTCAAAGAAGCAGACCAGTCCATCCGTCGCCAGATCGCACCCATTGAGCGTCTCCAAGTACTAGATGAAATCTATCGGGTCCGTGGAGAAGAAGAACGGTACCTTAATGGCAACTCTGGTGTGTCTGCCCTTCGCTCCTATTGCAGAAGCACCCACTGACCTTTTGGAAGACGGACAAGGAGTTGTAAGCGTCTCTCGCGTACACCTTCCCGATATGGCAGATCCCCAAGCATCGCTTTATTCGCCTGTTGGCTCTATCCTCGAATCCGATAACACGTCTCGTGACGATGTACCCGACTTGGAGTCTCACACATCTGTGTTCCCGTCCTCAAACATTTCCGCTAGTAATACCTCATTCAACCGGCAGCAAGTTGATGCAACTTCAAACGCCGTCCCTCCAGTCTCCGTTCTTCCCAGCGCCATTGCTCCAACTACATGGGATGCATGCCATTCCTCAATACCAGTATCTACGTCACTACCGCCAATCAACCCCGCCATGAAGCATTCCCATTCAGACCCAGCCGCAGCCCATTACGGCCTTGACTTTTCTACATCGATCTTCCCGCACCACGAGCCAATACCGGCCTTCGCCATGCAATCATTTCCCATGGAGCCCTACGCGAACCTTCATCCACATATGGCCTCTCATATTCCCCACCAGAGTGGTGAGCATCAAAACCATCCGCAAAGCCACGCCACGGTCATGCCCCTTGTGCGCACCCCAGGGCCTAATTTAAGCGGCTGTCCTCCTTACTATTTTGACTACTGAACTTTCTCTTTCTTCACATGTACAATACCTATACTGTCTTTTCTTATGAAACCCCTGATTTTGAGCGTGGATTGGAGCATTTCCGGGAGTCTTTAGATAATTTCTTTTGTTTCTGTCTGTTTGTCTCTCTCTATGGTTTCTGTATATATAGCGTTTCGGGTTCTAGAGGGAGTTGTCTGGGAGCATGTTCTATAATTGTGGAGGAAAAGTTGTGTTTGACTCTATAGGTAAAGATAATCATCATAATCGCTAATTCTAATGATACATCTCACCACAGTCGACAATCAAATTTGTGGACTAGGAACATTTTGTCTTGCCCAAAATAAATAAATAAGTAAGTAAATAGCAAAATTGCAGCTCATATTTCTTGCCGAACTCTCGTACCCCTAGAGAGAGATACGGGATACGCGACTTGTGGCTTTTCCGCCACATTGAAATTAGATCATCCGTGCCATTATATCTAACAGTTATATCTGTATTTCCAGTCCAGGTTAACTCTATACTTGTAGCCATCGACAATAACTCTCCATTTGTCGGGGTGGTTGAGAGAGCCACCAAACCCCCTAAGGGATTCGCCGCGCTTGTAGCAGCCATCCATGATGGTCTGCGCGCCGTCGGCGATATTGTTGTACGACGGGAGTGACCGGGTTTTGGGAGCCTATTTTGATAGAGTTAGGCAGGTTGCTTCATTTTTTCTCAATCCTTCTTCTTGTTCTTTTTTTTTTTTTTTTTTTTTTTTTTTTTTTTTTTTTTTTTTTTTCTTGGCCGTAGAATGAAACAAGGGTGGGGCAGTTAGGGCTACTGGATATATAGTACTCACATCATTACACCAAAGGATCGCATCCCCCCATTCACAACTAACACGCTCACACTTCCCAGCAGCAAGCGTAGGCTTCCCCTTGGTACTACGGAGATGTGAAATCCCTCCTCTAATATGGTCAACCGAGGCGTCGTCAGCCTCATCGTGCGAAATGCAGTTGAGCGTGTGTCGCTTGGAAAGGATATGGGTTTCAAGTTCCGAGACCGGGTCGGAGAGATCAGTGGTGGAGATTTCATCCATCACCGTTCGGACGTCTTTGAAGTCTTCGTCGAAGTTGGGGTTGATTTCCTTCAGCTGGGCGTAGACCTCGGTGACGGTGCCGTTGAGGATGAGATCGGGGCCGTCGGGGTAGGCCTTTGTTCTGAAGATTGACACGGTATCTCCTAGATTGGAGCCGCGGAAGGCAGGGATCTGTGGGTTGAGGTAGAGTCAGTATATTTTAAAGTCGGGGAGGGGGGTTGTTCTTACAGCCGATGCCGTCAAGGCAAGTAGGGCAAGAAAAGTAGTCACAACAAAGCGGTACATTTTGAATAATAAATCTCGAGTATTCGATGTATGTTTGATGTTTCGAGAAAGAAAAGTATGGTATGGTAAACAGTAGAGAGCCGCAGGGGTATGGGTATATTTATGGCGACCAAGAAGAATAGCTACGAGATTCCTATTGTTGTAGGGGTAAATTCATGTTACAGAATGCAGAGGACAAACATTGGACAGAATGTATTCTCTTTTTGCATCTAGGGCGCCTGACTTGGAATTGTCGACAAAGAGCATCATACTCCATCCGGAATTATTGCACAAGCATCATATACATTCTCTGCATATCAGCAGTACACAGAACAATATGTAGATCACCCTGTCTGATTACTGGAGATGAGCCATTTATATCTTACATGCGGCTAGAGGCATGCAGATAAAGAAACATGGGGCAACCACGTTGGTGACACAGCAGCCAATATCACCCTATCAACAAAGGCTGTCCAGCCTCTTTGTATGCACATTCCGGGTTGGCTCAGGTACAGTCGCTTAGCCACTTTGGAAATCACGACGCTGGGTGTTCAATATACCCTGCTGTAACTATCGGTTGGACTGAAGTTTTTGCGCTATGTGGACAAGCCAGATTGGGCTGGTTTGAGGTCGATTCTATCTGTTCTACTAGCTAGTCCCTAGAAACGTGGCGCCCGTGCCTCATAGTCACTGGTGATCGAAACTCACGCTTCCATGGCCTCTCGGTGCATAGTAAGCATGTGACTATGTCCCGACTCTCAATACAGAGGCTGCAGGTCCGCATGCAGCTCAATGAAGTTCTCAGGGCGCATCGGCACTTGCAAACAGTGAGCTGGTGCCCGCGGAGGAGTATGTCGACCAAGCGACTCAGTATAGTATCTGCTATGTCCCAGAACTGACTCAAAGGTGGCCATCACTTCAACCTTCTTTGCGTGCTTTGACTGCGGCAATGAAGTCCTTGCTCTTCGCGCTTGGCACAACGTAGATACGAACCAGCTCGTCAACGACTTCGACTTTGCTCCCACTCAGAATTTGCAACAGCGGAAGCTTCTTTCCCGCCTTTATCAGGCCTCCCGTATGCGTGTCCATGTAGCAGTCCACGTTCTGAATCGTATATTCCTTCTTCGTGTCCCACGGCAGCGGGAAGATATAATCGAGATGATCCTCAATCGAAGTGGCCTCGGGGAATCCCTTGATGAAATCCGACTCCGCATCCATCGGGTAGAGTAGCACCGTCGGAAACTCCAGAGTGCTCTCCGGCGACAATGGGTCAGGAGTAAGTTTGATGTTCGCGTCCTCCATCTCAGGAGGCTGGTTAGTTTTGCGGGTTCTAATCTGTCGAGCGCGGAGGGCAGTGCTCAGGAGCTGTTTCTTTTTGAGCGTCTGCTCGTCGTTGGCCTTCCGCTTGGCGGCTATCCTCTCAAGAGACGCTTTCCGCTCCGTGATCTTCGACGAAACCTGCTGCAGTGGCTTGTTCTTCGGGTCAAGCGCTAATCCACGCGTAGCGACATCCTCCGCCTCGGCTATCTTATCAAGCGCATATAATGCCATCGCGGAGCGGTAATAAGCCTTGACATTGCGCGAGTTGAGCTGTAAAACGGAAGCACAGTCCAGCGTCGTAGACCGGTAGTTCTCTGCATGAATTCACTAGTTAGCCTCAAACAAACCCACAAAACACCATCAACCGTAGGTTGTAAGAAATGGGTCGCATACTCAGCTCCAAATTACACAACGCACGGTTGATATACGATGCCTCCTCAACCTCCCGCCGAAGTCTCTGCTCCTCCTCCTCATCCTCGGGCTTATCCCATTTCTGCTCCGTGGACTTCAATACTGCGATCCCCTTGGTGTAGAACTCCTTTGCATCAATCCACCTCTTCTCCCGCGCGGCCTCATTCCCCTGCTCGCGGAAATTCTGCGCAACGTCGCCCCGCGTTCCCTCGTTCTGCAATGCGCGCAGGGCATCCAACATGATGTTCTCGCCATCTGTAGCGCACGCCCGTTAGAAACACCCATCTCTTCCCATCTCTTCCTCCAGGTGAACAAAGAAGAAGAAGAAGCAGAAGAAAAAGAAAACTCACTCTCATCCCCCGCCTTGCTGATATCCGTCATGAACAGCGGCGTCTTATTCAGTATATCCGCCAACTCATCCGTCGTATGAGAATCCACAGCCGCCATAGCAGGCGGGAGGTCCGGCTTAGGCGCATCCTTTGCCGACTCCTTCATTCGTTCCTCATTACCGGGGATAGGGAGCTCGGGGCCTGCGGTAGGCGGGGTTGTTGGCTTGGGCGGGGGCGCGTTGAGGTCCATCGACTCGTCGAAGTCGTCGGGGAGTTCCTCTATCCGGGGGTGTGTGGACGCCATTTTTGTGAGGTTTGACAGGGGGTATTGAGGCTGTAGTGGGCGTTTCCTTACACGGTTTGGCTGTTGGGATCATGCTCTTGGGAGAAATTTTGAGACAAACAGTGCAAACATGAGGGGGAGGGCTAGCCCTATCTTGACGGCCTAAAGGGGTACAGTAGGTAATGGGGGGAGAAACGCGGCGCCGAACCCAAGGCTTTTATGAGACGCTAATAGGTTTAATCGGGTTTAATTGTTCATATTTTGCTTTGGAGTTCAAGTAGCGATAATTGGGCATGGTTCATAGTATAATGAATTTTCCTGCAGGCCGCGTTTGCATAGAAAATAAACGTCGGGATTCTTTGTAAGGCGACAGATATATATCCCTACTCTTACCATGATTATAGCAATAACCAAGAGCTGTTTACAAACCTACAAGCTTTTACAGGTCGAGCAGTTGCTATCACTTACCTCAAAATGAACAAATCCACTCTATCCGCTATCCGGGAGCTCTCCACCCTCACTTCCGACCAAAAGACTGCCGTCATAGACGCTGCCGCGAGAGATATGACCACGGCGATGATCAGAATATCCCAAGAAATCAACCGCGGAACTCTCAACCCAGACAATACTGCGCCTTTACACAACTTTATTCGGACCATCCAGCGACACGAGCGAGCGCAGCTGCGGAAGCTAGAGCGGAAAATCGCAGGATATCAGCGTCGAGCAAGGATATGGCGTGCTGAGCGACGGCGTATACGTGACAATATTGCGGAGGTGAGGCGGCATACGGGGGGTTCGCACCAGGGCTCGAAAACGCCGGCGAAAGCGCTGGAATCTCTGGAGAAGGGTTTATGTTCGGAGTCGGAATCGGGCAGTGGCGAATCATCGTCGGGACAGTAATTGTCGGCGATCGAGACTGGCCCGTGATATGGGGACGTGGTTATGGAAACCCGGTCTTCCGTCCACTTGAAGGGGAAATTCCGAGGTTGCTGAAATCATGCCCTGTCATATTCAGTTGATTGAAGCGTCGCAGTGGTTTCCGGCCGAGTGGTGGTGTGTCGGCTATTGTCCGTCGGTGACTGCGATCGTTGAAAAGCGACCTACGGAGAAGTTAGGAATGATGAGAAATGAAGTCACGAACCTTTTCGTCTTTTTTTTTTTTTTTTTGCCATTTTGCCCCTTATCCATAAAATCAAAAGTTTGGGTCCATCCAACAATACTGTAGATAAAAAGAGGATTACCTCGGCTCTTGGCTGTATTGTTGGCTGCGAGATTCGAATTGATTTTCGGAAGGCCGAGGCTCCACTGTTGTCCCTGGAGCGCATGTGGTGGTCGCCATCACGCTGAATACCATCATTCTTTTTCGCTCCCTCCTGCTCTTTTCTTCTTCTTCTCCTTTCATCACCAGTCACCTAATAACATCCTTATCACCCATTCACAATGAGCAAGCCCGGAGATTACGACGCGGTTCGCCGCGACATCGTCGCCCAGCTCAAGAAGCCCGACTACGATGACGGCAGCACAGGTCCTCTCTTCGTCCGACTAGCATGGTTCGTCTTATCCCCTCGGTCTCATCGTTGACGTCCGACCTTTCCGAAATAGTAGTTCTAACAAGGGAAACAAAAATAGGCACTCCTCTGGCACCTACGATGTTGAAAGCGACACAGGCGGCTCCAACGGCGCTGGTATGCGCTACGAAGCCGAAGGTGGCGACCCCGCAAACGCTGGCCTTCAGCACGGCCGTACTTTCCTTGAACCCGTAAAAGAGAGACACCCCTGGATCACGTATAGCGACCTGTGGACGCTCTCAGGTGTAGTCGCGATCAAGGAGATGGGCGGACCTGAAATCCCTTGGAAGCCAGGGCGCACCGATCACGTTGACGACTCAAAGGTTCCACCACGCGGCCGGTTACCGGATGGTGCCCAGGGCGCAGACCACCTGCGCTTCATCTTCTACCGTATGGGCTTCAACGACCAGGAGATCGTGGCGTTGTCGGGCGGACATAACCTTGGCCGAGGCCATGCGGATCGGAGTGGATTCCAGGGACCTTGGGTGAACAACCCGACACGGTTCTCGAACCAGTTCTTCAAGCTGTTGCTGAACCTGGAGTGGAAGCAGACGACATTGGCGAACGGAATCACTCAGTTCCAGTATGTTGATCCCGATGCGGAGGAGGGTGATGAGCCGCTCATGATGCTGCCAACTGATATTGCTTTGCGGGAGGACCCCAAGTTCCGACCCTGGGTGGAGAAGTATGCGAAGGACAAGGATTTGTTCTTCGATCACTTTTCGAAGGTGTTCGCCAAGTTGATCGAGTTGGGAATTCAGCGGGATGTGAGCGGCTCTGTTGTCAACACAGACAACGTCAAGGGCGGTTATATCTCTGCACCGAAGAAGAGCGATACGCCCACTGGGCCACCACGCAAGGACCGCTCCCAGCAGGCCCGGCTGTAAATCAAAGCAGGAGTGTTGTTGGATGTCTTGTATATATCTGTTGTTCTGCATTAGTTGCGTTTGTCAGTTAGATTCTTAGATGCCAGAAGGATAAGACCTGGTACGGATAGATAATATACCACCTTTTGAAGACACCGAAGCTTCCCCTGGGGCCCCTGGCGTTAATAAAAAGAGAGGAAATGTGGTCAGACCCCATCGAAATGCGGGGAAAGACTCCTGTCCGGGGTCGTTGTAGCATCCCTCGGCGAGTTTTCAAATGTCCCGCTTGTGATTGGCCGTGGCCCCATCCACACCCACAAATCACTCACCAAACAGTCTTGGAAGTAAAACCATCTCCAACTTTTCAAGGTTTAATGCACAATTAATAATAATAATACGTCGGCGTGTTGATCCATCCTGGTCCGACGGATGGCTGGAGGGAAATTTGGTTTTCCGTGGCTTTACACATATTCATTTCGGCGAGAAACAACCAGAGGCGAAGCACATATACATTAGGACCAGCAGTGCCATCATTCGAAGCAATTAAGTCAGAAGCGAGTACTCCATATCCTGCTCTGGTGATGCGAATTTATACATGAGAGCCAGGATTATGGGCTGTTTTTGTAAGTAAACTGGCGATCCTGTATCTTCGGGCCGCTGACATCCGTACATGGCATAAAGGCGCATTAATTTCCCCTGAAAGAAGTGTTCTGTGCATGTGGAAATAGCTGGTTAAATTCATGGCTGAACTGCTGGCGAGGTTTCCCTTGAACAAAGTTGAATTCAGAGCTAGTACGCATCTAGCAAAAAAAGTCCTGCGCATGGAGCCCAGGCTGTTCGGGGCTAAGGACTACACAAGCAAATCCAGGGCGCTTCGTTAAACAATGGGCAGCCATTGCAATATCCCTAGCCGAAAAATGGCCATTTTTATGGAGGTAAAACCATATCCGCATGCTGGGAGGCATAGCAAAGAACATCATACTGGCAACAAAGCATGAGAGGAGCTAAGTCAGTGGATGAAGTAGACATTATCCATGTATATGCCTCATTCGAAGGACAAGCCTTTGAAAAGAGCACCACATAGTAGTTAGACCTTCAGAGAGAACAATAATAATTATATCAAAAAGGCCCTACCTTAGTAAATGAGGACTAGAACACTTCGAATTCATGGGAAGGTGCAGCTGTTGGTATAGTTCGTTGACAAAAAAGGAAGGCACGTTAGTCATCATCTATGGTGTTGAGGTCACGTGTCAAATCAAACGACACTAACCCGATTTACGTTAGTGCGTAGTCAAGCGAGCCCTTCAAGCGACCTTTCCAATTTTGGCTAGATCACACTCTACCCGATCCCACAACGGGCGAGCAAAGTTGAAGCCGCCAGAGCCCTCGACTTCTCCTTCTCACACCTCTCGCTGTCGACAATCTATCGCGATCCCGTTCGCGCCCATCGCCCATCATGTGTACGTGCTATCTCTAGCATCCCTTTCCTGATCTATTCTGCACACCTGCTGCTCTGCTCAATTTGTTCTGTTCGGTGGAATTTGGTGAAGCTGGAGGACAATTTCCAAAATGCCTCAGAACAGACGGCGAGATGATCATTGAATTTTCACATCCGTTGAACGCTTTCCGATGGCAAGAAAATATGGCTGACTGGATTTTTCACCTACAGCGCTCGTGTCCGGCGAGAAGACGAACTTCCAGTACATCCTGCGTCTGCTCAACACCAATGTTGACGGTAAGGAGAAGATCATGTACGCCTTGACTCAGGTCAAGGGTGTCGGTCGCCGTTACTCCAACTTGGTCTGCAAGAAGGCCGATGTTGACCTCAACAAGCGGTATGTTGGCATTATTTTACCCTATGCTTCCTCCAGCACTACCGAAGAAACAAACGACGAGTTTCACCGCAACCCCACAAATCAAATCTATCACCGAGAAAAATATCCATCCAGAATCTAACGAATCTGTTTCAATAGTGCTGGTGAACTTACCACCGAAGAACTCGAGCGTGTTGTCACCATCCTCCAGAACCCCACCCAGTACAAGATCCCCACCTGGTTCCTCAACAGACAGCGCGACATCGTTGACGGCAAGGACTCCCACACCCTCTCCAACGGTCTTGACAGCAAGTACCGCGAGGATCTCGAGCGCCTGAAGAAGATCCGCTCTCACCGCGGTCTCCGTCACTACTGGGGTCTCCGTGTCCGTGGTCAACACACCAAGACCACCGGCCGCCGTGGCCGCACCGTCGGTGTCAGCAAGAAGAAGGGCTAATCCTTTGCGCAAATCGTCTTATTTTTGTTGCTGGGAATTGGGGGTTTTCCTTGTTGCATGTTGGTGTGTTTTTTAACGAATACCTTACCTTTACGGGAACGGGTTTGTGGTGCCCAATGAATAGGAAAAACCATGGACACTTACGGGCCCGGAAAATGAAAAGAATCATACCAATTGAAATGAAAAAATTAGATCAACTTCTGCCTCTCGGATTTGTATTGGATACCTGGCAGACTTGCCCTCCGTCCCTTGCTCATGGGTCACATCGACTTGTCCAACCCTTATTCAGCAGAATGCTCATCGTAGGACACTATATCCCACAACCTGCTATGTAACCACGATGCCCCCAAAGCCTTTACCGTCGCCTACTCTGCCATGGTTTAATGTTGATGCCCACATATCCTTCTATAGCCAACCCTACTCCACACTCCCGCATCTTGTCAAAATTGATCGAGCAGCACGAAGCTAATTCTAAGTACTCGACAAGCTTATGAGATGTCTCTATGATATTACCTTGTAGGCATACTACGATTCGGGAGCATTTGTTTTAACAGTATATATAAAACGATAAGGACCATGTAGGCAGTCATACAATCTAGACTATAAACGAGACATTTTAGTCTTAGAGGGGAACATGTTGCATTGTCAAAGGATTCAATAAAACTATAGCAAACAAATCGTGTTCCGAGGCACTAAAAAGGGCAAGGATTATAACACATCACACATGTAATCAATGTCTAAAGACCAGACTTGTCTTGTCGTATCTCATCTAGAACCATTCACCACCTAGCCATCGGTTGAAGAACTCAAGGGACGATTCAGGCTGGTCCATGGGAACCATGTGACCACCGCCGTAAAGACGCATGAAGGTGAAGTTGCCGTGGCTCTTGACCTGGCCGATCTTCTTGCCCTTGTGCTCGTTGTCGACGATCTTGATATCTTCCAAAGGAAGGGGAGCGTACTCTTTCTTGCCAGGCCATTCGAGGGCCTCGGTCCAGGCCTTGTTTCCGAGCCAGTTGCAGATGAAATCGGCGTCACCAGCGTAGATGAGGACAGGGATCTGCTCAAGGATGCCGGGGACAAGACGGTGGTAGGGCTTCATCCAGTCACCATGGAAGAGGAAGTTGCGGTTGATGTCAAAGTTGCAGGAGTCATAGCCTTCAACTTCGGCACCGACAGCGTTGCGGACTTCCGGCTTGTTCAGGTATTCAGAGACGTAGCCCATGCCCTTGTAGCAAAGGTTGCTCTCGTCCTCACACTTACCGCGAACATCGTACACGTTCTGTCCGGTTTGTTGGTAAGGAGCGAGGAGAGCATTGTTACAGTAGATAGAGGCAGGAACACAGATCCATGCACTCTCGCTGCTGTAGCAAGACTCAATCATGGACTGGCAGCGACCAAGGGAGTTGTCCATGGACCGGCAGGCGCTCTCATCCAACACAGCAGGGTAACCACCATCACCACAGGCCATGGGGCGGTAGTATTCATATTGAGTGAGACCATCAGTCAACCCGTTTCCAATCAAAACAGACTTCAGGTTAATGTTACGCTTCTCGTGAGCAAGAATCTCAGAAGCGAAAACGGGAATGTAGTGGCCAGCATAAGATTCTCCAGCAATATGGAAGTCCTGCTTCGCATACTCAGGGAACTGCTTGAAGAAGAGAGTAAGCAAGGCATAAATGTCCTTGCCAGCAGCAACCGTGTCGCTGACAGCATTGTTGCTGTAAGAGTAGCCAACGTTGACAGGCTGGTCCAAGAAGATCACGGAAGCGTTGGAGTTCCATGAGAAGTCATTGTAGACTGGCTTAATCTTCTCATTGATGCTGCTAGGGCCAAGCTCCATAAAGAGACCAGTCAGGGAGGAGCAACCAGGGCCACCGTTCAGCCACAAAACAACGGGGTCGTTCTCAGGGTCATTTCGCGACTCGAAGAACCCTTGAAACAGTTAGCACCAACACATCACAGCATTTATCAATACAGCAGTCACTCACAGTAAAACAAATGCTTATCATTCTCGTTATCATCCAAGTAACCCGTGAACTGTTTCACATTCGGGTCGATCCCGAGGGCAGCCGGGTCTGTCTTCTTGATCCTAAGGTCGTAGGCCTCAAGCTTACCCTCAACATCTCTTTCCTTCTCGCCATCATCGTTAGTGACCCAGACGCTCTGGACATCAGATCCACGGACGATGTGGTCCCAGTGGGAGTCAGGGCGGCGGGTGTGCTTCTTCGGTAGAGAGAAGACAGGGTTGTGGTCGAGGTTATCGGGGAAAGCGTTCGCAACCTCCTCCCACAGGCCACGAGCCTCATCGGACAGAGACTTAAGCTGCTCTTGGAAGTTCTGGAGCGGCTTGTTCACCTTAGGCAGGCTTTCCTTCAGGGTTTCCTGGAGGTTGCTTCCGAAGTCCTTGAAGTCTTGGAAACCGCCAAGGACCTGCTGGGCAGGGGCGGCTGCAGTGGCCGCACCAACCAGCAATGTAGCTGGTAAAACTCTCATTGCGGTGATGATACGTATATAAACGATGATACTAGCGGAGGATTGATGAGATGATGGAGAAGTGCAAGATGACGGTACCTAGTAGCCAAGTAACTGGGGACCTTCGTAGGCAGTCAGCTTATCAGCAACGCAGGGCAAGCAAGGCGGAGGGCGGAAGGGTAGCAACGGTAAGAGGTTAGCTTACTATAAGGTTATGGTCTGTACACTGAAAGAAGTAGCTGGAAGACCGGCTACTTACTGACGGGGTACAAGATGAGGAGAAAGAGAAGGCAGGTGAGGAGAAGATGGCGAGGGCCGGATAGGCACAGCGTGACGAGGCGGTGGCAGGCGATGACGCCGATAGCAGCGATGGGAGGGCGGCCAATCAGAGGTCGGTGCCTCCCGAGGGGAGGCAGGACAGTCACGAGACCTGAGTCACTCGCTGAGTCATTGTGCGGGACGGACCCGCAGCATGTGACGTCGGTGATCGATACCAAGACCGGGCACGATTTTATCCTCAGCCCAGTAGAGAAGGTATTAAACATTCTTCTTCTGCTTCCTTTCCCCAGTTCTCTCATACGATAGAACTTAATCAGCTTTCAGATACACCAGGCACCACCCAAAATGCCCATTAATCAACCCTCTAACCAAATAAAATTCACAAATGTCTCCGTTGTCAGGCTGAAAAAAGGTCCGTCCAAACCAAACCCGCTTATATATCATAATAAGGCCAACAACCCCTCTAACATGCAACTTTTTCAATCACAGGCAAAAAGCGCTTCGAACTAGCATGCTACAAAAATAAACTCCTAGAATACCGCTCTGGTGCCGAAAAAGACCTCGACAATGTCCTCCAAGTGCCCACTGTCTTCCTCTCCGTCTCAAAAGCGCAAACCGCGCCGTCCGCCGAACTAACCAAGGCATTTGGATCCGGCGTCAGCGGTGACGAGATTAGACAAGAGATCCTCCGCAAGGGAGAAGTGCAAGTTGGAGAGCGCGAGCGCAAGGAGATCGCCGAGCGCGTGGAGAAGGAGGTGTTAGATATTGTTTCTGGACGGTTGATTGACCCGACAACAAAGAGAGTTTACACGCCTGGTATGATTTCTAAGGCTTTAGATCAGCTGAGCTCGGCGAGTGGGCAGTTACAGCAGCAGCAACAACAGCAGCAGCAGCAGCAGCAGGCACAAGCTGGTGAGGATGGGGCGGGTGGTGACGAAGCGGCAGGGGGGCAAGCTGCGCAACCGCGGAAACCGTTGTGGACGGGCGTGAATCCGAATAAGTCGGCGAAGAGTTTGGCTCTTGAGGCGATGAAGGCGTTGATTGCGTGGCAGCCTATTCCGGTCATGCGAGCGCGCATGCGACTCAGAGTATCATGCCCTGTATCGATGCTAAAGCAGAGCGTCAAGTCTGCAGCGCCAGCAGCTGCAAATAAGGAGAAGGAGGCTCCATCTGGGGGTGGTTCTAAGAACAACAAAAAGGGCAAAAAAGGAAAGTCGAAACGCGGCGATGACTCTGAATCCGAAGGAGAGGCCACGCCCCCACCGGCGAAAGGACCTAGCAACGTTAAGGATAAGATTCTAAGCTATATTGAGTCTGTTCAGTCCCAGGAAATTGCCAGTGATGAATGGGAAGTAGTAGGGTTTGCGGAACCAGGTGCTTTCAAAGGACTGAACGAGTTCGTTGGTAACGAGACTCGGGGTAGGGGGCGAGTTGAGGTATTGGATATGGCTGTGACTCATGAAGATTAAATGTGCTGCGCAATGAATGTTATGGATAACTCGATTTGGACGATTGATGATAGAAATATACTGCATAAACTGCATCAATTATGAAATAACTGGATATATATATAATGAAACCTATCATGCCCAGCCTAGCGCCTACCAAAGAACTACGCCAACCAACACCAGGAACACAAAGACAGCACCAGGCGAGAATCAACAAACCAGCCAGCAGGAACCCAAAACTCCACACCAAAATAAAAAAATCATCAAAGAGACCATCAGCCCGAAACAAGCAAAACAACATCCTTGCCTACCCCCAGCTCCCTAGCAACCCTCACCGTCTCTAGAACCGCATGCCCCGTCGCCAAACTAGACACGATACCCTCCTGCTCACACAACACACGTAGGCCCTGTACTGCCTCCTCATTAGAAGCCGTAACCGTCTCCAAACGCCCCATATCCTTCCAATGTGCCAGTTCCGGCCCGGCACAAGGGAAATTCAAATCTGGGGCTATGGAGTACGATGGTAGGATCTGACCGTTGTCGTCCTGCAAGAGGAGGGTCTTGCAGCCGTACATAACGCCCACAGAGCCGTGGGTTAGCGGGGCAGCACCTGCAGCTTCGACGCCGATGAGACGTACATTTGGATCGTCGATGAAAGGCGCGAACATGCCGAGCGCTGCAGAGCCGGATGAGCCCATGGGGGAGATGAGCGCGTCTGCTGGGGGTCCGTTGCCTTCTCGGCCTGTCAGCCTGGGGAGGCAGTTCCTGATCTCCTGACCGAGCAGGGATTGGAAGGTGCGTGTGATACTTGGGAGTGGATGCGGGCCGATGGTGCCGCTGGTGATGTGGTAGGTAGAATCGAGATGGGTGAGGGAATAACGGAGAGCTTCGTTGGTGGCGGCTCGGAGACTTCCCTTATCCATGCTGTTACATAGACCAGGGATTTGCGCGCTGATAACAGTCGCTCCAAGTCTTTCCATTTTGTCAATGGCGTCGGGCTGTGCAGCGATGTCGGAGGAGCCCATTAGGATTGTGCATTTCATCTTTAGGCGCGCGCACATAGTGGCGCAAACGAGACCGTGTCCTGCATATCCGCAGTCCATGGCGATCTCTGTTTTGCCGATGTGATGGGCAAAGAGGATCTGACCAACGATGTTGCGAGCTTGGTAGCTGCCGAATGGATTGAGGTCTTCGCGTTTAAGCCAGATATTGGCGCCGCCAACGGCCTGTGTCAAGTTATGGGCGAAATGGAGAGGGCTGGGGCGAATGAGGGGACAGGCGAGGAAGTCTTCCCAGAAGATATCATCTGACAGGATGCTGTGGAATACACTGGGGAGGTCGAGGAGGAGGCTCATCTGGAGCTCTGGAGCAAATTGCCCGCCGAATTGACCGAATCGTGTAGGAGCATCAACTGCCGGGATGGAAACATGATGTCTGGACCATACTGGGGCATGTAGGAGATCCACCAGCTCTAAGCTGAGGCTCTTGATGAGCGGGTTGAGGTATTTCTCTTCAGGTACGCGAATGAGTATTTGTCTGTCCTTCTTCGCTCTTCTCCATCGATTTGGATAGGGAGAATGACGAGGAGGAGAGTGAGATCTAACGGACGCAAGCATTTTGACGGTGTGAAGCGATCCGAGAATCGTTGGGTAACGGAGAGACAAGATTTTGGCTAGTATGAAGAGGAACAAGAGCACCTCTTATAAGGCACGTGTGGCGAGAATAAACCAAATCCAATAGCTGGTCTAGCCGTGGGATGGTTTATATACATCGATTCTCACCCTCATCTCGCCCACATATCCGCAAATATAAGCCCGATAGGAACGGGCACGCACCCATTCCAAGCTCTCTAAACCCACCGAACAAGGAACGTCCGAGCTCAGCATGAACCCAACACCTCATTTACCTAACTCGCGCACGCCCCTCCCAGGCGATCGTGGCAGATGGGCCAATTGTTCCAGCTGCATGGCCACGAGCTGAAAAACTAGCAGATCCAACAAAGTTCAAGAGCGCCTCATTGCCCTTCCCAAGAAGAATGCCGGACGGGGAAACGGAACGAGGGTCGAGGGTCCCGAATTCCAGTTTAGGCGGCGACGATCAAGGCTTTCACTGGTACGAAGGACCTAGGATCAATGGAGTTGTGGATGCAGCCCCCATCGCACGGTCCCTTTGGAGAGGGACCGGCAGTGGCACTTGACACCATATCAGAATAACCGGGTGCTCGGGTAGGGATCAACCCTGGACGTCGATCCGATCGTGGGCGGATCGTGGTGGCTGCACGATTGATACAAAGCTGAAGGACGGCGTGGATGGTACTTTGGGAATTGCCAAGCTTCTCTGGCAGGGGCATCCCTGAACGGACGTTCCCGATGCAGGTGTTGACGATTGACTGGTCATCTTCTCAACTATCGGTGGCGGATGCCTGTCAGTGTCATTCTTCGCGTGGTCGTTCCTGAAAGGTTCCTGACTCGTGTGTTCGAGTTAGTTTGCGCACCAAGACCACGGGCGATGCCTTATGGTAGCAAAGGGAGATCAACCCGACAACAGAACATAAATGTCAGTATCCGTAATCTCAACAAGGAAACAGCCAGAAAGAGCAATAGCACCGATGGGAGGTGGAGGCGCTTTTGAGGCATGGATGGAGGAGAGACGAGAAGGAAAAAAAAGCAAGTAAAGCACCATTGAGCAGGTGGGTGGGGGTGGTCATTAGTTGATTGGATGAAGCCCAAAAGAATGATTTGAAATCTTGGAGGCTCACAAATGGACAGATAATGGCCATGATCCAAATTTATTGGCAGGAAACATGTTCCAGGTACTTTGTCGCAGATGAGACCCTCCGCGATGCATTGCATTCTGTGCTCAAGGCGGGTCTATTGCAGATTGATATTCGTTCCCCAACACCGCAACTTCGTCACAAGATGGGTTAAATTTTCAAATAATGGAGATCTGGCGTCCTCCCTGGTTTAGGTTCGAGACCAAGATCATCTGAGTGTGACTATCGAGCACTAAGTGCTCCGTACCGCTCTGTTGGATGAACTGAGGTCCGTGCAGACATCACCGGGCACGGCCCATACCTTGCTGCCGTGCATGAACTGCTGTTCTCCGGAGAGAGATATTGCTGATCATCGAAGTTGGACAGTCCATGTCTTTCCGAGAACGAGATTGATACCACTGCTTCGGGTCCCCGGGGACTGGGACTTTTGTCAAAGCCTAAGGTGCCCGTGCGCAGAGCAAGGAACTGCGGTCAAGATACTGGTTAGAAGTCATGAGTTCGAGTACTTCTCCAACCCAGAATCGACAAAAGGCCGATTCGTTTCCACAATAGTCCTCCGGTGGAAGGAAAACAAATCCCCTCTAGTTCCTCTCCGTCACGTTATACGGCGGACAAACCAGAACATGGCCAACTGGGAACTTCCCGGTCCGCCGCAAATTGCCTAGGACGTTCAAATCCGTATCCAAACCATGCTTTACAACCTGTCCACAGAAGTCAATCTCCGGCTCAAACCTCATCTTCGGCTTGTTGTTAAGCATAAACTCCATTGCCCAGGAGACAATACCCGGCGCCGAGGCCGGGTATTGTCAAACAGGGGAGGAGACCCAAATTTCTCCCCGCAGCAACATTTTAGGCTTCGAGCCTGTCTGAGCAGCCCGATCGATTAGGTTATCGTGCTTGATGATTCCTTGGGCGGCGATGGCGGCTGCGCAGGCAAGGGGTGGGCCTGGACCGCGGTTAGCCACTTACTTTAACTAAACCGGTGCTCCTAGGGTGAAGGATCTCGATACCTGGAATGTATGGCCATGTGCCAGCCTACCAGACCCAGCAGACAATACATCAACGATATTCTGGTGCAGCAAAACCCTAGAGAGAGGAACGAAGCCCGCCCCAAGAGCCTTGCCGATAGTCTGGATATCTGGCCCGCGAATCTCTCTTGTTGCCAGGCATGCATGCTGCCCGTTGTGCCCATACCGCAGATAACCTAGACTAAGTCAATCCCAAGCAAGTAGGCAAGGGCATTTCTCTGTCCTGAGACCGGTCCTTACCTCATCCAAGATTAGCAACACCCCGTACTTATCACAGATATCCCAGATATTTCCAAAATACCCTTCCACAGCAGGAACACAACCCAGCGTCGTCCCACCAACCGTCTCAGTAACCAACCTCGCCACTTGCCCAGGTGCAACCCGTAATATCTCATCCTCAAACCGACTCGCCAGTCGCCCAGCAAGCTCTGTATCCATCTTCTCACCCTCTTTCATCCGGTATGCATAGCAAGGATCCACAAAGGAAACATTCGGCGTCATAAATCTCTATAAACCTCCCTCCTCTCTTCATGCCCCGAAACACAGAGCGCCCCGATCGTATTCCCGTGATAACTCTGCCTCTGTTGAATTCAGGTTGGGTGTTTCCTAGACAGGAGATCAAGGGGCAGCAGCTTACGTCGACGACCCTCTTGGTATCTTCGAGGATGAAGTTTATACCGTTGCCAGAGACGATTTTGGCAGGGTGCGAATTGAAGGGGTGGAGGATATGGGAGCTGGAGATGAATCAGTCGATGGCGGCGACTGGGTCAAATTTCGTAGGATCTATCTGGGAAACAAATAAAGTTAGACATCGATCAAGGAAAATGGATGATGTTGGTAGTTGGGGATTCGGAGTACTCGTAGATGCGACGGATCAACCAATCCGTGCGGGTCCGGCATTCTCCAGGTTGTTCATCCCTACCGCAGTAGTATACTGCACCTTGGGGTTATATGGAGCAGGTAAAGAAGTCGGGGTATGCTGTTTATCGGCACAGAAAGGCAGCTTTGGGATGAACAATCTGCTTGGAAAGCTAGTGAGGTGATTATAAATTCTATGCCAGTGTAGATGGCGCCGCTCAGCCACGGAACTGAGTCGACGGTCTTGAAATATCCTCATGATTGAGCAGATACAGATGAAAGCGAAGGCCACAGTGCCGTGGACTTTGCGTACATACGGCTAGTCTACTTTTGACTAAGTTTGGATATACTGAAATCCCTCGAATATTTCTATTTTTTTTTTTTTTGTCTAGCCAGTTAGCTACAGTACATGACGCCCTGGTCTCCAGGGATGCTCTGGTCGAGTCGGCTCAAGGCAGTTCTATTCGTAAAGCGATCATTGCGATCTCGTAATCTCGAATGCTGAATGGATGGGTATTATTCGCTGCAACAGAACAAGGAGCGATATGGCGAAAAAAAAGGCACCAAAAGGTAGAATATATCCCATAAGCACTGCTTTTGGAAAGTTGGCTGTCCTGTCAAATCAAACGTTGAATATGACAACCTGGAAGGGAGTGAAGCGCCTGGCACAGGAGATGGTGCAGGAGAGGCCCCGAAAGCGGGGTTAAGAAAAGGAAGATTTGTCGAGTATAGTCGATATTTCAGCCGTGACGGGCATAAAAGTTGTCAAAAGACGAGTCTTCTCAGAAGGCAGTCTAGGGAAATGGTATAATAAATCTACGAACAGATCTGAACCGCGTTCAACGCTCGTGTTAGATCATCGGCAGCGAATGGTATGGGTGCTCCCTTGGCGGGAAGGGGTGGTGTGGCGACCGATCGAATAATCGGCGAGGTGTTGCGGACTGGGTTTTTGCCCTTCAATCCCGGGTCTTCATCGAGAGGGTCAAGGAAAAGGGTCATGGTAGAGTCGCTAAAACTCTCTGGATCAACCGCGGTGGTTGAGGAGAGCGACCCTTCGGTTGCCTGTCGATCTTGGATAAATTCGTCATGGTAGGCTGCTGGAGACGCTGGTGATTGGTTAGTTTGAACGAACCCAGTCAAAGCGTTGAGATACAACATCCATCCACAGGGGCAAGGGTGATGGGGATACAAACCTCCATGAGATAGATTCCTCTTCGGTATCCGGGGCCGAGTTTGGTCTAGAGCCGTATCGGCAACTCCCCGAGAATCAACGTAGTCCGGTAATGTCGTACAAGGTGACAGGGATAGATCGAGGGATCGTCGACGATCCTTTTGGGCTTCCTCAAAAGACCATGCGGCCAGTTGCTTTTGGTGTTCCTTGTCGAAAGGGCCCTTGAACTTCGATGGCGGAACCTCGCCACGCCTATAGTATTCGATCTTGATTCCTGATGCGGATTGCTTCGATTTGTGTCCTCGAAACACCTTCCGTACTTTCTCTCGAATGCTCATCTTGGCGATGTCGGAACGGATTTAACAGGGCGTTTTGACAGGAATTGATAGTCCAGCAAAGATAAAGGAATAGAGTGGAGATAGAGCGTCGTTGAGCGATACGTCACAGCGGGAGAGCCGTCCCAGCAAAGGGATTGAGGCAGGCGATGTGCAAGCACAGACGACAATCGAGAATCCGGACAGACCTTAGGATCATCGTTCGCTGAAGCTGGAAAGCGGGATGGTTCGAGGGATGGATGGGGGAGGTTGGAGAAGTGAAGAAGTAGAGGAGGGAAGAAAGAGAAGAAAAGAATGAACAAGGGGAAGTGAAGTCGATGCAAGAGTTGATGCAAGAGCACGGTCGTGATTTGTGCAATAATCGGTATTACTATCGTATTGGCACCCCCACACTGCAGTCAATAAACAGCAGCGGTGGTAGTAATACTAAGGCAGAGCCAGCCCAGGCCCGTTGGGGATGGGCCGTGGTAATTATACAGGAGCAGGGCGCTTCTGCTGGATGGAGAAGCGAGAGCCGGCGAGCAGCGTGATTGGCATTGAGCCAGTGCCGTTGGACCCGTTGGACCACTTGTCTGAGGTGGAATTAACAGACGCCAGGCGACTCACTTATCATCGTCATCTATTAGTTTCCAAGGCAGGCTGGTCTGTGGTCGCGAGTCAAGACCCAGTCGGGAAGTCCGCAATTGCCCGACCGAATCCGGTGAGAGCCTGAGGACGAATTGGAATAGTGCGGCGACGTGGAAGATTGGGATAATACAGAGTAATAAACGAATAATGCGCGATTTATCCACTCTGCGAGGCGGAGCGAGTTGGCGCTTCTGTCCAGCACAACAAAAGCAAAGTTCATGCAGATAACTGGGGATGAAGAGATTTAATCCAAGCTGCGTCCCCATGCCCCGTCTTTTGCCTCCCACTCACTTCCTTGGGGGTTTTTCCCTCTGGTGCAGTCGCAGTGGCCGGTCCCAATTTCTCAAGGACGACGCTGGAGCCCTCGTCCAGCGAATAGCAGCGCCGCTTATGCGTTACATCCGAGCCCCCACGATAGGAAAAGAGGCAGCCCGGCCCTACCACCTCGCTTGAGAGTTGCATCCCCGTGGTTGACGCCTGCCGGTTCTACGGTTCCTGAGCAGCACAGGTCTGCCGGAAATGGCGGTGCTGTTACATCCAGAATACAGCCTGAATTGGAAAACCAGTGGCAAAAGCCTCAAGGCATATTCTGCAACGAACGATTCCAGAAGGCCCTAAGCCTCTCGATCGGCGAGCCACTTTGACCCCTCCTCCAGTCGTCGAAGGATCCAAAACGGGCCTGGCTCTCTTGGCGATGCTGATTATTGGCAGGAACACCAGGATGGTAGATGGCCAAAGCATCAACTGCCAAGTGAACTTTGTTGTTAGAAGGTTAACCCAATCTTTTAAGAATTTAAGTGACTCTTGATCCCAGCATGCAACCCCAGACCATGAATTTCATGTGTGATAATGCATAGCGTTTGCCACAGCGTGAGTTGAACTCTTGCTGGGCTTCGAGCCCCCGCCCGGCACGCTCGTTCCGGTATGCCCGAGTCAGCAACTCCGTCATCACCACCGCCCCTCAGTGACGTCTGTCTCTCTCCCTTCCCAGTTCCCAGAGTCTGGTTCCAGACCTCTGTGTCTTTTGCATCTCGGCTAGCCGTGCACATTCGGAGAGCCCCTCGGCTAGGCGAAACTCGTTGCTGCATTGTACGGTGTACACCTAGATGACAACGCGGAAATTACGATGTATACTGGCCATAACTCGGCATCCGATCTAGACCACGGGATGATGGCCTCTTCTAACCCCAGGTTTCCTTTGCGCGCAGCCCCAAGTTAACTGCCTTGAAACAATAGTATTCCGAGAAACAGCCGAGACAGCCAAATCTATATACAACAATGAGCACTTGCCTGACTTTTGGTGAAAATAGAGAATAACCCATGGATGTCGTTTTTTATACATAAGCAACTGCGTACACCGGTGTATTTTCGATAATTATTCACAACACAGCTCCACAGTCTTTTGTTGTCCTGGTCTTTCGTCACTTCATGCTCTTTTGTTTGAAGCCCATTGTTCCCCCTCCAGTAGTGATGTCATCGGGAGCTTGGCAGGGCCAGCAACCGTTTCGAACAGAAAAAAAACACCGTGTTCAAAACATCACCTGAACGATTTCATTGCTGCTAATTTTAGTTGGGGTAAATCCTAATTCAATTTCCCATGCCAGACGAGTCAGACATTCCTTCGTCCGCAGTGATGGGCGTGTCAGATGCTGGGCTGCCTGATCCGGACGTGGCTTGGCTGGGGTCAAGCTAGGGCTGCACGAAAATCTTCCTAATGCCATAAACGAGATGCCGCCTGCAACTTACAGTATGCAAGGGCAATAATTCACAGAATAGATCATCACCATACATTTGCTGGAGGCCCAAATAATCGGGTACATTATTTTATATGGCTATTGTAGACAACCTCGCTATCCCAATGAATCTCATAATGGAGGTATGTAGCTCGTTTACTGAGGCACGCGACCGATCGCCGGAAACATCAAACATTGCGCTTTGCAAACTAAACAAAGACAACGAACGCATTCGGCTCGCCCTGGAGGGGATGGCAACCTGAAAGCAGGAGACCGTAATATTAGGACTCATATCTCATTTCCCTCCTTTCTCCCCCATTTCCCCTTCCTCTTCCTGAAATGAACAATATCCTTGAATACAGCTCGACAACATCACTTTCTTCGCACGGACTCTACGACTCAACTTTCCCTGCATATCCGGACCTTCGAAGTAATCCCAGCGCTACGAGGTCTTTTAGCGAAATCCCCTAGTGCTTGCTGGTTCAATTGCAGCTGCTGCGTCAGACCAAGTGGCCAGCTTGCACAGTCCGGATTAACGTTCGCCGAGTGAATTGCCTCTTTGGGAGTCGGAAAGAACCAAAGCAAGCCCATACCAGCACCCGCCCCTAACTTCCATCGATCTTCCATCGATTTGTCCTCCTGCCCAGCGTTCGAGCGCTTTTCTCTCCTACGAATAACTAGAATCCGCGGTAAGTTCAATGCTCCGACCTGCTTCTCTAGGCTTCCGCATCTTTTCCGTCCGTCGCTACGTGGCCCGTGTCTAACGCACAGCGCACAAAACAGTCCTATTGATTCATCACAATGGCCAAGAAGGGAGGAAAGAAGAAGGGAGGCAAGAAGGGCGGTTCTTCCGCTGCTGCTACGAGCAACAAGGCCGCCGAGCCCGTCGCCGCTGCGTAAGTCGCACAAGTTTCAATTTGCGCCGGCATTGTGTGTTGTTGTCTTTGCGTCATCGCAAGCTGTCGTTGCGCCGGGATCGAAAATTGACTAACTCCCGCTTCCCACACTATAGCGCCCCCGACACCACTGTTGAGGAAACCGTGAGCGAAACTGAGCAGGCCCCTGCTGAGACCTCCACTGCTGCCACCTCTGTTCCGGAGACCGCCACTGAGACTCCCGCTGTCGCTGCCCCGCCAATTGCAGCCGCATCGAATGCCAATGAAGTTGCAATTCCTGCGGCGGAGGAGCCCCCGGTAGAGGAGGCCGTGGAAAAGGTACAAAAGTCGAAGGTTGAACCAACGGAGGCTGCTGGTATGAGAAACCTAGGACCACCACACTTGTCGCATCACTTACTGACGTCTCATTTTTTTCCCTTCTAATAGCCGCGGTGCCGGAGACAGCTGCGAAAGACACCGCAGCCGCGCCCCTTAATACCCCAGAGGTCGTTGCTGCGACCACTTCCCTCCCCGAAAGGCTCAAGGAGTCGGAGAGTCTCGAAGATACCCACGTCAAGCGTCCTCATGAAAACGGCCCTGTGGCGACTGAGAAGGAGATACCCACAAAGATTCCCAAGATCGATGACGAGGCCATCGCCAAGGGCACTGTCGCAGAGACACCAGCTAAAAAGGAGAATGTTACCAGCACAGCCGCGCTTCCGAACGAAGCGGGCGTGCTGCAGCCTCAGATGGTCCCCGGTCTCGGTGCGGACCCTGCTGATAAGCCATTGAATGAGCTGGAGGGCACCTCCGAAGCGGCTAAGAAGGCTCAGGCCTCCGAGACTGTTGCCCCAACTGGCGTCTCTACCTCTAAGAAGGAGACCCCCAAGACGACAGTACCAGGACTCACCAGTGTTCCGGGCACATCTGCTGAGGAGAAGCCCCTGGCTACCACAGCCGCCCCAACCACTACTGCCGCTAAGGAAGAATCGAAGACCCTCCCCAAGACTGAGGAGCCTGCGGTTACCCAACCTACATCCGCAGCTGCAGCTCTGGGCACCGGTACCACTACCGCTCCCGCCGCGGAAGAAAAGGCCAAGGCTGCCCCAGCAGCCCAGAAGGAACCGCCTGTACTCGCTAAGGGTCCCTCAGATACCGCAACTGGCCCAGCAGCCACTGTCGGTACCGCCAAGGAAGAAGCCAAAACCGCTGCTCCTGTCCAGAAGGAGTCTGAGACGACGAAGCCTACTTCCGCAGCGACCGCCGCAGCTGTCGGTGCAACCGGAACCACGGAAATCCCCAAGGTGAAGGATGAGGCAGCTACTGTGACCAAGCCCCCGGCTGCAGTCACGCCACCGGAGAAGGCTCACGCAGCACCTGGTGTTAGCCAAGCCGCTGGCGCTACCACTGGAGCTACTGGCATATCGACCACGGAGCCAGCCAAATCCGCCGGGTTGCCTTCCAACGTCCAGACGCAGGCCGAGAAGCCTGCTGGTATCTCCGATAGCACTGCCGCGGCGCGCGCTGCCACCCAGAAATCGCAACAAGCCAAGACTGCTGAGCCTGTGGCTCAGACCACCCAGACTGGCGAGGCCGCTAAGAGCGCTCAGACTGCGCAAACCGGCCAAGCTGCACAAACCGGCCAGACTGCCCAGACTGCCCAGGCCGGCCAAACGGCTCAGACTGGCCAGTCTACCCAAGCTGCTGAGGCGGCGCAGACCGGTAAGACCGGTCAGGCTGGTGAGACTGCTCAAACCGCCCAGGGAGCAGAGACCGGGGGTGCTGCCACCAGTGCAAAGCCCGCAGAGGGCAAGACCACCACAGAGCAAGCCCAGTCTGCTGCTCAGGAGGCCTCCAAGGCCGAGAAGCGAAAGAGCGGTGGTTTATTCGGCTGGCTCAAGCGCAAGGTCAAGGGCTGAGCGAGCTGCCCCAATTTCTATTTTTAATTTGCTATTTAGTTTTGGTTTGTTGATTTCAGACTGCTCCATCTCACTAGTCGAGAGGACGGTGTATTTGGGTCTTGGGAGGGTGTTTGGCGGGGGACATGGAGGGATTTACCAGACCCCGCATTGCTGATACCCGATTACGCCGCAGAAAGGCCAGGCATGAGAAAACGCTGAAAACAGGAAACAGAAGAGCAGGCCGGTAGGACGTCTTTAGATCGACTGTATGATATGACGGATAATGGGGATACCACAGGACTTGCTCTGATTTGTTGGATTAATGCTGTTTGAGAGTTTGTTCCAGTCTGTAATTGACTATTTCTCTCTTTTAAGATATCAATGTTATACCGATTCCGGTCCAGTTTACTTTGCTGCAACTAGAGTAGACGTCGAGTGGCAGCCTCGGACGTGCACGGCGCCACAATCGGCGACTTTTATTAAGTAAAGAGGGGTTCTCGCATCTCAAGTATTGGACGTGCCCCTCCACCGGGCTCCATTGCGGAGTCTTGCCATCCTGGCAAGTTGGCAACACCAGCAAGCTGCAACTCCCGATCCCCAATAAACATCGCGACTCTCGTGGGTCTCGCCAGCCCACCGCGCCAGCCAAGCTTTCTCCAAGCTTTCTCCCAGTGATTCGCTGTCCACAGGCACCCTCTGCCACCGAGATGGTCCCCCATTTGTCCAAGTCTTCGCGCATACCCGCGTTGATCGCGCCCTGAAACAGTCCTAGCCTGATCCTGGAGCCACGCTGCGAGGTCCAAATGGGCGACTCGCTCCCTGTTAGCGAGGCACGACCGCCACTTTGTTCCAGCTACCCCTCTCCTGTCCGAACTTATGATGCAGTTACGTAGCTGGTCGATGTCAGCTTTTCAGCTTGTCAGGGGTTGAGGGGAGGAGTGAGACAGCTATAACAGCTCGGCTCGGCTTGGTTGATCGTGGACACAGGCTCCCACTTTCCCATCTGCATCTTACGACCGGTTTATCTATAACGACACCTTCTTGTTTCTATTTCTATTCGTAACTTCGCCGAATTTACTTATAACTGATCTCTCACAATGGTCCACCTCGCAACAATCAAGAAAGACGCGGCCTTCGAGCCCCTCACCAAGCGCGTCGACTCTATTCAGCTCGAGGAAACCGAGGATGAGTTCTCTACCACCGTCTACGGCACGCGCTTTGCTACTCAGCAGCTGCCGCACACGGAGATGCCTGAGCGTGAGATGCCCCGCGAGGTGGCCTACCGTATGATCAAGGATGATTTGAGCTTGGATGGAAACCCCATGCTAAAGTATGGACTTTTTCTTTCAATTTGAGGCATTGCACTTGATAGAGTACTAATTCTACGATTTTTAGCTTGGCGAGTTTCGTCACGACCTACATGGTATGTTGCCGGTTATCTGCGAACCTTGGTGGAGAGGAACTATAGCTAAGCTTACTGGAATTACTACAGGAGGATGAAGCTGAGAAGCTCATGGCCGAATCGTTCAGCAAGAACTTCATCGACTACGAAGAGTACCCCCAGTCGGCTGAGATCCAGAACAGATGCGTTAACATGATTGCTCGGTTGTTCAACGCTCCTACAGACAGTGAGAATGACCACCCCATGGGTACTTCTACTGTTGGTTCGTCCGAAGCAATCATGCTGGGTACTTTGGCGATGAAGAAACGGTGGCAGAACAAGCGTAAGGCTGAGGGGAAGGACTTCTCCCGGCCTAACATTGTCATGAACAGTGCCGTGCAGGTCTGCTGGGAGAAGGCTGCCCGCTATTTCGATGTCGAAGAGCGCTTTGTCTACTGTACGGAAGACCGCTACGTGATTGACCCCCAGCAGGCTGTGGATCTTGTTGATGAGAACACCATCGGTATCTGCGCCATCCTGGGCACAACCTACACCGGTGAGTATGAAGACATCAAGGCAATCAACGATCTCCTCATTGAGCGCAACATCGACTGCCCCATCCACGTTGACGCCGCAAGTGGTGGCTTCGTCGCCCCCTTCATCCACCCTACCCTGGAATGGGACTTCCGCCTGGAGAAGGTCGTTTCGATCAATGCATCCGGCCACAAGTACGGCCTGGTCTACCCCGGTGTTGGATGGATCGTCTGGCGGGCCCCCGAGTATCTCCCCAAGGAACTGATCTTCAACATCAACTACCTCGGTGCGGAGCAAGCCAGCTTCACGCTGAACTTCTCCAAGGGCGCCTCCCATGTCATCGGCCAGTACTACCAGATGATCCGTCTGGGCAAGCGCGGATACCGCTCGGTGATGGTAAACATCACCCGCATTTCGGACTATCTTGCGGACCAGCTCGAGAAGCTAGGCTTCATTATCATGAGCCAGCGCCGCGGTCGGGGTCTGCCTCTGGTTGCGTTCCGGCTCCGTGAGGACCGTGAGGAGCATTTTGATGAGTTTGCGCTGGCGCACCAGCTGCGCGAGCGAGGCTGGATCGTGCCGGCTTACACGATGGCGCCGAACAGCAACTCGCTGAAGCTGATGCGTGTGGTGGTGCGGGAGGACTTCACCATGAGCCGCTGCGATACACTTCTGAACGATGTCAAGCTTGCGCTGAAGAGCCTAAGTGATATGGACAAGGCGATGCTGGAAAAATACACCCTGTACGTGATCCCAGAAGTAACTGGGAGGAAGCGAGCTAAAGCTAACCTAAATGATGGTAGGCATGTGCGAACACACACGACCAAGTCGCACCAGGCGAAGCACACGCACCCGCACTATAAGCAGGAGACACATTCGCTGCAGGGCAAGACAGGCAAGACGCACGGAGTTTGTTAGATTTAGAGTGTAGATTGCTCCAATGAGAATTTGTAGCGACCGTAGTTGGTCGTAAGCCAGTTGGATATCAGGCCGAGGAGTTCTTTATCTGATACCCCTCGGCCTTTATGGATGCTGTATTTAGTTCTGACCTGACATTCTTAGTCCAAATTCTGACACTGGAGTAGCTCGACGCTATTATTAGCAGAGTGATCCTTCGTCCACCGCTGTCCTGAGCGTCGGTTCCCCTCCTCGTTCAGCTGCGTCTCCTCTGCCGTAGTATGATTGCTATCATCGTGTTTGCGTCTGCTCGACGGTGATTCCCCTCTTGTCTTTCCTTTTGTTCGCACAGCCTCGTGTTCGCGCCCAATCACCGGTTGCTGTCCCACTTGGAGTCCACTCTTGATATTATCTTGGACGAGGACACGACAGCACGAAGCTGGAACGAACGGGAGACCGATCTCGCGCTTTCTTTCATCCTCATCTCCCCATCCCCTTATCCCCCTCCTGCTGCCCCAAACCCGGGCCCTCCCATCTCCATGCCCCTCTTCCGCAGAAAAGACAAGTCCAAGCCGTCCTTCTCGTCTTCTGCCTTCCGATCAGTCGAGAATCTTCCCCGTACCGGTAATCCTCCCTCCAGGGGCTCCTCTGCCACCCCTCACTTCGACAGCGACGATAGTACCAACAACAATAACTACCAACACCAGCACCAGCACCAACACCAAAATAACTACACCGTCTCCACTTCGCAGCAGTTTCCGCCCCAAGCCCAGCCTCAGGCTCAGACTCACCCTTACTCCCACGCTCACTCGCAATCGCAGTCGCAAATTCACTCTTCCGACCCCCGTCTACCTCCACCTCGTAATCCTGCCCGCTCGTCAGGCCTGCAGCGCTCGCACACTCAGCGTCTTCGTACACCGCCAGACGCTTCGACTCTCTCGGACGCGAACTCCACCAACACGGTAGTCAACAACATCCCTCCTTCTCCCTCCCAGCTCGCGCCACCTCAGTCCTTCGATGCTGACGTTTCCGACCAGTCGTGGCCCTCATCTCCTACTGACAAGCCAGACGACCAGGAACCCCGCCGGTCTAAACGGAGTCTGTTTTCGTTCCATACCTCGACTTCGTCGTCATCCGTCCGAGACCAGCCCAGTCTGTTGGAACGCAATCGATCTGTGAAGTTAACCGGCCGACGCCAATCGGGGCAGGTACAACAGCAGCAGCAGCAACAGCAACAACTCCGCCACCAACAGTCGCCGCAGTTGCTGCAACAATCACGTTCGTCGTTGGAGGGTTGGTCCAAAGACTATGCGGTAGACGCCCCGGAATCTGAACAACAATCGTCCATGCCGCAGCAGAGTACCGGTCGTGTTCCTGATCCCGGTCTCGGCCCTCATACCCGCTCGCCTCACCCCTCCCCCATTCCGCGGTCCAATACCGACCCCCACCTTTTCGACCAGGTCTATCGGCAGCAGACCGTCGAAACTCCTAGACAGGCTTCAGATCTGGCCCCTTCTAGTCACCAATTGGACCCTCGCCCGCCTTCCCGACAATCCCTCGGACCCCCCTCGCCGTTCCCTCATCCCAAGAGCGAAACATCGTCCGTGTCACAGCTCGGGGCAATGTCCGACCGACCCACCGGCGGAAATCAACAAAACCAACCTCAACCCCCAGGTTCGAGCCAAGGGAACAATGCTGGCCAACAGCAAGGTGCCCTCGACACGGGGCGTGCCACCCCTACTTCTAAAGACAACCGGAGTCGCGACGATGAAAATGACTTCCGTGCTTTGCTCCAGAAACATGAGGAACTGCGTAAGCCAATTTGCCACAGATTGTTGTGAGTGTGTTCTGACCAATTTACACAGAGGCCAAATATTCCAAGGTGAAACGGTACTACTTTGAACGAGATGCGCAGGTCCAGCATCTGCAAAATACCGTAGCCCACCAGCGGATGGCCGTTTCCCGAACTGTCCTCGATGATAATGAGTATGCCAACCGGTTTGGCCGTCTCGACGGTGCCATCAAGGACCTCGCCTTCTCCATTCGCAAAGACTGGAAGACGCTCCCCGGCTGGCTCGCTGGATTTGTCAACGAAGATGCCGCCACCACAGGCACAAAGGAGATGACTGCAATCGGCCGGACCGTGATGAGCCGCTGGCTCGTGGACGAGCTCTTCGAGCGGTACTTCCATCCCTCCCTCGAACAA